CTAATATAATCTTACACCCCTATGTGATGGAGGCTAATATAATCTTACACCCCTATGTGATGGAGGCTAATATAATCTTACACCCCTATGTGATGGAGGCTAATAGAATCTTACACCCCTATGTGATGGAGGCTAATAGAATCTTACACCCCTATGTGATGGAGACTAATATAATCTTATACCCCTATGTGATGGAGGCTAATAGAATCTTACACCCCTATGTGATGGAGGCTAATGGAATCTTAAGGACTTTCCACCCTTCGTAATACACATGTTTTTCTTGTCATATTTTCATGTCGTCATTTCCGTTTTGCGTATCGGGCATTTCAATGCCTTAGCGTAAATTTTAGTAACACCGGGTAACACTAGTACACATGCGTGATGATGACATATCAGCACCCGATATCGAGACTTCACTGGGAAATGTGTAATCACAAGTACTTCAGAAATAAAAGATTCCGATACAATGACATAAACTGAGTCACGGAAAGACACTGACATGAGACGACTTTAAGAAGGTCTTATATATGATGCGCATGGAATGCGGACTGATGTGTTTTTGTGTATCAACCTCACATGTACATATCACGAGCTCACAAACTCGAGGTTGTTACAATTTTTGCTATCGAGCGAGCTACGCTCTGTTGAGTAAATAATTTTTACAAATAGTGCATGAACTCTGTGAAAATAATGTTTTGCTAAGTATCAAAATCCCTATGAAAATACATGTGTGGATGCATGCTTGCTTCTAGTTACATATGTACCTGACATGTAAATATACCATGGGCTAGTGGGCTGTGGAATGATGTCCTAAGGTACATGATTGAGAGTAATTTTGTCCATAAAAAAACAATAAATTGACAATTCTGATATCATTATTTGAATTTATATCCAACATTTTGAATATATATGAAGAAAGAGATAACTGTCACTTTGTAATTTTTTTCCCTCTGCAAAAAGTTTCGATTTTTTTTTCAATGACGATAACTCTCATCAGAATCAAAGTCATTGCAAAATTTAAAATAAATGAAATTTAAAGCCATTGTGTATATTTTGTTCAATTTTTTAACTCTTTTTGTATGAAACTATGTGTCCTGTTTCCTTACAGTACTAACTTTTATCCATACAATTTCAATAAAAAAACGTTGTGTAACGTGTTTTATATATTTTGTGATAAATGAAATATTTGTAGGGTTAACTAGCAATGTTCCTTTTCATATTTTTTTTATTATTGTTATAGTTCCAAACAATGCCACACACCGAAAAAAAACGGAAAATATTAAAATTGATGAAAAGTTTTTTGTTTTTTTATTTTCCCAACAAATCCAAAGTCTATCAGAATGCATATATTTTTGTAAAATCACCTTTATACATAATTGCATAAACCATTATGTGAAATTTAAACGAATTCTGCTGGTTAACTGCGAAAGGGTGGAGCCTCCTAAAACCCCTATGTAATGGAGGCTTATATATGACATATCAATGGTATGTGATGTAGATAGAAGAATTTCAACAAAAAAATATTAGTTTTGCATTTCAGATTAAAATGCTATGTTATAACACACTGTGGTGTCTGTACTTTAAATTATATAAAAAAAGAAAAATCATTTATGTCATATATTTTCGAAGTAACCAATCACTGGGGTTTATGTTTTGAAATTTACCTGTGTTTCCTCTACAATCTCATCTACCAATTCAGCGGAGGAGTCCGACTGTGAGCTGGAAACATCAATGTTGAGCATCTCTACCTCATCGGAGCTACTTTCGCTGGACTCAGATCCTGTTGAGGTGGTGGAGGAGGTGGAGTCCTTACCACTGACATTAGGGTTAGCTTCCTGGCTGTGGATGGTCAAGGTCTAGGCTGATTAGTTTTGAAGGGTCACAGTTTATTTTTAGATCATAAATATTAATTTAAAGCACAATGTAAATAAATTATTTGTGCATGTAAACATTGTCTGTATCATGAAGAATCAAGTTCACATTCTTAAAAAGTTTTTTTAATTTGTCTCTGTTACCTAATATAAAGCAACCATGTTTGAGTAAACGATCGTAAAATAGGTTAATAAACTATTCCATGGAACAGCAGATCTTTGCTCACTTTTTGCATAATTAACCCTTTTACACACTATGAAAATATTTACATAACGTTTAGTAAATGTATTTGGTCTTGAACTTCAGGACAATTTCCAGATAACAAATAAAATTCAACAAATCCCATACTAGGGGATGATATATGATACATTGGTGATAATTCTCCTTACATGGCATTCTGTTCAGGCTGGACTCTCCTGGTAAAAGGACTCTCCGACTTGGTCGTTCTAGGTTTTACATCCCTGTAAAAATACGTCCAATGACAGACATTATAATGCAAGATGACGAGTAAAATAAATCCCTTTAGTCTTAAAATTGTCTTGATAAAACAGACCTGTGGATATTAATATATGAAACAATAGGGTTAGCATGTAAAATGTACCATTGTTAGCTCTTATTTGTAATTACAACAATCTGTTGTAGCTATAGAATCATTAAACAGGCTTCATTATGAGAAGATACATGATCAGGCCCTTGCTGACCTGTCAGTGCTCTAGTTAAATAGCAAAAATGGTAGCAGGTGAAATACAATTGGCACGCAGTAAATGTGTAATTTGTTTGATATTCGAATACTCCAGTACATTCTCAAAAACTAAGAAGAAATGCAAATCTAGCAGAAGTGACGATATTTACAATAGTTGCTTACTTGGAGAATGTAGGGTAGAGGGAATGTGTGAAGATGTCTTGGAAGAATGTGAGTTCTGTAGTACGGTAGTACTCCTCAAACAGGTTTACCCTCTCCTCCACCTGGTCCACACGCACAATCTCACAAGTCTGGGGTTTGGACACTGAGTCACAGATTAAAAAATGACATTATCAATGATATAACAAAACAGTGACATAGGAAAACCAGTGAGTGACTACTGTATTCCCTGCAGTTTTGCTCAGTCAAATTTTCTCCCTTCGACGGTAAAATATATTTCCCCCTGATATCAAGTTTGCCGTTCACATTTAAATATCTATGTATATTATGTTGTTAACAAATGTGTGCTGTAATGATAAATTTGCCCTCAAAACGGAAGCCGAAAAAGCGAAAAATTGGCCTCCAGCAAAATAAATCCACATACATTTGCCAAAGTGGGGAGGGGGCTTATTGCCAGAGGGTGCTTATTTATAGTCAAATACGGTATATCTTCATATCAGTCAGTTTTCTAATCAATTAACAATTCATCATTCAAATATCTTATTTGAGCATGGCAACGACTAACAACAAAGCACATATTGACAACTATTATGAGTACTGGGCTGCTTTGATTTATTGCGATCCAAATGGTTGAACCGATTGGACTAGAGTTGTTTGTTTATGAAATAAGGTCAGACCCAGTAATCTGATGTTGCTTTCAGGCAAGCCTTAACAAAGCCTTACAAGGCCTGCATAAACATTTGCAAGTCCTTCAGGATTTATATCCAAAAATGTTACATTTAAAAACGGACAAACCGGTTGTTCCGTATAAACAAACAGGCCCCAGTAGTGATCCTTACAGCCTTGCTCAAGTCCAATTTTTTTTTACTGGAGAGTAGTACAGTGTATTATTAGTAGCCTTACTCAAGTCCAAGATACTTTTAGTGTTGAGGGAACAATTATTTTAAGTACCATTGAATCTGAAGTGACTGTATTCCTTCTCCATTAGAAATATATGAGACTGCAAAGTCAACAATATTAAGTTAAGTTTCAATGTCTTAATCAGAGAGTGTGCAAACACATCAAAGATGAACGATTAGTTCTTGGAAAAGATAACATTATAACCTTTATTTTAACAGAACAAGCAATAATTCCACAGGAGTGGATGTCTCGCCTGCACAGGCAACTAAAATGAGATTATGAAGATGAATCCATTTATATTAACAGCCTGCAATTGCTTCCATGTAATGTGAAAAAAGCTGTTTAGCAGTTTTAGAGTAGAAAAGCGGTTTGGCTCGAACACCAACAATTCCATGGAAATATACGGTCAGTGTGAAGTTTTGAGGTAAATCGGCCCAAGGAAACTGGACTTATCTCAAGGAAACAGTTTTTCTATTTATAGTAACGGCAACATTGACCTTTCACCTTCGGACCTGAAAAGCAATCCCAAGCAAGAGCTATTGGTAAGAAAGCACTGTATGAAGTCTGAGTTCGATCAACCTAAAGAAACTCGAGTTATCTCACAGAAACAGATTTTCTATTTATAGTAACGGTGACCTTGACCTCTGACCTTCAGACTTGAAAAGCAATCCCAAGCAAGCACTATTGGTAAGAAAGCACTGTATGAAGTCTTAGCTAGATCGACCAAAAGAAACTCGAGTTATAACATGGAAACAGATTTTCTGTTAATAGTAATGGCACCATTGACCTTTGACCTTCAGACCTGAAAAGCATTCCCAAGCAAGCACTAAGCACTAATGGTAAGAAAGCACAGTATGAAGTCTGAGCTAGATCGACCTAAAGAAACTTGAGTTATCACACGGAAACAGATTTCCTTTTTATAGTAATGGTGACCTTGACCTTTAACCTTCTGACCTGAAAAGCAATCCCCAGCAAGCACTATAAGAAAGGAAACACTGTATGGAGTTTGAGTCCAACCAACCCAAGGAAACTCAAGTTATCGTACGGAAACCTTGTTTCGGATGACGCAACCGATGACGACGCCTACAAAATAATACCTATATGTCACCTTGCATTGCAGGTGACACAAAAACTATTAGAACAAATTTTAACTTTCTCAAAATCACTATATAAGTAAATTTGTATTAATTACCTTGTTTCCATGGCAATGGCAAACTTCTGTAAACTGGCACCTCCCACCACTGTGAGTAACTGTCAATCAAATAAAAATTGTCCTTCTTTTAGTAAGATGTTAGGAAATTCATCAGAACAATTTAAAAGTATGTACCATCTACTTGGAAGCTAACAACTAGCACAAATAGGACTGATAGACTAAACTGGTGAAAAATACCACAAAATAACACTTTTGAAGGGCTATGAAAGACAAATCTACACTTGTCATAATCTGAGAAGCCCTTTTTTGGGAGAATTTAAATTGTCTTATAAGCTGTGATAACCATTTTCTCTATCAAACTCTTATGAAATATTTAAAAAAAAAAAATCGCGGGATGAGTATCTATATCCTTTATCAAATATGACATATATACTTATATTTATTTATTATGCATCATTTGATATAGCAACCTATCAAGCTAAATTTATAAGCCAATAAAATTAGGCGATATACTGATCAATCTATTTTGAGGACTTCACAGGAGCTGCCTTATTTGGAAATTACTACTAGCCCTATGTCACCTGACTAATATCTCCATGTGTATTTTGTTCTGTTTTGCAAAGGGACCATGACGTAAACAGCACAATTTTTCATAGTGTCACCTGACTTGCATGCTACAGCACAGACATTGCAATACCCACCCAAGACCATTTTATACTCCACCTGGCATGGGATTTTGGAGTAGAGTAGACAGGAGCAAACTGCTTTCTTTGAAAATTCTATGCTCCAAAATTAGACATTAAAGTCCATATTTTCAGGAATCCTACCTTCTCCTTATCTGAGTGAGTTTGGCTCCAAAATCCTTATTGTGGAGGTAGAAATCTGTTGGTAATTCCCAGATATTTGGCTTTCCTACCACTGGCTCAAATACACCCAGGAAAACATTGGTGGCCTGCTGTTTTTCAAGATCTATCAAGAAAAAATGGAACATGTTATTCTAGACTTAAGTTTGAACCAGCCTCAACGTCAGAATTAATGAAATTGTAAAACCAAGAAAGAGTTGATCCCACGAACGATTTCTTTTATACATTCTATTTTCTCTTTCCTTCATCAACCTCTGGGTTGTTTGTTGAAATTAAAACTGCCATTTAACAATTAAGGTCCTAGAAGTCCACAAAGTAAAATATGGGTACATGGTAGACATGCCAAAACTATCACAGAAGTAAAACAATTGTTAAAAAACATAGAAAAGAAAATAATTAAATTTAATCTGATTCTATAATATGGATATCTCCCTAAGCAAAGGAAACAGATAGAAAAGAAAAAAATCTGTCACGCTCGCTGAGTCGCTCTTAGTCCAATCATGCACAACAGTACAACAGGGTAATTATTTGTTTAATCTGTATGATTCATTTCAAGGTGAATTAAGTCCAGTGAAATTATCTTAAATGCATTCTCATAAGACGCATCAGCAACACTTACCAGCAAATGTGTTGCTGTAGTAACGAGAAATAGTGTTCATAATGTCCTTTGAGTGGGAAGTCCATGGAGCAGTTTTACGATACCCTTCGATACGATGGACAAGTTGTGAGCCCCCATACTGCAGGGCTATAGTGTCCCCCTGGTCCTCATACAGCTGTTCTAACATTCTGTAACACAACGAGTCCGCTTTGAAATAGAGGATTAAGGCTTTTGACAAAATCAGTCAAATCATTGTGTCAATTTGCCGTAATTGATTGTGTGAGTTTATGGCCATAGGTGTAAAAAAAAAAAGTGTTCACTGAAACTTCAAATCTACGGTCTGACTAGAAGAGTCATATATTTTATTCACAGACATACAGGTTTGATTGGTTTGTTTGTGTTTTACATCCTATTAATAGCCATGGTCATTTAAGGACGTGCCAGGTTTTGGTGGTGGAGGAAAGCCAGAGTTCCCAGAGAAAAACCACTGACCTACAGCCAGTACCTGGCGACTGCCCCACGTAGGTCTCGAACCCACAACCCAGAGGTGGAGGGCTAGCAGTAGCAGAATGTCCGACGCCTTAACCACTTGGCCAAATCAACATTTTTAAAATGTATTTCACATTGGCCTGTAAGCACAGAAGTACTCACCTAGTACAGACTGTATCAAATTCTAACTTTGGTTCCTTTAACACTCCTAGTATGTATAGCTGCAAAGAGACAAATATTTATGAAACTTGGATGCATTTCAATCAAATGCCAATCATAAGCATAAAATGTGAATGAAATTTGTATTTTACCGGTGTAAACCCATCACTGGTAATGAGCTTACACCCCACTTTTCCTTACTTTTTGTGCATAGGGTGGGTGCTCGGTAATAAGCCCATCCCTCTTTCTTCAACTTTGTAGGCATTAGTAAAAAACATTTTTTTTTTATATTGTTGTACGTCATGCAATACATATGCAAGACCATACACTTGTGTTTTTCTAACGAATCAGAAAGCACTCATTTATTGCGCGGACGAATATATTGACGAGTGCCGCACGAGTGAATATATATAAGTCTGCGCAATAAATGAGTGCTTTCTGATTCGTTAGAAAAACACAAGTGTGTGGTCTTGCTTTTATCACACACATTCCGTATTTGGTAGGAATCAATACAAAGAATTTATTAACTTTGATATTTTTTGCAAATACCAGGAACTTTTCAGTTCGCCATGACAAGGGGATTCCCCGAAAAAGTAGTTCCGGCTAGTAGGTAAATACAACATTCCGTACTGCACAGAACATTGTATTTCATGGTCTGAAAATTGCTTGTATTACTATAACAAGATTCAACAGGTATGTGATAAATGTTAAGCTAACCAGCAGAGTGCCTCAGAACATTTTCCGGTAATTCAATTAAGACTGAAATTATTCAAAGCGACTGCACTTTAGTCCAAGCATGTGAAAATAAATATTTTCCTAAATTATTGTTGATGCTAATAATCTCAACAAGCATTGGTGAAAGAACATAAACAAACACTTTTTTCTTGTTTGTTTCATTTAAGGATCCCCGTCTTACAGCACTCTGGTCTTTTGTTTATACAGTACCTCCCCTTAATTTTATTTTTGATATAACTGTAGAGTGACAGTATAATAATAAGAGGTCAAGGGTTTGAATACCAATCTAGCCTCACTGAAATTTGGACACTTGTTGATTATATTGTGCCAATTACACCTTGTTTATCATTTTCTTGTAAAAGACCCACAAGGTATGGTTTTCTTTTCTGAAATGAACTATCAAAGTTATAGCCATACCAGAAGAAACAGTTATATATAATGTGTAAATATAGTTTTTAGCAGTGATTTGGGGATTCTTGATAAAAAAGAAAAAAGATAAAAAAAAAAAAGAAAAGAAAAAACCCAAAGACCGACATTTAACAAGCCATGTACCGATATGAGATCTCACCGGATAAGCTAAGGCGTATTTGTACGGTACTTGATCTCACCTANACGGTGCCTAGGGAGACACAACCGCCAGGGTCATATAAGGACGGTGCCTAGGGAGACACAACCGCCAGGGTCATATAAGGACGGTGCCTAGGGAGACACAACCGCCAGGGTCATATAAGGACGGTGCCTAGGGAGACACAACCGCCAGGGTCATATAAGGACGGTGCCTAGGGAGACACAACCGCCAGGGTCATATAAGGACGGTGCCTAGGGAGACACAACCGCCAGGGTCATATAAGGACGGTGCCTAGGGAGACACAACCGCCAGGGTCATATAAGGACGGTGCCTAGGGAGACACAACCGCCAGGGTCATATAAGGACGGTGCCTAGGGAGACACAACCGCCAGGGTCATATAAGGACGGTGCCTAGGGAGACACAACCGCCAGGGTCATATAAGGACGGTGCCTAGGGAGACACAACCGCCAGGGTCATATAAGGACGGTGCCTAGGGAGACACAACCGCCAGGGTCATATAAGGACGGTGCCTAGGGAGACACAACCGCCAGGGTCATATAAGGACGGTGCCTAGGGAGACACAACCGCCAGGGTCATATAAGGACGGTGCCTAGGGAGACACAACCGCCAGGGTCATATAAGGACGGTGCCTAGGGAGACACAACCGCCAGGGTCATATAAGGACGGTGCCTAGGGAGACACAACCGCCAGGGTCATATAAGGACGGTGCCTAGGGAGACACAACCGCCAGGGTCATATAAGGACGGTGCCTAGGGAGACACAACCGCCAGGGTCATATAAGGACGGTGCCTAGGGAGACACAACCGCCAGGGTCATATAAGGACGGTGCCTAGGGAGACACAACCGCCAGGGTCATATAAGGACGGTGCCTAGGGAGACACAACCGCCAGGGTCATATAAGGACGGTGCCTAGGGAGACACAACCGCCAGGGTCATATAAGGACGGTGCCTAGGGAGACACAACCGCCAGGGTCATATAAGGACGGTGCCTAGGGAGACACAACCGCCAGGGTCATATAAGGACGGTGCCTAGGGAGACACAACCGCCAGGGTCATATAAGGACGGTGCCTAGGGAGACACAACCGCCAGGGTCATATAAGGACGGTGCCTAGGGAGACACAACCGCCAGGGTCATATAAGGACGGTGCCTAGGGAGACACAACCGCCAGGGTCATATAAGGACGGTGCCTAGGGAGACACAACCGCCAGGGTCATATAAGGACGGTGCCTAGGGAGACACAACCGCCAGGGTCATATAAGGACGGTGCCTAAGGGAGACACAACCGCCAGGGTCATATAAGGACGGTGCCTAAGGGAGACATAGCCTGAAACAGAAAGTAGATAGAAAAGAAAGAAGACAGGAAAGATTGGAAACAAAAAAGATCCCAAGTGTTGCAATAGGGGCAACAGATCAATTTTGGTCTCTTCCATGTCCCATCCGTAGAAAACACAGAAGGAAGCCCCCGATTCTGCAGGGGGCCCCACATAAGTTGCCTTTTACGATACCCATGCAGTTGGGAATACAGCAGATCTATTTTTGATTTCTGGAGGGGGGGGGGGGGGGGGGCACATTAGTCAACTCTTACAATCATGCAGTTGGATACACCACTAACAGCAGGCCTATTCTTTCCCCAAACCAGCATGGGTTAACACACAAATGGTAAAAAGTATGATCATAACTGACAACAAAATAGTACATATGACCTTGACTTACACAACTGGCAACATTAAGACCTTGACCCATAACAGGGTAAAGAGTATGAAACAAAAATGATAAGTAATGCCTTTGACCTGATAGTAAATAAATCAAAATATGCCACTGACTGAAAAAAGATATGTACACACATCACACTGATAACAAATATGGCAATACTGTTACCTTGACTCACACAAATGGTAATAAATAAGACCCGAACACCTTAGTACAAATAGCAAATATTAGTAAGACCATGACATGGACAAATGGTATATAATTTGAACTTGACCTACATCAATCGTAAAGTGTGACCTTGACACATAATTGGTATGACCTTGACCTTTATGAAAATCTTTTGTCATAGCCTTTACACTCACAAGTTTTAAATTAGGGAATTTCAAAGTAGAATGCTCGGCAAATTGTCTTATTGATGATTTTTACCTGCTCGACTGCCAAAACTCGTCTCCAACCTTCTTAGATCTGTGTACGAACAGTCCGCTCAGTTTGACACACTTTCCAGCAAAGCTTACCATCCTCAGCAGAACATCCTTACTGGAAAAATAATAAATATATAGTTGAGTAATGAATGCTATGCCTAAGAATTTACCCTGACCAAAATAGGCAGGATTTTAATGGAATCAAAATCACTGCTTTTAGCATTCATATAACTTATAAGTAATCATTTAGTTGGTAAAAACAAACTTTTGTTTGCTTTAAGGACAATTTGATGTTCAAGATGCAGTTAAATTTTCACATCAACTGTGTAAATAAAGAGTATGAATAAAGATTATTATTTGACAATCCTGTTGGTTTGTTTGTGTTTTTCTTCCTTTAAACAGCTATGGTCATTTAAGGATGTGCCAGGTTTGGTGGTGGAGGAAAGGCAAATTTCCCGGAGAAAAACAACCGACCAACGGCCAGTACCTGGGTCTACCCCAATAAGGTGTTGAACCCGCGACCCAGTGGTGGAGGGGAAGTGGTAGCAGAATGTCAGACGCCTTAACCACTTGGCCACCAAAAAACCAAAACTCATGTTGTAAATTTAATTTTAACAGCTACTTTCACTCAGTTGGAGTGATTCTTTATAAGAAATGTATCAGATATATTTAGACAATCCATATCATTAAAACACTATTTCTTAAATATCGTCAAGCAACAGTTGTAGTACAGGTTTACTAACATTAACATGAAATGACAGTTCATGTGTATTAATATCCTTAACACCTTATCAACAAACTTGTAACAATAAAATGAAAAAAACCCAAAAAGCAGGGAAATATAGTTGTCAATCCCATCAGTCAGCAATAATCATCATCCATGATCTAATAAATGTTGATGTTGGAATCCCACTGCTAACCATTCTGTATTACCGAGTAATGTCAATGGTGAGTCTCCACTAATTATTCACCCTAATTAACCCTGGCCTGGCATTATATTCTTTTCTTCATCAACTTTAATGAAAAATACATTTTCAAAAGGAACAAATCTTTCTTCTTCATAATCATGCATGGTGATACCGGTGATGGGAGCAGGTTTAATATACATAAGATAAAGAGCGCTTACTTTTTACTGATGTGGGCCATGTCAAAGCTGATGTATTTGAGGGCGTGTTGAGGAGACAGGAACTGGTTGAGGTAATTAACTGCCTTCTTATACTCATCTGTCAGGATACTCTCGTGCCGCCTCTTCTCCTTCTTCTACAAGACACATCATAAGCTGGCACCGTCACTTCATGATCACTCACATCATTTCCAGTGATATGGGCAGTTTATAGTTAATGATAAAGTGCGTAATTTTGAATTAATTACAGATTTATTTGCGAGCTTTAGTACAGGAATTTGATACAGTATTTCAATCCTTTGATAATGAAAGTACTAACGGCAACTGGATTACAGACAAAAGAAAAATATGAATAAAATAATAATATATACATTTATTCAAAGTTTCTTTTTTTCATTTTATTTTTTATCAGTGAAAACAAAACAAAAATCTGAATGCAATAAGATGTTAAAAAAGAGTGGAGTGAATTGACATGATCAGTTTAACTGCTAAATGTAACATAGCTACTGCTTGCACAGCCGATGAAGGAAATTGGAAAAGAGGAAAACTCAAAGAATCATGAAGAAATACTGGTACATTATTATATGTACCAGGTAATTGAATCTTACAACATTGTTTGGTTGAAAACGTTATATAATCTGTACTTACCTTGACCAGATTCAGAATAATGGCAGGTGCTCCATAGCGTTTGAGCACCTCGTTGAAATGCCTGCCTGCTACACCAGCATATGGATCTATCTGGTCAACTAGTAAATGTAAGGAACCAGTGTTAACACGTGTGAACATGAGTTAAAAAAATACGTTCAAGTACCGTTAATGATCCACCACTAATGGAATTGCCCCCACCATCAAGTCAGTGTTTAAGGGGACAGATTTGACTTTTCTTAACAAAATCACCCCAGTAATACAATCGTCTCAGCAAACGGAAACAAAATTACAGCAACTGGACAAGAGTATCCAAAATGTCATTTCTACTAAAAATTTCAAGCTTTTCTTCTTTTTATCATAATTTCATGACTTTGTTCCTTTAACGAATACACATACAATTTCACAAACATTAACTTATATAGTGTAACAGGAAAGAGAATAGTGTGCTTCCACCAGGGATCAAACCCTCGATCTCCAGGTTCCTAGTCGGACGCTCTACCACTGAGCTAAAGAGAAATTCCCTCTAGCTCGAAGCTAGAAGGCGACCTTATTCCTATGTACAATTAAAACCTGCCACAATAGATAACCACAAATATTTGTCTTCCTTTAACAATTCTAACAGCCCTTACTCATGATTGGTGGTTTGGGTACCATCTTGGAAACATCCTGTGACCAGTAAAGGGGCACAGACCCCCTCATCTGTACAAAGGATGTGATGTTAGCCCTCTCCAGGAAAGTGATGGACGCGTCGTGAAGGATCTGTTCCGTCTCCACCTCATTGGCTACCTCTCCCTATGAAAATGCAACAAAACTGGAAGTGAGTTTCCTCCATCATCTAGACATACAGCCTTGTAATAATGTTATGTATTTATCAAAATTACAGTTAACAGTATATTCAAGAGTACTCAAACAACTTCTAGGTGTGAAACAGCAGATTTCTTGAAGATGGCTGCCTCAGTAGCCGTGATCGCTAACGTGCACAGTGATTGTACTGCTGTGTGTAATCAAGCTTGAGCTTCAGAGGGAGGTTTCCTCCACCACGAAAACACCATTCGTTTCCTTAGCGTCATCGTAATAAAAGCTCTACAGAGCTTATGTTTGTTGTTGACAATTGTATACAATTGATAAATACAGATTATTATTATTATTATTATTATTAATAAGACAATTAATCTTAATTTTTAATATCTCTTTCTGAAAGACATTCAATTGTCCTTAAAAAAATGTCTTAATTTAGAACCGTTCTGTTTTTTGTTCGACTACTCATGTTAAATGATGTGAGTTTTTTATGTTGCACCTTGCAGTTAGCTCCTCTCTTCAAAAATCTTGTTCCAGCAAATTGATTTGACCTTCTGGCTATCAAGGTCAAGTACAATGGTTTACCATACACACAAATATCTGGTCATAGGTCAAGGGTCATAGTAATATAAACTGATACATATATATATACTGAAACCTGGCTAACCCTTCACCCTGTGGAATCCAACAAATTGCTTGGATTAGACAGTACCAGGAGACAAAAGTTTTCTTTGATGGTTTTACTGAGTTATCTCCATCTATACGGCAGTACACCCCACTAGAATACGAAAGACTTCAGCCATTTTGACATTGAGAGTTTAACTTAGGTCAAGGGCATTCAAAAGGTGAAAATGAGCTGTTACAGTTAGTAAACAAATCTGATACTGTAAACAGACTTTCCGATACTGAAAGTGATAGTGGATTGAAATGTTAGTGTGTGATTGAATTTTAACAGATTAACGAATTGATGAATTGGCGCATTTGCAATATATGCAATGGATAACTATAATTATACAGAAACTCTAATTAGGGCAATCATAATTTTTTATGATTTTGAAATTCAAAGCACAAAAAGCACTAGAACTAAAATACAACTAAAATGGTATGTTTTCAGTATGAGAGGTCACTGGTAGAAAAGCTGGTTTCTCAAGGCAGGTCTGATTGCACGGAGGACAGAAAGGATACTACGCTGATCCACAAACCCATGTGTGACGAGGATCATCCAGTCTCTGTGGATTGTGTCTTTACAGTTTCGTTGCAGGAAGTGGTTCCACACATATTTCTCCTCGGGCACAGAGCGCACACCATAGATTACTTCTGTGTTAAGAAACAGCATAACTTTGCAATCTTTGCATTTTTCTTTAAGTTAAGTTATATGTACTCATATAATTTCAAAACATCTTAAATACTATTAATTACTCAAGTATCATTAAATACTATTAACTAGTGATTAGAAATTTAAGATTGATACATTGTATACTTGAAATGAAAAGAAAATTAACACGGCATGTTCAAAAATAAATGAACCAGTCTGAGTCACAACGAAACTAATACATACTGTAGTACCGAGATCACTGATTTCAATGGGTAAACAGAGAAGATTGGTAAGTCATAATTAGCTGTTCCCATACTTGTTAGGCCACTCATTATAAGTTAAAAAAAAAATACATGTCGGTATTGTTTCCTGCATTGCAAACCATCCAGCTCCTAATATTTCTAAACAAGTGTTTTAAAAAGTTGGTTTAGCTTCCAATGACCGCAGGGAAGCCTTCAGTCCACCGGATAAAATCAATCGCCGTCCTCGATTTGTTCAAAAATTGAGAGAAAAGATATGACTATTTCAAATCTGATTTATATACTACAGATAATTCATATCTGGAAAATTTTATATTTTGAAGAAAACATCGCCTACTATTTTTTTATTTTTCTGTAGTTTGTCTTCCTTATGCAACAGTTTGGTTCCACATCATTACAAATTAAACCGTTGCTATGAACAACTGTGTAAAGCTACATAAAAATTTGATTAGACATTATTTACTCTTCTTTTATCAGCATATTTCATAGACAAAACGGCAATTAGCTGAGGAAAACAACACTCCATCCAATGTGCTCTGTTGATCCACTAAAATCAGTCACAATGTAAACAGGAAACGGCACAACACATCCAATAGCATACACAGCTACACGACAGTGGATATATGTACCATTAAGATAAATACCATCCTCGATACCCAGGGGTTACGCTCACTATCGCTCTCTACACCCCTGGAAAATGTCATAGCAAAATTGAAGGCTCAGTGTGCGCCACCTTGAAGATGAAGACGAGAAGACTGGTTTGATTCTTTGATGTACATCAAAATAATCTTGCGGTCACGTAACGGTAAAAATTGACAAGCTTTGAAGTCGAGTGTCGCTCCTTTGTAACTCCAAAGGAGAGGTATCAGCCTAGCGACTGGTCAGTTTTTTTTTACCTGATACCAATCAAACAGCTATCTTCGTGCCTCCAATTTTGCTATGTCCAGGGGTGCAGAGAGCGGAAGTGAGCGTAACCCCTGGATATCGAGGATGGATAAATACCTACATGTACTGAAGTTATATCCAATAAAAAAGAAGAGTCAAAGAACCTTTACTTTGTTTTTTGTCTGCTGTTGTCTCTGCCGTCTGACCAGTATCTGGGGGCACACTCCCTTCCTCTGCTGACTGACCAGTGGCATGGGGTTTATGCTCGTCCTCTACTGACTTTTTGTCTGCTGTTGTCTCTGCAGACTGACCAGTGTCAGGGGGCCCACTCTCTTCCGCAGCTGACTTTTGATCTGTTCCTGTTCCAGATTGTCCCCACACCTTCAAAGGCGGTGTCGAATCAGTACGCTCTGGTTGACGTAAGGTCACAGGGTCAATCACAGTGGTCATATTATACTGGAGTGTATGGGTCAGATCATAGCTATAGCTGAAACACAAATAATGACCATTACTAAGACACGTTAAACTTTTTAAAGAATTGTATCAACTTCAACAATGTTCTCGCCTTCGTTTGTTTGGGGTTTTTTTTTTGGTTTTTTTTTCACATGCAGACATGTACCTTTATTGGATATCAAAACAGAATGATGTGACAGGAAATCCCTCATACTTACCAACCAGAAGAAAATGTTTAGAAACAAATGTCAGTCTCTAAGGTTTTAGAAAAAAGGCTTAGAATAACAAACTACCTTGGTAGAATAATTAGTATGATCAATATCTACACTGTACATGTTTTAATAAGAAAATAGTTTAGAAACGAAATTTTCCCATTTACTGAAGACAAAACTAACAAAATTCCACCTTTGGATTTTAAACTATAACCAAAAGCTTTGATGAGAATTAAATACAGATTATAGTTATGATCTTACAATGATGCAAAACGTACCTGAAGTAGAAATTACTGGAGAGATCTATGCTCTGAAACATCTTCAAATACCTGGAAAAAAGATATTGGTATACGTATGATACATCACACAATTGAGTCTTCTATTATGGTTTATCATACAAACTTTTATGAACTATTTCCTAAATTCAATAATATTAAATACTAAAATATCAATTATAAAAAATAATCTTGTTGGCCCAGATGGTAGTGTGCATGGGGGTGTTAATTTGGGAGAAAATCTATGAAATTGGGTAGGGGCCCCAAGACCTTTTCATGTCAGATCAGGGAATCAAACCCTAGCTATCTTGGTGGAAAAATCTTTTTCTTTTTTCACTGAATTTCTAGTATATATTATTTAATTTTCATGGAAAACAATAAACATATTTAAGCATTTTCCAGGACATGTACTGTACATTCTATCTGAAAGAGTTAAGTTGAAATACTTTAACTCCCTATAATACATTCACAATTTTGCAAGCATGCAGAAAACCTATGATCCATAAACAAATACTCTATCTTATCTATCTGAGTATCAAGCTTTTTGATCACAGATGACTAATTAACTTGTAGTTCTGTTGCACAAGTTTGGCCCTGTTCACTAACTTTTAGACATACCTTTGTTCTTCTGAGTAACCTATGATCCCTAAACAAATACTCTATCTTATCTATCAAGCTTTTTGATCACAGATGACTATAGCTGTAGTTCTGTTGCACAAGTTTGGCCCCATTCACTATAACTTCTAGACATACCTTTGTTCCTCGGAGTAGCTATAGCTGGATGAGCGGATATTGTCGTTAGGGATATAGATCATGGCCGTGTCCTCAATCTTGTAGATGATATGGGGTCCTAGTATTGCTGCTTTCCGACGCTTTGTTATCAATATGATGTAGTATCCCTCCAGAAATCGGACAAAACCTTCAAGGATAATACAATTTCTGTATCACATTACCAGTCAACAAAATGTTAATTATTTCATGATCAGTTAATTATATAACATTCCTTGGAAAACCATGGTAAACAGGTAGATTTTTTTTTCAAACTTGTAAGAAAATAATCCACTGATGTATATACAAAATAAACTGAAACAAAATTAGGACCCACATAAATGATTCACAAGGTTGCATTGGCCAACCAAGAGTTATGCACCCTGACACGTACAACTTTCCTTCAATGGAAACAATTTGACCATGTCTATACGAGCAGGAAAGAGCCCTTAAGGGCTAGGACAGATGATAGGGTAGTTATCTACATGTATATAGTAATGAATGTAACATTTACTATATATTTACTCCGATCTAAAGTATCAAACTCTGTTAAGATACAAACAAATTGAATAATATTAAATGCCCTTTTTCAACAAAGAATTTATCAATTGAGCTACTGTCCTGTTTTTGTTTTTTTGTCTTTTACTGAAGTCGGTCATGGTAATTTCTTGCCTTTTATTTGATCCCACATGAAAGTGTATTACATTCGAAGTGATATTTTCATCGTGGGCCTCCATTTTCAGAGATAACTACATGTAGGAAGCCAAAAGTAAGTATTAATATCATATTTTATTGATGAAGTATCTCTGTTCCTCCCTTGTCTGGTTGTTGAATACTCACCAAATATTCCGAATGCAGAAACCGACTTGGCCAAAGGTGAGTCTCCGGCCTTTAGCTTGGAGTCTTTGTTTATGTTACCATGCTTGATCATTGTCAGAAGATTACGAATCTGGACCATGGAGTACTCTGCCTTTAAAAACAATACAATTGACCAAGTAAGTTTTTATTGTATTGGTTAGTCATGCTTATTTCACGAGAAAATATTAAAGTATTCATATAACTTGGACTTTATTCTATACGACTTAAGAGAGCACACACAGTAAAATAAATGTATTTTTAGATATAAAAGAGCTCTATATATATTATTACATATATGCCTAAGTTCAGAAAAAATATATTAAAATTAGAGCAGGGAACATCAATGATCTAAAGACTGAGTTTTATGCAAACATAAAAGGTTGAATTAGACTGGATTATTCAAATAGTTCAGTTGGTTAAAGTATTCATCTAAGTGATCTGAGGATCCGATTCCAAATTGGTTCTGCCATTTGCATTTTCCCATATCACATAGATTTATTGCCCAACCAATTATACCCACAAAAGGTGGTAAATGGTCTTGTGTTTCTTTGGTGTCAAAGACTCTGTAGCTCAGTTGCTTAGAGCATCTGTCTGTGATGAGGAGGTCTATGTTTTTGCGACACATATATAGTTAGTCTGTACTGTAACTTAACATTTTGCACTCCTATAGCTAGCTGTTAATATGTTGCTCATCAATATGGTGACTGGTCCGAGTAATAAATAATGATGTGCTGGGGAATGTTTACCGTTCAGATTTTTGAACCATTGTATTCCAATAATATGCAATAAATGGTTTAAACCTCTACATCAAAAATTGGACATTCTGATAATCACTTTAACCCTTTCACCACTGTAGACCATAATGGATTCATCAATATCAATGCATGGTAGAGTCTACTAAAGTTACATCAGGGTGGAAGGGTTAAATCTGGCAGCTTGTTAAGTATATACCTTGTCATCTTGAATGATTAACTCCTTTGGCTCTGTCCTGTCTACTTTTAAGACACGATAACATGTCTCTGTCTTGTTGGAACCCACAACATAGAACCTCTATAAAAAAAAAGAAATAAAGCAGTGTACAATGACATTTAGTATATTGTCTTACAGATATATAGATAGAACTGGTATAAAGCATCACCTAAGTTCATCATAACTGATAAACTTCAAACTACATAGAGAATAATACATGCCTTTTTCCATATCACACCCTGAGTATCAACCCGAGACTCCAACGGCCCTCGGGATGGTATTGGTCGAGGGTTGTTACTGGGTGTGATATGGAAGAAGGCATGTTTTATTCTGTTTATTACATAATTACTAATAAAAACTACTATCTTATGGTCTATTTTTCTTTTGAAATTTTGAAAAACGAAAAATTTCCAAAAGGGGTGTGATACGGCGGGGGGTGATACAGGTTTTGGGGTGTGATACGGCGGGGGCTGATACAGGTCTTGGGGTGTGATACGGCGAGGGGCGATATATGGGTTAGAGCAATTGTATCAGATCGCATTTACAAAAAAAACATATTCATTAGTAAGTATGTAATAAAGACTATATAGCTATTATACCAGTTTCTTAATAGAATCTATTTGATCCCGAGATGGGAGCCTGGCAGAATCTAGAAACAAATATTTGACCTTCTCACATTTTTTTTGGCTTTGCCTGGACAGTAAATATTTTCTAGTCAGCTGCTTGGTATTGAAATTAAGTTGGTTTGCCTAAAGTATTTAGTTTATGTGCAGTACTATTTTGTATGCCTTTTTCTGTGTCATGCATTGTATACATATTAGAACAAAAATGGATATAAATGAAGATTGCTGACTTATGCAGATTGTGATGCTGACTAGAAAGTATATATGTACTCCAAGGCATCCTCTCAAGTCAAATCGAAAAAGTTCCTCAGAATCTTGACACATTTGTTGAAAGGGGTGCACAAGTAAACGTTGTCCGATATAACTGTAGCGGAACTAGACTGGGTCGATCGTCGGCGACCTGGTAGCTCAGTTGGTAGTGTTTAGAGTTTGAAGGATCCTGGGTTCGAACCCCGGTCTGGCCATGCATTTTTCCGCTCCCGTCACATAACTATCTTTTCTTTAAAAATCTGTTGATCAGATTGTCCCCTAAAGGGTCACTTTGAAAAATTTGAGCACCAAGTTTTGGGGTGCCGCAATTCACTTCTTGTATACAGGATCATGTTGCCATAATTTCCATGCACGAATTAATGGAAAGGTATTATTTATCAGTATTTACCTCCACCACTTTGCTGATAAAACTGCCAACAACTGACTACACTGTATCTCTGCCATCAAAATGATATTTTTTAACACTGTTTAACTGTTAACGAAATGGTTGATTACTCCATACATTTATTTCAAAAACCATCAACAATACACTATTGCTCAGATCACAGGGGTTCGTAACAAAGGTTTAAAATACACATATGCTTTACTGATATGGATCACAGCACACAAAAACTGTGCTGTGATCTGCATACAGTATCAGTATATTTGTATTTAACACATTTGTAACGAACCCCTGTGCTCAGATGACAAACATCCAATTTAAAACAAATTTTGACAGCCTAATCGTCTGCTTACTGCCTTCGTTTCATAAAGGATGACTTTCTGTATTCTTGAGATGATGGGGCATTCCATGATTAAATCCTCATCAAATTTTGACAAACAAAAACAAAAATCGTCTGTTAGTCCTATGACGTGAAACGTCTGATTAACTCTGATCGTCTGAGAAGGAAGGCGGATACTAATTATCGAAAGGTGGACAAACCGGACTAGCTCTTCTGCATGTTGCTATAATTCAATGAAAGATAAACATGCTTACTATATAAAGACATTTGTTTTATGCACCTTACTGGGCACAGTGCAAAAAGCAATCTTCCTGCATTTACCTTATCCACTATCACTTAATTTCTTTAAAAAAAATGTTGAAAAATACTAAAATGAAAGAAAGAGAAAGTTTAAGTAGCTGTCTGTTGTAAAACAAGAGAAAGCTTTGATGATATGTATGTTTTAAAAGCAAAATGATTTATTAAAGAAGAAACCACCAGGGCTACATTCGCGTATACCGGTTGAAACGGTACGTGTGGCGCAGAAATTTTCCACGATAAACGAACACACTTGGACCGTTCTATAAGCAGAGCTAAAAATCCACAGATTCGGAGAATAAAAAACAGTGTTTCAAGAATATTATGACCTTCTTTCATCCGTCCACTGAATTAACATAACGTAACTTAAAAACTACATGTGACTTGACATTGTTTTAGAAAGAAATAACGCAAATTGGCAATAGTAAGCATTTTAGTTTCGATCAGGCACGTCTGGACCCCTCAATCTAAACGTGCCAAATTTTCCTGAGGTCAGCCTCAGTCCAAATCTGTACCTGTCGTTTTCTTTACATGTTCAACCGGTTCAACCGTTTCAACCGGTAACGCGAATGTACCCTAGTTCATCGATGTCCCTTTTTCCGGAAACCTTAGACAGTCATCCATGCAATTTACTGTTTTCCGTCGCACCGGTTATTCCCCTTTCTATCCAGAAGGTCATGTTGTAAACAGAAAATGGAATATTGCTTTGCTGATTAATCATGCGTAGATACCTGACATACAACAGCTAAGTAAACATGACGAAATATAAAAGTAAGTTGCATACATTATGAATGAATAGCTTCACTATTTTAGGTGACGGACGCTAAATCAAAAGAAATGTCTCGCAATAATTCCTGTATACTGCAGCACAGGTAGGCAACCCAGACTCCCCCAGGCAAACTGAGATGCAATAGACAGATAGATACACAGGTAAGTTGTACGTTCTACATATCAGCCCCGCACTTGGCTCATGTGCAAAACTTCCGCAATAGACTGTCCAAAAGAGCTCGTATATCATGATCATCGAATCTTTAACGCCTGTGAGCAAAATAGTTGCGTGCTTATTTATTTTTTTGTCACGTGCTGTTGTTTTCATTTTGTTTTTAATTTCATGGTTACATGAACCTATGAGAAATGTCTAATTATAGACTGACAAATTAACACAGGTACTGAATTCTGTATATATATATGTATTTATATGAGACGAGATAAATTCATATATATGCTATGCCTACCCGGGAGATCTATTAATCATGTGCATGTCCTGCAAGTGACTACTGCCAGTACTAGTGGCCAGGAGGTCCATATCTAGATATTCTTGATCTGAACACTGGCATTTGGTTATTTCCTCAATTTCTTTGGTGTTGTTGGAATAATTAAACCATTCAATATAGTAAAGGTTTGTAAAAGAAGCTGAATAAAATAAGATTCCAGATTATTGATATTAGAATGTTGCAAGCAATGATGATTCTGAAATTAAACATATAATCAAAATATTGTCAGACCTCCTCAGGAAAATATTAAGCTTTCATTTATATGGAAATACTGTTCAGGTTGAGAGCATTTTTTTCGTTTTGCACATGGTTGAATTAATAATAATAAATACTTTACTCTGTAAATGTCAGTGTAATAACTGTTATCATAGTTTCACTGTAAAATATATATATTATCAATGTACAAAGAATCATATATATATAATTTGTGTGAGTATTTAAATAGCCAGAGTATAGATTGATGTATGTGTTAAATAGAACTTTTTGTTGATCTGCAACAGTAACTGGAATGCTTAATAATTAATCATGAATATGATGTGAAATGTAGCTATTAATTAAATAAGTACTATGTATTTTCACTTGAATTTATAAGCAAAGCTTTATTGTAATCAACATGTTTATGATGTTATACATATTTGTCTTAAATAACATGTGAAAAAGATTTTTATAGTATACATACCTTAAATACAGACAAAAAAAAATTCTAAGTTAGTTCTGTACTTCTAATTTCCTTTTTATTGAACTTTGTTCTTGCTTTAGTGTTTTAATGTAAAATACTTTTTTTTTTTAATTTTGGGTGTTTCTGATTATAATTTTTCAAATGCCCATAGAAAAAGTTTCAATTGTTAAAGAAAATACACCCAATCATTTTTGAATATTCTATTATTATTGTCAATATAATGAAATATATATGTTTGTACCTTTTCTGGAAGTGTTTCATATGAATCATATCTCCCCATGCATTTAACAGAATTAAATCGTTTGATATTAGAGTATTGAAAACAAAATGGATGTAAAGGAATAAATTTAAATTTAAAACCTATACACTACCTATCCTATATGTCACCAATGTTACTATATATTTAGGTATGTGAACTATACCACACACTGTAAATGCACAGCATCAAAATGATAGACAATTTGATATATATATATATGAATAAAACAAAACAAGAAGACTAGTATAATCGACTAGCGCTTTCGCCCATCTTGGGACTCTTCAGACCATTTGAATTTATTGGCGAGGTCATAAATGTACTCCATTTATGACGTCACAAATAAATTCAAAACACCTGAAGATGGGCGAATGCGCTAGCCGATTATACTAGTCTTCGTGTTTTGTTTTTATTCATATTTTTACCGTCACATGGACATTTAAAACTATTTATCTCTATATATATAATTACCTTGACATGGGAAATAAACCTTTTCATCATCTTCTACATGTAAGGGAGCAATCTAACAGTGAATGAAAAAGTTCTGGAAATGGAACTCTCTTACGTGATCATAACTGATGTATAGTGGTATACTCTTTACCTTAAGTATTGTCATACAAAGATGTACTGGTATACTCTTTACCTTAAGTATTGTCATATAAAGATGTAGTGGTATACTCTTTACCTTAAGTATTGTCATACAAAGATGTACTGGTATACTCTTTACCTTAAGTATTGTCATACAAAGATGTAGTGGTATACTCTTTACTTTAAGTATTGTCATACAAAGATGTAGTGGTATACTCTTTACTTTAAGTATTGTCATACAAAGATGTAATGGTATACTCTTTACTTTAAGTATTGTCATACAAAGATGTAGTGGTATACTCTTTACTTTAAGTATTAACATACAAACATGTAGTGGTATACTCTTTACTTTAAGTATTACCATACAAAGATGTACTGGTATACTCTTTACCTTAATAATAAATATTGTCATACAAAGATGTACTGGTATACTCTTTACCTTAATAATAAATATTGTCATACAAAGATGTACTGGTATACTCTTTACCTTAATAATAAATATTGTCATACAAAGATGTACTGGTATACTCTTTACCTTAATAATAAATATTGTCATACAAAGATGTACTGGTATACTCTTTACCTTAATAATAAATATTGTCATACAAAGATGTACTGGTATACTCTTTACCTTAATAATAAATATTGTCATACAAAGATGTACTGGTATACTCTTTACCTTAATAATAAATATTGTCATACAAAGATGTACTGGTATACTCTTTACCTTAATAATAAATATTGTCATACAAAGATGTACTGGTATACTCTTTACCTTAATAATAAATATTGTCATACAAAGATGTAGTGGTATACTCTTTACCTTAAGTGATGTACTGGTATACTCTTAACCTTAAGTATTGCCATACAAAGATGCAGTGGTATACTCTTAATTACCTGAAGTTTTGTCATACAAACACTTCATATAGTGTTTGTAGTAATTGATCAATAAGCTTACCTGATAGATTAAGCCTTTCAAAGAACTGTTTTGAGATGTTTATTTCATACCAAAAAATGTCTTTTATCTTAAAATTTAATTATATGTTAAATTATGTTTTATTTATGTAGATAGTGTACATGTATACACGAGTAATTTTTCAACATTCATTTCTATTTAATTGATATTCCACAGTTTACTAATTTTGATAACAAACATGTATATGATGATGTGTTATCATTGATCATAACACAGTACAATATCATTAATTTATCAGTCCTTTTTTACTAATTTTTACTACTTTTTGGTACATTATTTTAATCATTTTGCTTTTAATTTCAGACAAAATATAACCTCCCACTAAGTAGAACCATCCACCAGCATGCTTGAGGGTTTAGCAGCGTGGATACTGAACACCTATATAGGGGAGTATGTGGAGAACCTTAACACCACACAGCTGTCCATCGGCCTTCTACAGGGTATGCTATACAATTCTCAGAATGGCCAAGTGAAAGTAATGTCTTGTTTTCTTTTAAAACAACCTTAACTCATTCACCCCTGAAATTTCATAATGAACTATTCCAACCTTTGAATTGGAAGAGTTCAAATGTGTCTTCAGGGGTGAATGAGTTTAACTGTGTTAAGTATCCTCAGAACAACTTACTCCAAGTCTGCTCAGATAGGCAAATAAGAGAGTTTTGTTCTCTAATAATGTACCAGAATATACTGTAGGTCTCTCAAAAGTCTGCTCAGATAGGCCAAATGAAAAAAAAAGTGTTTGTTTTCAATTGAAGTTAATTTGATCATTCAGCAATACATTTTTGGGGTCCTATTCCATTCTATTCACAAAGACAAATTTAAGTTCAGATTAAGTCCGAATAATGCTTTATTTACTACTGGAGATTTTCAGTTACCTGGGTACTTTTAACAAACAAGACAATAGCAGCACAAAACATGATTTGTACAACGTATGTATATATATGTAACTGTTTCAGGTGCTGTGGAACTTGAAAACCTTCCACTCAAAAAAGATGCCTTAAAGAGTTTTGATCTGCCATTAGAGGTCAAATCTGGTGAGGAAATGTTTCCTAACTATAAAAGTGTATTCATTATAGGTTTCCCATTCATTGAAGTCATCTCAATATCAGATACAAACATAGAAATTACAAAAAAACTGTCAATTTTGTTGAATTATGTTTATCATTGTACATGTATCAACTTGCATTTTTTCCTTTTCAACATACAAGTTTCATTCTTTTTATCATTTATGTGTGGGTTTTTTTTATGATATTGGGCAAAGTTGAGCAGAAATGAATGATACTGATGACAGAAGTGTGAGCTGTCAACAAAACTAAATTATGTTACCGAAAAATGTGTTTTTGCATATATACATATCAAACACAAAAAGCCTGTGCATAAACAAAAGATTCTTTTCTTGATCATTTAATATGTGATTGTTATGATAGTGGGCAAAACAAAGTGATATTAAGTGGTTATCATATAACAAAGCAAGTGATATTAACAGATGATTCAATACATAGATTATATTAACAGAAGAAAAGGACACCCAGCGATGTGACATTAAGTGGGGTCTACTGTATCGGTACTATTTCAAAACAGGGCAATAGTAAAAATATTGCATTATTTAACATAGGAATAACTGGGTATTTTGTAAGGTCAAATATCCTATAGAAAAACGGGTGGTGAAGACACATGAATAAGTATTCCGCTTTTGCGTATTGCAGAGTTATCTTCTCTTGAGAGCAGGTATTGATTGTTATGTCATTGGTTTGTGTGAGAAAATTACGTCATTTTCTCAAAAATTGATGTCGTTACTCTCACAAACAAATGACGTAACAATCAATGACTGCTCTCAAGAGAAGCTAACTCTGCAATACGCAAAGACGGAATATATATACTTAGTTTATTTATGCTATCAAAATAATAGAAGTTTCTATTCTATATTTTAATTACAAAAATGACTAAATGTAAAATTTAACGTTTTGAATCAATTTGACATAATTGTTAATTGTCATGAATTTGTACAGGTTTTATTGGAAAGATCACACTACAGATACCAATAAGTCGTCTGAGAAGTGAGCCATGGGTTGTGTCGATGGAAAAGCTTTATCTGCTAGCTGGGCCTTTGAAACAATCAGAGGTACGAATTTGACAGATACTCATTAATTGAAACACTATGATTTTAATTGTGATGAAATATAACTATTATAAATTATTTTCAAGATGTTGTCATATTAATTTTATCAATGTATTTATCCTCTGCTTTTAGTACAATGAAGAAAAGGTCAAGAAAGCTGAACAGGCCAAGAAGGCTAGCATGCTGGAAGCTTTAGAAAAGAAATGGCAGGTACGGAATCAAAATAATTTGATATGCACAAATTTGTTATAGTTCATTGTTTATCTTCATAGACCTGAAAAGAGTTGGATTAGTTTAAAATCATCACAGGGACTAGTAAAATATTAAAAAATATTCTATCATTGGAATTGTCATGTGACTAGTAAGAAAAATTAATACCACTTATCACAAGGACTGGTAAATTATTTAAAACTATTCATGTCAGGAACGAGTAAATTTAAAACCACAAATTATTGGAACTTGTACAAAATTAAAACCAGTCACCACTGGGACAAAGAAGATACTTCAATGACTCACCACAGGGGCGATTAGCTGTAGTAAGATATTTATACGACTCACCAAAGGGACTGGTAAGATATTGAAATGACCTGTTGTGCATCAATTACTATCTTCTAGGTTAAAGATTTTTTTTTGAAGCTTTGCTTTATTTACTTACATCCTTATTTATGTGATCACAATTTTTTTATTGACATTGACAGGTGCTGAAAGTTGAGAAGGCAGCGGAAGGATATGGTACCTCCTGGTTCTCGTACGGTACCTCGCTAGCCACCAACATACTGGAGAACCTACAGGTAGGGGCGGTAGTACCACGGAAAACTGACTGATGTGTCACTTAATTAGATCACTTAACATTTAACTGGTCTCTCTAATTGTATAATTGGTTGGTGTTTCACCTACATCAAAAGTATAGGATGTGAAAAAATATACAGTTGGAATATTGGTAAAACACTTTATTTTTATTGAAACATTGATAAATCACCTGCATGCCATTTAAATGACTGAAAAATACAAAGCAAAATTGGTATAAAAGAAAGATAGAAAATCATTCAGTATTAAAGCTGATTTTTTTGTCACGAAAAACGATCTTAATGTTTTAACAATGAATATCTGATTTCTTATTCAAGCTGAAAATTAAAGATGTACATATTCGCTATGAAGATGATGAGCTGATACCAAACTTTCCATTTGCATTCGGCATCACCATTAAAAGTCTGAGTGCCCAGAGCACTGACGAAGCAGGGGTGAGTTTAGTTAATTCATATCTAATTGTAATCACAAAGCAAAATAATTCATATTTAACCTCCAGTTTGTATTTATAGTTCACGACATTTCAATGAAACCAGACTAACTAGGTGTCAAAAAATATAAAAAAAACATTGACCCCAAACTTAAAGATAACGCTATAATTCCCAACAAGTGATTGGCCAGAAGTGAATCACGTGTCCACCGATAAAAACCGATATTGACTTGGGGCGCGTGATTTTTGTTGAAGGACTGGGTGTTTCTAAAAATAGAATAATGATGTGTCTCCAAACGAACTTAACGTCCCGCTTCCGTAGCTTTTTGCTGTGTTTTTTCAGATTGCTAACATTACTGTTTTGAAAATAATAAAACAATTGTAGCCTTTGACTTCGGTCAATACCTGGATTTGTCGACCCGAGAAAAGATATATTGACCTCGGCCTGCGTCCTCTGTCAATATATCTTTTCTCGGGTCGATAAATCCAGGTATCCACCTCAACCAAAGGCTATAATTGAATAATGTCAAACAGTAAACATTTCAGTTGTGTGAGATTGGTTTTGTAGTAAGTTTGGAGTGTGTAATAACACACCCTCACTACATGATAGGGAACTGGTCTCAAAATCAGTTAGAAGGTGGAGGAAATGCATTCATGTGTTGTTTGGTTGATATCAGGTTGTATAGAGACCGCGCCAAGATGTAACATCGATGTTATTGGCACGGTCAGCAATCTAAGGGATATAACTCTCCACAAAATTCTCTACAATTTCCTTTATTTTAGTTTAGTGTATCTTATTTTGGTTAACTGTTTTTATCTGAGCTTGACCGCCTTACATTGAACTAAATTCTTTTGTTTCCTTAGACTCGTAAGTTTGTAAGTAACAGTCTGGCAGATATGATGTATAAGCTTGTCGACCTGCAGAACTTCTCTTGTTACCTGGACACTGATGCTAAGATGCTGGGTAGTCCTCCAATATCTGAACTGGCGGTAAGTTTCTCCAGAGCTTGGGGATATCCACAAGTTATGTTCTTGTGAAAATCAAAATATTACAAATGGAAGACTTTATTAAATATGCATAATTTCCTTAAAATGATGGGATCATAATTATACTAATATCAAGCTGTTTGTATTATAACCTATGTTTAGTTTGGTTTTATTTTGTTTAACGCTGTTATTACAGCCAAGATCATTTAATATAAAGATGTGTATAACTTTTGTAAAACATGTCTCTTTGATCCTCGAATGTTTTTAATGTGCAGTGTCATGATTATCTAACATACAGTTGATCCTGATACTATTAAAATGGTTTTCATTAACAGGATGCTTTACACCCTGATATGTATGTGGCCAACTCCACAGGAAAGTTCAAGGTAAGCTACAACCGTGCAACAGGAGCAACAACATTAACCTCTGATCATGATTGACATGTTGTCTAGATCCATTATTAGAAACCTGTCCACCACTAAATCTTCTTTACCTGTATAGCTAAGGCTTTTCTAACCGATCAGTGTAAAGGTAAGGGGAGATAACTCCATATATAGTTATAGTTGTTTTCTGGTACAGGAACTACTGTAGTTCCTCTACACCAGACTCTATTATCCATACTAATTTTTTTAACGTTCACTTCCTATCATAGTTGCTTTGTAATTATAAAACATGTCCTGATTTTTCCATGCTTCGTCCAGTGCATGTTTAGAAGTGTTTATGTTAGGGGACGATACTACGTTTTTCTGGAAGGCTGTTCCAAAGTTTTGTAGTTCTGATAGTAAAATTCCATGTATGATCCCAATGAGTGAATTATGTACATGTATGAAAGTATTAGATACTGACTGCAATATTAAGAAAAACAGAAAATGGGATAGCTCATGTTTGTAATGGCTAGTGTAATGATACATACCTAAATATCAGAATAACTTTTAGCCAAGTACAGGTTATGTCAGTAACTTACATGTATACATGTAATTACATGTAATCTTTAAATTTAGAAGCACCAAGAATTATGGCAATACTTAACAGATAATTGATAATCAAACAATATAGCAATTGTTTGGAAGCTAATATAAATATTATGTACTTTTATCTTTAAATGAGAAAGCACGATGTACATCTCAAACTACATGGTACATACATGTATGTTATGACTGATATTGCTGTAATATGACTGTGAAAGGAAAATTAAAAAAAATTCAATTGAAAAAAAATGGCTTTAATAGAGAGTATTTCTATCTTTGCCAGCTGTAATGAAAATTTATGCTTTTAAAACACCTACATATCAGGTTTTGTTTCATATGAGGTTTACGAAACAAGTCTTGCTAAAACAAAACGTGTTAATACAAGTTAAATCTCCTGAGATGAAAATGAAATAGAGATCCTATATATCACAGTGTTGAGAATGAATGCAATTATTAGTGAAAACTGTTTTTCTCTCTGACCGTCTTCAAGTCTTCATGTCTATTTTCTAAAATGGGACGTCATAGTGTCGTTCTAATCTTCATATGATCGTAGTAAAATAAAACATTGTCATGACGTCATATCTATTGTTGTGGCTTAATTCATGGAGAGTGTTTTTACACGAGCTTATACTGAAAATATGACATGGATATAGGTTCTCCTCGTTATGCGGTAGTCTTTTGTGATAAAAGTACTTTTGAAATTGTTACATTGTATTATATATTAAAGAATATGAAATTTATATATGATTTATAGCGAACAAAATATGAAAATAATAACATGCATATGGGTGATTTTTATTGTCGGTTAAATTCGTGATAAAACATGTTAATCCAACTCCGGGACCTCAACTTCCATGCATTTGAAGTAGAAACACAGATTGTTACTTGAGAAAATGATGGTAACTTGGGATGCTGATATGACGTCCTCACCCACAATGTTGGAGTCAAAACACTCAGCCTCTTATTCTGGTCAAAATGGTATTCCTCATTTATTTTAACTCCCTCTTTGTTACACGAGATAAAACGAGTACTCAATGTAACTCAATTTGATTGCTTTTACTGAATACACATACATTGACTGAGAAAATATCTTTGTGTTTGGTTTCATGGAGAAAATAAAGGATGAACTTAGACAGCCCTACTTTAGGTTGCTGCTAATTGCACAATGATATTTATGAATACATAACACTTTATACAGGACCATGAATACATCCTAGCCCCTATCAGTGCCCAGACCCGTATGAAGAGGAACACATCAGTCCTTCCCCTGCGCTCACCTTCTCTGCCTCGGATCGCCCTGGACATGAATCTGGAGAAGATGGCATTCTGTCTGAGTGAGAGTCAGTATAGGTGTGTCATACAATGGCTCAAGGAGCTAGAACGACACGACCGGCGACTCAAACACAGAAAGTGGCGCCCTCTAGTGGGTGTGAAAAACAAGTGAGTAAAGCGATCTCCATTTCATCAATTAGTCTTGATTTGTTGATAAGGATCAATTAAGACATCGTGAGGAATTTAGTATCAACACTGAGGGTAATTGCTGGAATACTGCTATTGCTTAGTATACAAATTTGGAAGAGGAGAAAGTTGCATAAAAATCATAAAAATGCTAGAGCATTTTCCAACATTTATGGTAAAAAAGGTGAATTTTTCAATAACAAGGAGGGACTGTATTCTGAATATTACAGGGATGATATCTATATTAATTGTATTTGCCTTATGCCATATACATTTCTGGATTTTTAGAAATTCATTTTAATTTCAGTTGCAAGCTGTGGTGGAACTATGCCATTCAGGTCAATCTGCACATCATTCGTGAAAGAAACAGGCGTCAGACCAAAGCGTACCTTACTCAACGGGTGAAGGACGTGATCAAGTACCACCGTGCCTACATGTCTTTTCTGGCTGGCGAGATCCTCGACCAGGACCATCTGGTAAGCTATAGTGTATTACTTTTAAATAAAACTGATATATTAGAACAATGACAATTCCTGCATGTACATTGCTTTTCTTCAGCATCATTCTTGTATCTTGTATTAGGAATACTATTATTCATTTGCTGTAAAGCGCCTTGGGGAAGTTTTGAAAATTTTATAGGGTGCTATACAAATGTTGTATATTATATATCAATACTTTCATTATTATCATCTTATTTCACACACAGACATAAACAACGGAAAAAATGACATAAACAAGTTAATTTCAATGTCGTAGCGAATCTCCAATATTTATTTTGATAATCAGACTCAGAAGACTTCAGTAATATCCTATTAATGATTGATTGGATTTTATTTTCAAGACCCACAAAAACAAGATGGATGATGAATGGGCATTTGAGGAGCTGAAAATTTTGAGAGAGGTGACCTTTCAACGGGCAAGAAGAGAAGGAAAACTTGAGCAGGTTGGCTTTAATTTATCTGGAAATATTTTTGAAAGCATTTCAAACTCAATGAGACTCAAGCTATGTACATTTAAACATTTCACAGTTTCGTTTCCATTTTCAGGTATCCAGTTTTTAGACTAACAAACATCAAGGAATTTCATTATTTGATTTACATGTTTGAAAGCAGAATAGTATTGTAGTGCATTAGAATCAGAGATGTGATATGGAGTTTGAGAGATTTACTGATTTAGTGTTAGTTGGTACAATTGTACTTAATTTTGCTGTTTCCCAGGTGGCTGTTGAGAAAGAGGTTAGTCCTTCAGTGGCTGTGACCCCAGATGAGAAACCACAGGAACAGAAAGGTGTCTTACAGCGTTGGTTCCCGGGGTGGGGTGGATGGTACGGAGCCTCTGGAGCGGAGGGCGGAGCAGATACAAACCAGTCACAGGACAAAAAGGAAAACCTGGATGACAGCTCCGGAGAACCTCCCCCCAAAATGTCTAAGACATCTAGCTTTGTAAAGACCGAATCTCAATTAGGTAAGGCTAATCAGCAAACTAAGACATAGATATGTCCCTGCAGGTAGGGCGTAAGAATTGTACCTGCTGCCCCCATTGCATGATTGTAAGAGGCGACTAAATTAATTTTGGGATCTTATCTTTTCTCTTCCTTCTAAACAACTTTCTTCTTCCTAATGTCTCCCTTGACAATGCCTCACTTTTGGCCTTAGTTGAGCGTTCGCCTCTGTGAGGAAGGCTTTGGGTTCTGTCCCAAGGCCGAGACATACCTGAGTCTGTAAAAAGTCGGCATCAGTTTTGCGCTATCACAAGAAGACAAACACGAACATATCACAGCCTCCCAAAACACACACATATACACTACACGCATGCATCTTGCACACAGGGGAGGCCGTTTTTAAATAACCATAGCTGTTGTTAGGACGTTAAACAATAATAAACCAAACCATATATACCTATGCCAAGTAGTATCTGTTTCTCTGTAAATTATATAAAGAATATTGAACTGTTTCCTGTTTTCAGAACAAGAGTTGATGGATGTAATACAGGACACTTCTGAGAACACGACCTTCTTAAAGAAAGACTCTGTGTTTGCCAAACTAAACTTCAGCCTTGACTCAGGCTCATTCAAGCTCCTTTGCCCAAATGCTGATGGAATGCTAGCTCAAAGAGCAGAAGGTAGCTATAGTTAGTAGAAAGGGAGAGTTTAGCAAAGCAAAGAGTTCATACAGTGCATGGGGATAAAATTCCTTTTGTTTTATATAGTTGTAACTTGTCAATGTTCTGTTCAGGTAATTAAGGGGTACATTCGCGTATCCGGTTGAAACGGTTTAACCGGTTGAACCTGTAAAGAAAACGACATGCACAGATCTGGACCGAGGCCGACCTCAGGAAAATTTGGTACGTGTAGATTGAGGGGTCCAGACGTACCTGACCGAAACTAAAATGCTGACTATTGCTAGTTTGCGTTTTTTCTTTCTAAAACAATGTCAAGCCACGTGTAGTTATTAAGATACGTTATGTTATTCAGTGGATGCATGAAAGAAGGGCATAATATTCTTGATACATTGATTTTTATTCTCCGAAACTGTGCATTTTTAGCTCTGCTTATATAGAACGGTCCAAGTGCGTTCGTTTATCGTGGAATATTTCTGCGCCACACGTACCGTTTCAACTGGGATACGATTAGATGTTACTCTGAATAGTGTTCCCAGATGCTTGATATAATTAAATTCAAGAACTGTCTTGGTTTTGTGATGTCTATGGATTTATAGTGAAAGTTTTAGTAAACATTCTATGTACTGTCAGCATAGAAAAGTTCTGACTTTATTTAAATGTATGCACAGATAGGTTTTCAGTATGGTATCAAACCATCTCACATTTCAGAGAGCAAACCTTTAGTGACATTGTTGGAGCTGGAATGTACCGCTATCAACATGATGTTTGAATCTCGACCAAGAACCAAGGCCATGAAATTTGGTGCCAGTGTCTCGGGTCTGTATCTACAGGACAAAACGATAAAAAATCCCAGCTTCCCCAACATGATATCACCACAGGTTAAGGTAGGTATAAATGTAGACCTTACATACATGTTCAACATGCACTTACTGAAGCATGTGGCACATTCTGATTGTTAGTTATAATATGACAATACTGCAGTAAGTTATAGAATAAGACATTTATTTCATGTTTGTCCTTATAATTTCAAAAATTTAATAACAGATAATCTTTGCTAACTACAATTTATCCTCATATCTTTCAGCCTAGAATCCATAATAATATTAGCAAATTTAAGCCTTTAACATTGTATAATTTTTCTTGGTAAAAAATATTTATGAAAGAATATATTCTCAAGCTAAAAATCTCAAAATTTGAATATGGTATGAGTTCTGTGGGAATCAGAAAAATGATGTGAATTTGATAAAATAATTTACTTGTGTAGGATCGCCTGGCTTCCCATTCAAAGTCACCAAATTCCAGCTTTTCCTTGCCACCTCTCCACCTGCCTAAGTCACCAGAGGGAGCGGCTACTAGTGTTCCTGAAGAGAAAATATTCCAGCTGATGTATGAAAAGAATCCTGTCAATACAAATGCTAACTACCGGTATGTATCGGCCCATCTTCCATTGTTGAGATGTATATTATATCTCTAATACTGTGTCATATTCAGTTTTATTTATATCACTATTGGAGTCTACTGATTGTCAACAGTTTTTCTAAACAGTAATTAGTTTCACTTGGTATTAACATTGATGCTTGATGCTGTAAATCATGACCTAACTTTTGTGGAGATTTAATTTTTGCATTTTAAATAATTTATTGGTGAAGATTTTAATTCAGGAAAGAAACAATGTCGACAATAGGTTCCTTGTTTAGTTGTTTCATTATAAATATTCTCTTATTTTTTTATGGACTCTGTGTGCTAATTTATATGACGTTCAATTAATTGTGAAATAAAAGGGATCTGTTTATCATTCCAACAACAGGTAAAGTTTTATACAATTGTATTTTACAAATTGTTGTTTTTCAGAGTTACCATAGAAACCAAACCATTGGATATTGTATACAATGCAAGTACTATAAGGAAGATCCGGGAATTTTTTTCCACCAAGAATATGGGGACATCTCGCTCCTCACAGCTTCGACTTACCGGTATGTTCAAATTTTAAACCTCATCATTCAAGAGATGACAGAAGTTTGTGACTTTCGGATGAAAGGTCACGGTTTCAGCTTTGTTTATTATTGGCAGTAAGGTATTAGCATTATTATCGTGTAGCTGAAGTAAGTGCTGTGTTTGTTAATTCATAAACATGTATCACTGCATAGAAAGCATATCAATGCAAATCTTGCTGTATTATATAAACTTAATTGCGGTTTCGAGTCACGGCACGGCACTGTGTTGTATCTTTGAGCAAGATACTTTACTCCACTTGTTCCAGTCTGCTCAGCTGTACATGAGTATGTGGTTGGGCAGTGCTAGAATTGTTGAATGCTAGCTGTGAGAAATAATCACTCTTGTTGGCCAGAATGTCAGCAAGGTGGAGGGGGATCTTAATGTGGGAGGAAATCAGAGTACCCTGAGAAAGCTCAAATAATTGGCTAGGTGACCCCATATCCTTTCATGCCCGATGGGGAATTAAACCCCTGCAATCTTTGTGAAAGGCAAGTGTGTTATCCACTGCAATGCCGACCACCCGTCTGTGTTTCATCTTTGGAATCCCAGTTATTTTGCTTCCCCCCATCAACGTTTTATGCTAGTATAAACATTTATTGTTTAGAATTTCATGTAAAAAGTTATTGAATATACTGTACTCAGATCAGTACCTGTCTGGTGCTTGCTATTCCATCACTTTGACTGTATATATATTGAAAATTTGTCTTTGATCCTATCACACTATAGTGCTTTATTAAAATGGAACAGGTTGTAGCAATGCTAAATAATGTAGTTATACTAATATACAAAATCTTCTTTGCAGCTGCTGCCAGACGTCAGTATGAATTTCTGAAAGAACAAACCAAAGCCGAGCTGAAACAAACTCTTGACCAGATATTAGAAGGAGATGAAAAGGTGCCATGTTTTTTTATGTTAATAGATTAAATCAATCATAATGAAAGTGTGGTTTAAATATAATATATTTTCACCTCATAAACTTGCCATGAATGTGAGCTCCTGTTTAGCCTGTAGAACAATAAAGCGTATTTGGACACTAATAATAATAATATACAACATTTATATAGCGCCCTATATAATTTGTAAAATTACTTTAAAAGCGCTTTACAACATATGGATAATAGTAATGGTTATAATTGTGAAAACAAAAAACAAAGGCTTACAATCACTTTTATACATTTAAGCAAGCAATGTGCACATAATTGAACAAATGAAAGGGTGGTATTTACATGACGTCTTTGCAAAGATTCTAAAATGCAGACGTAAAGAGGTGAGTTTTGATGTCCCTCTTGAACTTGGCCAGGTAATTGACTTTCTAATAGCAGATGGTAAGCTATTCCACAACGTAGCTGAAACCCTCCCAAAACATCTGTTTCCGTAGGTCACAGTACAAGATTTTGGGACACACAACAAAGATTCTGACTCTGACCGCAGTAATCGTGATGGCTGATACCGGGTAACAAGCTCCTGTAGGTACTGGGGAGCTGTTCCATTCAGTGGCTTGTATGTGTACACCAGAAGTTTGTACTGCGATCTGTATCGTACAGGTAACCAGTACAACGAATAAAGCACATTTCTGTTTGATTTCAGTTGCAAGCAAAGAGATGGGATATTAAGTTAGACATTTCTGCCCCACAAATCATAGTGCCAGAAAACCTGGCAGACGTTGACACTCGGGTCGTTGTTATAGACTTGGGACATCTACATGTCTATAACAAAAAGTTGTCATCCCCACAGCAGGAGGAGGAAAAGCCAGTGGAAGACAATGATGGTAAGTCTGAACCAGATCATCAAATTTACTTCACAAGAAGAAAAAACAAAAATTTATAATGAATATTGAATACAAATTTTGAAAGCCCTGAATAAAAAGTAATTCTTTACAGTGTAGAAATTATGATTGATATACAGATGAGTTCCAGACGCCCCTGTCGACACCGCCCAATGAAGTGGACGATGGTGAGGCAGTGGAGACGAAGTCTGATTACATCCCCTTGGACCACAGCTTATCAGAGTCTTCACTGTTTGAGAAACTTTATGACAAGTATGTAGCTGAAAATCCTGATAAAGTACCATGAAAAGATTTAATCTATTCACTTCGGTCAAATATACACAAAGTACGACTTTTATCATCCAAGAAAGAAAGTTTGGTATGCACCAAAGTTTTTTAATTTATAAAGTTTTCATTTTGGGTGTTTTTGTTTGATGTGATTGAGCAGATTATTGTATCCGCCTCATGTTTTTGTTAGAATCTCCTGGAACTGTCATCCTAAGTAACAGTTATAGTTAATTTCACTTGTAAATCTTACGTCTTGAGCTATAGGAGAGGGTTCAGAGCTATGACAAACACAATTTAGGCCTGAAAATGTTGTGTCTCATCATGTTATTCTTTTTTCTGACTTGAATTGGATATTTCTGTTAATTCTCGGTCATATTCGTGTTTAAATTCTCCATGTTTTAATAACATATAATACTTATAATGTATTGTAGATACAATTTGGAGCTGTCAGATCTCCAAGTGATGGTGGGGAAGATGACAGATAACTGGCGCCACACCCGCGGAAGTCGTAGTTCCACCCACTTTCACGTCATAGACAAACTCAGCCTCAACCTCCAGTTTGAGAGGTATGTTTCCTCATTTTTACAGGTTTCTTCCTTTCAACAAGTTTTAATTGCAAAGAGATAGAATAATGTCAAAAGGAGGGGACAGAAGGCACAAGTATTCTATCTGTGTTCAATCTCACCTAATAGATATATAAATTTAGCTTTACTCAGAAAACTGAGAAGAAACTATTGCTTATATTTCAGACGTTTGATCTACACTCCTGACCCAGAGTGGCCAACTACAACTTTAAGTGGAAATATGCCGTGCCTCACACTCCATATCAATGAACAAAAGGTGGGCATGACCATTTAATAAATTGATTTAATTGTCTTTTTCAAGATCAATTCTATATATCACCCCTGAATTTGTCACATGGTAAGGTTTTTACCATGATCCAATCACGCGGTTCAATACACTTATAAAATTGAGAGATTACTGTGAAGGTCTGATTTTAGGAGTGGATAATTTAAAAGTGGTCGGAAGTATAAAGTATGAAGTATGAACTGTTTTTGTTCAATTGTACATGTTTGTTCATGATAAAAGTAAGATAAAGATTGTGAGATGTTTTTGAATCATAGCCTGTTAGAAAATAATAAATGTAAGGCAATACTGTTCCTACAGATGCTAGCCCTACATCGGTGTGTGGAAATTTTGAGCCAGCCCACCTCTGCTTCATCCTCGCTCGGCCCTGATTTATCCTCCTCTGGTAGTGGTATGTCAATGACCGAGTCGGTGTCTGGGGTAGATATCAGTTCACAGACTGACAACCTCTCTCTCAACACCAGGTATGTGATATCATGATCAGTGTGGTCTAAAGCATTTAGTCATGGTGCAGTAAAAGTGTCTATTTATCAGATAAACCTCTTAAAATATATGTATATACTATAAACTTTATTTATTTTACAACAATTATGAAGTTATATAACTTATATTAATCACTCTTGTTAGCCCGGATGTTAGCTCACAGGGGGTCTTAATGTGGGAGGAAACCGGAGTACCCGGAGAAAACCCACGTGGTCGGGCAGGTGACCCTATACCTTTTCACGCCCGGTCGGGGAATTAAGTAAAATGTTAACAGTTAGGAATTAAGCATCATCACATGGGTTTATCAGTATGTGGGGGATGTACAATTCCACTAGCATGACACCCTGTAGATTTTATATCAGATGAATGAAAATAATTGTTAGTTATTGTAAAAACATATAGGTCAAACTAGTAAAATCTGCCTGTGGGTCAGTACTCTGATATTGAAATTATACATTCCTGAATTATGAAATTCATTGAAATGAGTCAGAAATTAGAGCAGAGGTGTAATTCGTGTATTGCCTGTGTTTACTTTCCTGTATTATTATAGTAATACCCATTTGCAGATCTGGGTAGGAAACAGAAAACATGACTGTCCTGTTCAAGGACAAAACTAATATTATACATATAGGATCTTACATGAGTTTCCATTTCATATGAAATTTATTCTTCAATTTAGCAAGCTAAAATAAAAAAAATTGTGACGAGTTTCAGAAATTTTATATGAAATGAAAATGAGTGTAAGATCTTTTTTATCATATTATCAAGATGTGTGTTATTTATATGTGTAAAACAACAATTTTCACGCAACCTTGAATTGTAAAAAGCCACCGTTTTGACACCAGTGCGTAATTCTGTGACATCATGTACTTGTCCTAGGCGTGACGTCACAATGGAAACCATTGAAACTTACAACCAATCACAAGGCTGATAGGTCATATTACATGGGTTAATACGCAAAAAAATATGACATGGGTATATTCACTGAATTATAACACAGTACATTATGTGATAAAGGTATTTCACATTTTCCTTTCCCCCTTTTACTGTACAGTTCTGCATCTGAGAAGAAGATGAGTGACAAGATGAAGGAAGTATTGGAGGATTCACGTCTAATGCTGGCAAAGTTTACCATCAATGCTATGACACTGGAGGTTCAGAGTAGAGGTCAGTGTCATTCATTGGTTAATGTTTCTGTTATATATAGTTTGATCCCATATTCATGAACTTGAAGAAAGATTCATTCAAAGACAAACTACTTCTTCATGTCTGCAGATTAAGTTTCTGATATGTCCATTTCATAATTTTTATTTTATAAAAGGTTATTCCAGAATATAAAGAGGAAGGGGTCTAAATAATTGCTATGACATATATGTATTGAAGAGAGTAGAATAAACATCAATAAATTGTGGGAAACGGGATCAGAAATGGTGCCTCCTTGCCCCTTCCACCCAATACATTTATACTGTTTATGAACTAGCCTTCAACTTGTTGCCTTTTCTTGCCATACATTATTGTCAATAAAGATTAACGTATTATCCGCGTTGGTTCTCGTGCGGTAAATTTTACTTATGGCACATTCTTTCCATTATTGTTGATGTAGGGCGCCCTATCGTGGAGCTTCAGGTGACTAAGGTGAATGCCAACCTGACCAAACGTCCATATGACACCAAGATAGGCCTGACAGTACACAGTCTCCTTGTGGTGGATGCTCTGCAGCCTTATGGAACAGACTTTGAATTGCTTGTAGCTTCTCACAAAAATGTCACGTAAGTGCAAATTGATATCCTAATTTAAGTGTATATCAGAAACTGGAAGTGACTAGGATGAGGGACCAATTTGTACATTTCCCCAAATGCTGCAGAAAAATGGCTCCTGCACTCTTTAAGTTAAAAGTTATGATATCTCTGTCATTTACTGTGTTGTATCCTTGAGCAAGATACTTTACTCCGCTTGTTCCAGTCTGCTCAGCTGTAAATGAGTACGTGGTTGGGCAGTGCTAGAATTGTATAATGCTAGCTGTGAGCGCCAAAATGGCAGCACTGGCTGTATGCTCCCCAGGGAGTTGAGAATGATATTGGCTGGTTGCAAAGGCCTATAACCATGGATAATAATTTGTGAACCGCTTTGAACCGACCTACTAGGTTGTGATAAAGCGGTATATAAGAACCCCAAATTATGATAATATTATTATTTACAAGAAGAAACAGTTCCACAGAATTCTTTAATTCTATTATATTATCCCTTTATGATCAGCTTGTAATATGAAGTAACCTTTGCACTTGGCTTACAAGATTTGTTACAAAGAAAATGCTTGTTTTGACACTTTGGAGGTCATGCTTTCCTTTTACACACACTCTTATCTGGCCAATAGTCTTGTTTTACAAAAAAAGGAAACATGAAATCTAGAGATGTTAATGATTTTGTGTTGCTTCACAAATTCTTTTTGATATTGATATTTCTGTTTGATTTCCAGACTAGACAGTCGAAGTGGAAGTATCCGAGGCTCCGAGGCAGTGTCACCCGGTTCACCAATGTCTCCTACTTCCCCACACTCCCCCATGGAGAGCCTCAATGAGTCCGCTTCCAGCACCAGTCTAAAGGTGGTACAGGAGGCCATCTCCAAGACCTTTCAGGCCCTCGTCAACTCAGGTGATTCTGTATAGGACTTGTTAAAGGATTTAAAAAAGTCGGATCATGTAAACTGCTTCACAAACTATAGTCTTTTTATCACAACATTGATTCGTACAAGCTTATCAATTCAGACCAACTTGTCACATTCAACTCTGAATATTTATGAAAATTGGAAATATTTGAAAGACAAAACGAATTTTGAATAAGTTTTTGTTAATATTCACCTTAATAATGTTACCCTGACCCAAGTATGATATCATTTGGTTAACTCCTGATCCTTAGTCATTTATAACATCTAATTTAGGATATGTTTTCCTGTTTCCAGGCTCCTATTCACTAGGTCTAAACATTGGTGACAATGAGCCGGCTGATTTGATACCTACTGTGGAGGAGGAAGCACTCATATCAGTTGATCTAGAACTCATCAACGAGAACTCACCAAGTAACACTACAGGGAAGGGTGCCCTACAGATAGCCAATCTACAGTTTAACAACCTGGATATCATAGGTAAGGCTAGGCTATAGTACAACAGCCTAGATATCAAAGGTAAGGCTAGCCTATATTACAACAGCCTAGATATCGTAGGTAAGGCTACCCCATAGTACAACAGCCTAGATATCGTAGGTAAGGCTTCCATATCGTACAACAGCCTAGATATCATAGGTAAGGCTTCCATATCGTACAACAGCCTATATATCATAGGTAAGGCTACCCCATAGTACAACAGCCTAGATATCATAGATAATGCTACCCCATATTACAACAGCCTAAATATTGCAGGTAAGGCTAGCCTATATTACAACAACCTGGATATCATAGGTAAGGCTACCCTATAGTACAACTGCCTAGATATCATAGGTAAGGCTTCCCCATAGTACAACAACCTGGATATCATAGGTAAGCCTTCCCTATAGTACAACAACCTAGATAGCATAGGTAAGGCTAGCCTATAATACAACAACCTGGATATCGTAGGTAAGGCTAGCCTATAGTACAACTGCCTAGATATCATAGGTAAGGCTTCCCTATAATACAACAACCTGGATACCATAGGTAAGACTAGCATATAATACAACAACTTGAATATATATCATTGGTAAGGCTACCCCATAGGTAAAGCTAGCCTATAGAACAACAACCTGGATAACATAGGTAAGGCTAGCCTATAGTACAACAGCCTAGATATCATAGGTAAGGCTAGCCTATAATACAACAACCTGGATATCATAGGTAAGGCTAGCCTATAATACAACAACCAGGTTAACATAGGTAATGCTAGCCTATAATACAACAATCTGGATAACATAGGTAAGGCTACCCTATAATACAACAACCTGGATAACATAGGTAAGGCTAACCTATAATACAACAACCTGGATATCATAGGTAAGGCTAGCCTATGATACAACAACCTGGATATCATAGGTAAGGCTACCCTATATAACAACAACATGGATATCATAGGTAAGGCTAGCCTATTATACAACAACCTGGATATCATAGATAATGCCAAGCTACAGTTCAACATCATTGATAACTTAAATAAAACCTGCTTTCATCTCTACAAACTAAAGCAGACTCCTGACATTTCAGTATGGGCTTATTTGTATGTTGCTCACAAATTTCACATAATTCTATCAAACATCGTTAACAGATGACAGCTGGTGCTGTCTGGTTGTAGTTAAGTGTTTACTAAATAGCCCAATGTAGATGACTTTTGTCTCTACATAACTTGTTCACCTCAAGGTCTAAAAATGTTAGGAGGTCCTCCCACTTAACTTGTAACATCAATAGTTTTAATCAGATAGTTTAGTGACACACCCAAGACTGAGATTCAATTCTGTTATGTTATCTGTTGCTACAGGTAACCAGGAGACCATTGTGGAACTACTGAGTTTCTGTAAGACCATCAGCCCTGAGAAGGACTCGTCATTTTCTAGCTCTTCCACGTCTCTGACCAGAACGAAGCCATCCACCATCATGACACAGAGTGCCAATATCTCTGTTTTGACAGATCAGGTAAATTGAAGTCTGGGAGATTAAACAATCTCAGTTTTATTCATAAAGTTCAAACTGAAGTAAACATATTATTGTGTTATTTGTCATTATTGGTTACAGAGAAGTCTACTTGAAATAAAATTTGAATCTAGTTCTAAGAAAACCCTTACTCTTTCCTAACATGCAATTTAAATGTATGAATTAATTTTGTTATTTTCAAATAACATACTACCGGGCCCACTTGTATAAAACATCTCAAAGTTAAGGAAAATCTCAAGCAATGTATTGTCTATGGGAAATCTTGTACTTTAGGAAATCTCAAGAGTTGAGATGTTTTATACAAGTGGGCCCCGGTACTTACCGTAACCTGAGGTATTTCTAACTTTACCATGTTATAAACATTTTATCATACCCGGAAAACTTAGATAGCTGTAACGAAATTTTCATTGGTGATTCTAGTCTATTTCAGTATGAGGTCAAATACCTTTTATTTCACAGGAGGCAAAGCCCCACCAGGAAGTGACAGCAGAGTTCCATCGTGTGAGTGTGTTGTTAATTCACCTGGAGGACGTCCGTGGGGTCAAGCATGCCCGCAAAGTAGCAACCGCAACAATGTCATCAGCTAAAATACAAGCAACACTTGGTAAGTGATTAATACCAAAATAAAGAGAAATTGATGTAGAAATATATTTTAATTAAGTTGAGATTTTGAACCATTTTGATTTTATTTTTTTAAATGAAGTATGAATCTGTAATCCACAAATAACAAAGAGTACCATATTATGTAACCATGTGTGTCATATGTAATAGGGATTAAAAACCAGTGACACCTCGCTTGGGTGGAAATTTTGATACAAATCATTTCAGATCGTGCAAGTTTCACAGTACTGTCAGCTTTTTAATTGAAAAATGCTGTGAAAAAGGATATTTATACCACTGATTTCCAATGGTTCCATATCTCTGAAAATATCAAAGTTAAATCAGGTGTTTGTAACATTACAGGGAAGGATCTGGACTTGTCAGGGTCTCTGGGCGGTTTCCACGTACTGGACATCACACCTGACATACCCCAGTACCAGCAAGTGTTCAGTGTTGGTTATGACTCCAGTGAGGAAAACACAGACATGTCCACCTCCTGTTATCAGCCAAGCGTCATGTACAAGACTGCCCTCGAATCCATGTTTGATGAAAATGAATCGGACACAAAAGCACTGTCCTTTCATTATTCTCGTGGTTTGAAGAGGTCAACAACTGTTCAAAATTATTCTGTTGATTTAGACAAGACAGATGATGAGACTGGAGTTGACCAGAATATTTCAAATCTTGAGCTACATGTAGCTTCCATGTCGTATATCCATTCTCCTAGGATTATTCATGAGATTTCCTTGTGTGTTTCTGAATTCAAGGAATACATGTCAGTTTTTGCGGAGTCTATTAAAACAGCTGCGGCAGAGGTCGCCATGGAAATAATTTCCAGTAAGTTAGACATGTCTGTGATAGGAGGCAGAAGTGTGATTGGAGATGTCATGTCTCCAGATGGTAAGAGGATATCAGCTGCCTGTCTTCAAAAGCAGGCATCTATGAATAAACAACAGTCATTTTTATATCCAGAGTATGACGAACAACCGTCGGACATTGCTCCGGCAAGAGTGTTACTCATGAACATTCAACTAGCCTCACCAGTGATTGTGTTTCCTAGGTCTTCAACCAATCCCCAGGCTTTCGTTGCCCAGCTTGGTCAAATATCCATCAGCAACAGTGATTTATCCACTGAAGAACAGGACGAGGACGAGGCAGAACGAGTCAGTCGCAACAGAATGTTGATGGAAATGCGTGACATGAATTTGTGTTCGGTCAATCTGGAAGATGACCTGCCCAAAGGCATGTCTGTGTCACAGTACAACAAGAGCTTCATGCATTCTTTAGACCAGTTTGGTATTCCAATCATTCACAACACTACCGTGCAAATGATTGTTGACTATATCCAGCCAGAGCCGGTGAATATCCTTCCTCAGGAGGACAGTTCAGCTGGCTGGTGCTTTGGTGAAGATATGTTTGAGGAGGGAGGCCAACAAAAACCTGTCACAGTGGAAGAAGTGAGCAACATCTTGGACATGTCAGCTAAAATTGCTACACCTCTGAAGGCGGAATTGTCAAAAGCAGTGTATGAACAACTCCTTCAGACAATAGATAACATGACCTACAGTGTTCACATGGCTAGAGATATGGCAGGGCAGTTTGGCTCTGAAAATGCAAATGAATTTCAGGAAATTGAGATTACAAATTTGTCAGACAAGGAAAATGTACCTAAAAATTCTTTCACAAGGTCAGTATCACAACCCGCTGAAAAACTTTTGACAAAACGAGTCCAGTTTGAAGTACCTGTGTTTAATGTCGAAATGAAAGGTGACTTTGGTGAAGGGGAGAAAGGCTTGGTGGATTTGAAATTGCATAATTTTCTTTTGAAATATGAAAAAAGCACCAGCTATTGTTCCAACATCAACATCCGCTTGGAGTCGTTAACTGTTGAAGACTTACTGGAGGATCCAGACTCGCCACACAGGTACCTGGTCACATCCCGCGCTGCATCAGACAAGGAAGACAAGACGAGTGACCTGAAGCAGTTCCTGTCCAGGTCCTGTCCCGACAGCATGATCGTAGCTCCAACTCCAGTAATGCCTCGTTCCCTTCCATCCAGTTTCCACCAAGATTTACCTCCCCACACTATGCTCTCCCCCTCAGTCGAACAAGTTCCGCAGCCACTTGGATTGCTGCGGAAGTCGAGGTCATCAGCTATACCTGTCAAGTAAGTGTATGATGTAGACATGTAGACACTGTACAGATGTGGACAGCAGAACCTGTCTAAACCAAATGCCATGATACACTTTCACAGAAGTGTTAGGATTACACAGGTTTATTAAAGTTAAAAAGTGTAAACAGTTTTACGAACCATTCAGGTCTACGAAATAACATCACAGGTGAGCGTCAAATCCATCTACCACTCAGTCCAGTCAGTATTTTGAGGGACAGATTTCCCCTCTTCTAAGTAAGTGTCCTGGTAATCTGGCCACTTTATAGGTGGAGACAAAGTTGACCGGATTAACATGGTCCAAATACTTATTTGAAATAATCAAGAAAACAAATGAAATCTCAGTTTCAGGACAAGAATATTTTGTATGAGTATCTAAATTAATGATGAATTATGTGTATTGTGTTGATATTGTCACAGCAACATTTGCTTTCAAACCAACAGATCTGGGCTGTACCCAAAGACCCCACCCCCTTCACCCCTGTTGTCGAGGAAACAGTCAGTCTGTGATGCTCGTGATGACACTCTGGTACACATCAGTTTACTTCTGGTGGACAAACACTCCCCAGAGTATGTCTCCAAGTTTGATCAGGTAAGTGGCTTTTTAATCCCTTAATAAGGTGAGAGCAAGATGGTAAAGTCAGAACAGTAGGTTTATAAAACCTTATAGGGCCTGTTCATATATGCATACAGACCGGTTTAACTTATTCAGGGATAAAGTCTTGTAGACTTGCAAATATTCCTGTAGGCCGCAAAAGTCATTTTCAAGGTTCCTCACAGCACAAAATTTTATTTCCTGCTTTTCCTTCTGTGATACTGTATGTAAAGTAGATTATATATTAATATTAGATTCTTCAATATTTTGTCAAATTTTCTGAACATATGGAAGAACATATCTAGAAAACCATTCCTAGCCGATTTATCATTAAGTAGATCACAGAGCTAAGTACGTAGATGGGTGATTAAAACTTAGTGATAGATAAATCTTTATATCTTATCAACATAAAAAGTTGTTGTCATGTATCTGGTAGTCAGTTTATATAAAGGAATATATTAAAGACTAATTAATTAGAATGGATAATCAAAATGTTGAAAAAGTACTTCTTTGATAGATCTGATTGGCTTACCAACAGAAAATAGTTCTTACATTAAAAGATTAGTAGATTCATTTTTTTATCACATACCTGTTGAATCTTGTTATAGTAATACAAGCAATTTTCAGACCATGAAATACAACGTTCTGTATTGCACATGTGCAATACGGAATGTTGTATTTACCTACTAGCCGGAACTACTTTTTATAGGAATCCTCTTGTCATGGCAAACTGCAAAGTTTGTGGTATTTGCAAAAAATGTCAAAGTTTATAAAATCTTTGTATCGATCTCTACCAAATACGGAAGGTATGTGATAAAAGCAAGACCACATACTTGTTTTTTTCTAACGAATCAGAAAGCACTCATTTATTGCGCGGACGTATATATACGTCCGCGCAATAAACTCACGCTTTCTGATTCGTTAGAAAAACACAAGTGCGTGGTCTTGCATATATATTCCTCTTCTCTTTGATTGAACAACTGACCGGACTTTTCCAGACAAACCGATTTGTGGATGTCGACTTTAACTGCCTGGATGCTAACATTAACCAGCAGACTTGGGTGGTTCTACTCGACTTTCTTGGACTCGGCACCAAGGTTCACGACGTCAGTGTGTCTGAGCCTAGTACTGCAAGCACCGAGAAGCAAGAGGTCAAGCCCAGTAAAGGTAAGGGTTCAAGAGGTCAATAGATCAAGTGTTCAGTGAAGCAATGCAACGAGCAGCACATTTTCTTCAAATAATTCACTTTCTAACACATATAAAAAATAGTATTCCCTGTATATATTCTCTACATCCCTACATGAATGTTTACACTGTTTTCACTGTATTTCCAAATTCGATGCACTGTTAAAATTGAACTTTATTTCACTGATATCCTTTTCCCTTAAATGTTCTTGAATGAGCTTATAACTGGAAATCATTAACAGAGGATCCTGTAGATTTGTTATGATCCCTGGGTCAGTTTCGCATGTTAGCAGTTTTTTCAAAAGTTTGATTTATTTATTTTATTTTTTGCTTACAGAACCAGCACCAGTGTTCGTAAACTCTGTCATTAATCTGAAGGTAAAGAGCCTGAGTCTGATGTTTAACAAGCCAGAGTATGAACTGGCACGAGCTAACATCTGTGAGTGGTCATCTCACATCCTGCTGAGAGATGGTAACTTCAGCATGTCCGGGCAGCTCGGCAACATCTCTCTCCGAGACTGCTCCCCACATGGCACTCTCTACAGGGAGCGCTTCATCACCGTAGGCAAACAGGCTCTCGTGTTTGACTTCTTCAAGTAAGTACCGAAGCAAGATTTAGAAAATGTCTGCAATGGTAATATATATATTTAATTGTAGTTCTTTATATGATATTCATTACGCTGCTCAGAAGGGAGTTTTAAGTTAATGTCAATGAGAATTATTGGTTATTAGATATTTTCATTTTGTGTAATTATTGTTCCTTTGGCCTAAGCTGTTATGTGGTTGGTGGAATGGTCTCACTGCCTGTAATCATAGCTTCAAGACTTGGAGGGTTGGGTGTGCTACATCCAAAAAATATAGTGCCATTTAGTATTAACCTGGGTTCCATTTATCCTTTGAAACAAACTTTGTTGTATACAGTGTCTTTTGGGAATATACGCAAGTTGAACTGTTGTTTGGTATTGGGAATTCTGTCAGGAAATAATTTATCCCATATTTTAATTTTAATATCTTAGCTACCCCGGTATGTAACAAACATTCTTGCCTCTAGGTACGGCTTACCTGACCCAAACCTGGAGAGAGCGGAGGACATTACACTGAAGCTGTGCATGGCATCAGTGCGATACACACACACAAACCACTTCCAGATGGAATTTGTGGCGTTCATTCAAAACTTTCTACAGCTGCAGGATATGTTTGGACAGATGAGAGCAGCATCAGCTGGCAAAAAGGTATAGACAACTAGGTATATGTCCTGCTAGATAAATAAATTAAAAAGGAAAATTCTTAATGCTACTAAAATTTTGGATCATTGTATATGTGTTCTTTGTTTTACTTGAATTTCTGAATTAGTTTTTATTATCGCTGACAACAAAACTTATCAAGGTGTATGTCCTTCTAAATAAATTATTAAAAAGGAAAATTCTTACAGCCACTAAAATTTTGGATCATATATATAGTATGTGTTCTTTGTTTTACTTAAATTTCTGTACTTGTTTTTATTATCGCTGACAACAAAACTTATCAAAGTGTCAAAAAGTGAATGAATTACTACTAAAATCTTATTGTGTTTAAATTTTAAAAATTATGAATACCGGTAGTTGTCGTTGAAAACTAATAATTGAATGGAATGAAAGATACTAGCGATCCTGTCAAATTTTACTGACAATGGCTTTTACATTGAATTTGTTCAGGTGGCAGAAAAGGCCAGTAGAGGCGCTCGTGTCTCCCTAGACATTGAGGCCAATGCACCAATCATCCTCATTCCTCACAGCTCCAAGTCCACCGACATTCTTGTAATGAACCTAGGAAATCTCACTGTGAAAAACAGCTTTATATATGACGGTGATAAGGGTACAATATCATCAGGGACTGTTAAAAGAGAGCAGAGCTTTCACATGGAACAGCCAAACTCTCAACCTGCAACCACTTCAAAGTCGGCCACAGCGTCATCTACTCCCAGTAGTGAATCGCCGCAGTCAGAGATCCATGTCATGACCCAAAGTTTGTTTGATGAATTCAATCCTCCCCAACAGAGCACACTTGATCCTATGACAGCTGGCGTGTACGGGAGTCTGAGTGGAGATGTTATTGATGACACAATGCCGAGTGGTTCAAGCTCCTTGGGAGCATTTGACCTGACCGAGCAGTCTTCCCCAGACTCGTCACCAGATCTAGCGCCAGAGGGATCTAGCATAGACATATTTTCATCCTCAACAAGCATTAATCTCTCCTCTCCAGTTATGATGTTGGACAATCCATTCACCAGAAGCTTCGGATTGAATCTGGAGAACACACTTAGTGTGGGATCTGCCAGTAGCTGTACCGAGCCGACCTCGGCAGAGTACCTTACACCAGCCTGTAGCAGTGGGGGAGACTTCCTCGATAGTCCACGTCACAACTGTCTGCTCGACGTTCTTGCTGTGGAGCTGGCTGACATGGATCTGTTCTCTGCAGAAAGGGTAGAGAAATCCTCATACAATCAGGTTGATCGGAATCAAGATCTGGAATTCACAGACTGTGTGATCAAGCGACAGGTAAAATATGAAACAGCTATATTGAGGTATCTGGAGTTATTTATGTCAATTGGTACAAAAGTAGTTGTCATGGATAATATTATTTTACTACACTACTTTCCAGTTTCCCTTCCACAAGTTGCATTTTATATTAGAGGAAAACGTTCAATTTTTGTGTTCAGTTATGAAAATTGTAAACATTGATAGAAAATGTTACCAAATTGGTTTTATATTAATGTGTTTATTAAACTTTAAAATTATGCTGAACTAATTGTAAAATAGATTTGTTGCTGTTATTGCATTATTTTCATTAAACAAAAAAAATGACTTCCTAATTTGACAGGGAGCTCGGGCCCTCAAAGAGAAGATTCTCTTGAAACTACACATTGAGAGAAACCTGGAAAATCTTGTGAGTCACTCAGCACCAGACTGGCAGATACAGGGAGCTCTATCATCCGTCCACTGTTCACTGGATCTGGTTCAGTATAAGTTGATACGTGGAATTCTTGAGCACAATCTTGGTGAAAAACTGGAGGAGTTCAAACGACCCATGATGTCCCACCTGCAGGATCCTAAGATTGAGGTGAGTTGATCTCACCAGATGATGGTTGATCCCACATGTAAGATTCTGATGATTCCCAATATTCAACTGTAGCTTGTTACAGCCTCAGCATGTTATGTTCTAGGGCATTTGAATTCCCCCAGTTTGGTAGACTTGAGTTATGGCTGTAAAACCTCATCTATCGCATCTAATCTCCTCTAGATATAACATTAGGTACGTGACATAAGTAGAACAAAGACCGAGAAATATTTGAAGAAAAGTTAGTGAGGGCAGATAATTGGTAGCCAGAGTAATATTACTTTGGATGTAATGCCAATATCTAATTGCAATTGACTGTCAAGAATAACAATAACTCTATCAAAAAGTTGTATTGTGACTATTAAATGGGTTTGATTCATATTTCATGAAATGTCTATGTAAAAACAAAATCCTTTTATTTTTCAGACTGTTTTGAGTGGTAAGGTTTGGAAGGGAATGTCATTGACCATTGACCTCAACAATGTGACCTTGGAACTGCTGATGTGTCATAGTGGACAGGGGTCAGACTGTCCAGAGTCTTCTGTAGCCAGGTTGGACTTCATTTCCTCTTCTTTCTCCTTTGACAGCTATTCGGACCAGTCCAAGGATGTGGACTTAGTGTCCCACGAGATTGCGATCTACGATACCAGATACAGGGGTATGTGATTTAACTCCAACAAGAAAAATATTTCAGTCAAAATACACAAATTATGAAAGTGGCCAACAACATCTAAATGTAAATTTGATCAACACACACATTTCATAAATGTCCTACTTCAATTGTAAAGGGAACATGGTTGATGCCACCATTGGGAATCTACCTATATTAACTTTGTAATCTTTAACACATACCTACTGCTACTTTTGATTTAATTAGATTTCAAAATATTCAATTTGGAAAATATTAGTTGAGGCTAAGCATGATGTTCTATCCATTCGTATCATTCATTGTGCAGTAATTTAACTTTTTGAAATAAAATGAAACCATCCGGGCTCGTGACCGAAGGGTTTCGGGTTCGAGTCATGTCACAGCACTGTGTTGTATCTTTATGCAAGATACTTTGCTCAGCTTGTCCCAGTCTACTCAGCTGTAAATGAGTATGTGGTTGGGCAGTGCTAGAATTGTAGAATGCTAGCTGTGAGCGCCGAAATGGCAGCTCCGGCTGTATGCTTCCCAGGGAGCGGAGAAAGATATTGGCTGTNAGAAAGATATTGGCTGGTTGCAAAGGCCCTATAAGTATAACCACGGATAATAGTTTGTGAACCGCTTTGAGACCACCTACGAACTAGGTTGTGATAAAGCGGTATATAAGAACCTCAAATTATTATTATTATTATCATAAATATAAATTCAGTCGTAACACATTTATTTTAATCTGAAACATATTTCTATCCAGATGCCCCTGCCAATGTTCGCCCTAATGTGTTTGAGAAAATCCTCCAGAATGGCCAGAAGCCAGGGAGCACAAGTACCAGCCTCCAGATGGAACTCCACTACCGGGCGACAAAGGAGTCCAATCGCTTCATGGTCTTACTTCATAACATGAAACTGATGTGTGTGTTTGACTGGTTCCTATCATTACAGGAGTTCCTGCTCACCAAACCTGAGGACCCTTTCGCTTCAGGTAGAGCCAGTTTTATATAGGTTTATTAGGGCCCTGCATCAGAGATGCAAATACGGTATAGTTATCACCATGTCTGTCTGTCCACATTTTCTTTTCTGAAGATCATCTCAGACTCAAGTAAACTAATCTTTTTTTTAAATTTGATAAAATGATACACTGTGATATATGTAGATGAGTTTAAAATTTCTTAAAGTCAAGGTCACTTTTAATACTAAAAATAGACCTGGGGGAATGGTCAGTCATATGGTGGGGCCCTTGCTGACCTGTCTGTGTTCTAGTTAACTTTTCTATAGGCTTATAAATGATTTAAGTCTTTATATATGGTGTAATTAAAGAGATGTGTTCTTATAGTATGGAAGATGTACTAAAGAACTGAAACGGAATTTAATGCGGCCTTAACTGGTTATCTCCATCAACTGGTTATCTCCATCAACTGGTTATCTCCAGATGCCAGATAGACTTTCGGTGAATTTTTTATGAACATAACCTGTTTCAGGAGCCATCTGGTTCTTTATTCAAAATTGTATTAACCAAAAGTAACTTTTAGTGATTGTGTCTTATAAAGCAGGAAGGCCTGACATGCAATTAAAATGTAGTCAATCTTCTGTAATCCATCTGATTATCAGTAAAGCTTACTGCCTTAATGTTGATGCTAAAAGGAACTATGAATATAAATTACTCCTTCAATTTAAGATAATAGCATCTAGATTACATTTAAAGCTAAACCATACTGTAACATTGTAAAGTTGTTTGTGATTTAATCTTTGCATTAGATATACTTAAAAAGGAATTTATTTGTATCCTATGAATAAATTTCAGTAGGTTCTGTGCAAAAATAGGTATAAGTGATATTTGATTTACACTTTAGAGCAAGAATCATGTGAGGTGGAGAGACAGAACTCGTCAGGAGCTTCCGAAGACGACCAGGCTTCAGCCTCTATGTCCAGTGGGTCTCGTGCGTACAGTCCCCTCACTGTGTCCCAGGGAATCATGACCAAGCGCGGGCCCATCGTTGAACAGGTGTGTGTCAATATCTTCTTTGTAGATATATTATAAAATAAATATAGTTTGTATGCTGCAACTTTCCTCCTTTTTTTTTAACCACTAATAGAATTATACGCGTTCAACAAATTTTTGATTCCTGCTGTGCCATAGATAGATTACTTAATACTAGATTAACAATGTTCTACAGTTATAAGTATTTTTTGTGTTCCAGCTGGAGGTGCCGTTTGAATTTAAACTCAATGTAACAGATACACAGTTTGTTGTGGTAGAGGACAGCACCTCCTGGGATACCAATGCTGTCATACTCAAGGTAAGGAGTAATGCTATTATTAATAACATTTATATTGTTAATCAGTCCATGCGAAATACAAATGTTCTTACCGGACATTTGGTCAGGTAATTATCCGAAGCTTGCCGGACCGGAACAACTTTTACAGGACATTTCGGTCAAGTTAGCTTTAAATACTTACCAATCCGTAGAAAATGAAAAAAAAACTAGCAAAAATGTTGGAAGTATACAATAACTAAATGAAAACATGAATTGAGTTTAGTTTTGGCCGTGCTTTGTCAGGTTTTTAGCCCAGTCTCGTAACGAAGCATACTTCTTCACTTTACCAATGTCAATACAGGTAACCGCAGCACTTAACTGCACTGAATATTACAGGATCATTTAAAATGCCCAAGTGATCATGACATGACTCTAAGGCAGAAAACATGCCGGACATTTGGTCCGGAATTATGATAGCGATTGCCGGATGAGAAGTAAATTTTACCGGACATGTCCGTCGGACCGGCATATTTCGCATGGACTGGTTAATGCTTGTAATTGATGGTTTGAATTAAGGACACCTTTATGCATTTAAGCACTGTTATTTATCTTTTCCTATTAGTAAAATGAAAGATTGCATTAAGAGACCTTGTCAATTGTAAGATAATCAGGAGTTCATTATAACAAAGGTTGAGTCAGTAGTATATAATACTTTGGTTTGAGTCTTGTCTTTCTGTTTTTATACCCCCGTCAAATTTTGACGAGAGTATTATGGTATGGGGTTGTCCGTCCGTCCGTCCGGTGTAAACTTTTGTTTGTCCGGCAATCTCCTCCTACATTTTTCAATCGATCTCTAGGATGAAGTGCTACCAAGTTGGTTCAAAAGAATGACTTTTATATATATTCAAAGTCACAGGGGTCAAATATGTTAAAAACCTTTAAACAACTTCTTCTCAATAACCGAAAACCCTAGGATGATGCTATTTGGCCAGTAGCATGCTGTGATGAAGGGCTACCAAGTTTGTTCAAATGAATGACCTTGACCAACTTTGAAGGTCACAGGGATCAAATGTCTTAAAATCTTCAAACCACTCCTTCTCAATAACCAAAAGGCCCAGGGTACTGATGTTGGGCCTGTAGCATGCTGGGATGAAGGGTTACCAAGTTTGTTCAAATGAATGACATTGACCCACTTTCAACCTATTGTCCTTGTTCGACATTCAAGGACACAGGCTTCATGTTTAAATCTTTTAATAGGTTATTGTAAATCAAACACCGATATTCTGCCTGTAGCTGTATTTAAGTCCACTTTTAAGACTACAAGTGTGAGATTAATACCAGGTGAGCGATGCAGGCCCATTGGGCCTCTTGTTTTCAAAAGTTATTGCCCTTTGTTTATTTCAGTATTTGATTTTTGTCCGGCAATCTCCTCCTACATTTTCCAACGGATCTCTTTAAAACATTATAATCATGATATGAAGTTGTGTCTCCCTTAATAGAATTTTGATTCAACGATTTTTGTTAAAGTTATTGCCCTTTGTTCATTTCAGTAACAATAACACTATATGGCATTCGACGGGCGTATATTGTTCCGCCCCGCGGTACTCTTGTTCTGACAAGACATTGGGTTTCATAACAACTGTTTTTTTCTGTCACCAGAGTACAGCTATGCTGAGTTACCGCCCTAAGGCCCAGGACAAGCTCATGTCATGTAGCCTCCAGAGTATTGAAGTGTTCTCTTGCTCATTAGTCAACGAGGAGGAAACAGCTTTGTCCATCATCGACCCTCTCACCATCACGATAGACCTCAATGCTAATCCTCTACCCGAGCCTAAGCCCAGTCCTTCTGGGGGACTACTGGATGCAGCCCTACCCCCGGACCGTGCTCTTGTACTCGAGGTAAAGTTGTTTAAATACACAGTGATAGAAGAAATTTTGAATATATCAAGTTTCCAATTTACAGCGACTAGCATATATATAGTTGTCCCACCAGTGTTTTGAGAGGAGAGATTGTCCCACCAGTGTTTTGAGAGGAGAGATTTATCTATGGTCCCTGTCGTTCTGTCTATTTAGCAGGGACTGGGGACAAAAATTTGAAAACAATATAAACCTACGGATATCTTCGCAATATATAATATTCTCTCATTTCCCGGTGTGTAAGATAGAGCTGTCCAGGGTAAGAAAGGGGTGTAGGAAATTTCTATCTTACACCTCATTTCACATGACGTGACGTCACAATGCCTCAACAATGACATGAAGTCACAAATTTTGAAATCTCTGATGCTGCAATGCTGAAAAGGCAACGTGATGAAATTAAAACCTTTTATAATATGTTTACAGTACACATTAAAAAGATGAGATTAATTTTTCTGCGCAAAGTATGTTTGCAAATATGGGGTATGCTTATTCTGGCTGACAGATTTGTTTTTGTCTAAAAAGCTCAGGGGGAAATTGATGTTTTCAAAATGGTAGCCAGTCCAAACGCATTTTAATGGTTTCTGAGCTTTAATATTATGGTGGTTGGAATGAGAGAAAAATACTCTCTCATGCCCAAAGTTGTAGGATAGGAAAATTCAACCCTCAGGATTTCAAATTCTGCAAAACCCTCGGGTGGAATTTCCCTATCCTACACCCCTGGGCATGAAAGAGTCTTATAATACATAATTATAATAATATAATACAACAGTTTATAGTCCCACTTTCGAATTCCGTACAATGATGATAATGCTTTAATGTTTGGGAGTTTGTGATAAAGAAGAGACTTTTTTCCAAACACTGTTTTTATACCAATTTATAATGTTCACTCTTACAGGTTTCTTTCAATACAATGAACATCCGGTTGTCCTACCATGATATGAAGATGTTTCTAGCCATATTAAACTCATTACCCAAACAAGCACTTCAGGCCAAGAACAGGGATTCTCAGAAGACGTCCAATAAATACCCAAGTAAGTTTAATACCTTCTGTTACAAACAGACTGTTTCATATAAAGAGTTTTAATGTATGAAATCAGATCAGCAATATACTGCATTTGCTTTGAAATCAAAATGTAATTGTCAAGGGTGTGTCTTGACTTAAATTTCCTTTCAGATGCCCTTGTCATCAATAAGGTCTCTTTTTTTCTAAAAAAAAATGTGATTTTTTACAAATACATCACAGTATACAAATACAGGAAACAAAGATGTTATATCACACCTTCCCAACAGTTATACACATAAAAGACAACATGTTTATCGATAAGAACAGAAATAGACATTTAGTGTAAACAGATTGTCAGAGAATACCATGTATTAAAATAGTCAACCAGCTTTGAAGTAAATGAGAGATTATTTTATAAACCGTGAATTGTTCTGTGAATTGTTCTATATTAGATAAAGTCATTCTGAATGCTAATCTTATTTGAATTGATTTGTAATGTTGAATACTTCTGTGTTGAATAGAACACCAAATCCAGAAGTTACAGGAACTTGGATTTAGTAAGGAGGACTGTCAGAAAGCATGGTCGGCTGTGGATGGAGACATGAACGAAGCTGCCGTGTGGTTAACCAGACACTGTACACACGTTCCTGCCCTACCCCAGGGACAGCAGAATCTTGACCTCACAGGTGTGAAGGTAGGTACACAAACTCTACCCCAGGGACAGCAGAATCTAGACCTCACAGGTGTGAAGGTAGGTACACAAACCCTGCCCCATGTACAGCAGAATCTAGACCTCACAGGTGTGAAGGTAGGTACACAAACCCTGCCCCATGTACAGCAGAATCTAGACCTCACAGGTGTGAAGGTAGGTACACAAACCCTCCCTCAGGGACAGCAGAATCTAGACCTCACAGGTGTGAAGGTAGTTACACAAACCCTACCCCAAGAGAGAGCACTGACCTAATATTATTCAGAGTAGGTATCCCAGCCCCACCCCAGGGGAGTGAAATAGAGACATCACAGGTCTTACAGCAGATACCCTCTCCCCAACATCAAACAGCAGATTGTGGTCATTACAAGGTCATGGTAGGTATGCCAGCTTTACTCTAGGGGTCAAGTTTGTTAAAGGATTAAGATAACACTGTAAATGTACAATGTTATGTTCTTTTTAAGTTAAAGAACATTTATTGTCTGTTGTTCCAGCTGATTGCCAACTGTCTCTGCCTCTGTTTCATCGACGACTGTCGGGACTCGGATGTCCCACTTGGTGAAATAGCGTTCAGTTCCATCAACTTCCATCAGAGGCTTGGTCAAGACCAAGAGGGTACAGCTTCCTTCCAAATGGCTGGTGATTTCTACAACCGGGCCCTGTCTGGCTGGGAACCCTTCTTAGAGCAGTGGAGGTAGGACTGTGATAAAAAGTTCAGGAACTTGTAGCTGTTCTTGTGATGTAAAATATTTCTTTTACTGGACAGGCATTATTACTGAGTTTTGTTTGTATGGTATCCTACTGCCTTCATCTCATTTTTAGCTCACCTGGTCCGAAGGACCAAGGTGAGCTTATGCCATACCGTGGCGTCCGTCCGTCAACCATTTCTTTAAGCGACATCTTCTTCTTACCCACTGACTGAATAGTTTGCCTTGATTGCTTAGATATCCTGGTGAGAGATACAGGCCCTCTGGGCCTCTTGTTCAGAAACACAATGTTTGTTGTACAATGATGTAATTTCATGTATTTTATGTTTTACAGGTGCCATTTGGAGTGGAAAAAATATGTGAAAAATAATGAAGAAAAGACACATTTCCAGATCAATGGTATGAACAACTTTTCAAAATGTGACTTTGTAATATGGTTGTGAAAAGTTTGTGACATTTTTGTAAAAGTAATAATAATGTAACGCATATTTGCTAGTCTCTGTCCTACTCTTAATAATCAGGGAACTTATGTGAGAGAAACTGTACACTGTTTGTAAATCTACATTAAAATAATTTCAATTGCAGCCCAGGATGTGTTGAACATCAACATCACCAGTGCCTTACTGGAACAGTACAGGAAGACCAAGCTAACATGGACCGAGGATTACTACAAACATATGTAAGGCATTTAATGCATATGCAAATGAACATTGTAATTTATTTCAGCTTCAAATTGAGAAGATTTAAAAAAAAAATATGTAATGTAATTTGAAAGAAAAAAAATGTGATTTTAGCATTCTTAAAAATTCAACTAATATCAACATTGTTCAGATAAATTGGTCCTTTGTTGTTATTCATTTCATGAAAAATTTCAGATTCTTGTTGGCACTTTTTGATTTTAAAAGGAAAAGAAATATGACAATAAAATTATTTTATGGTACAGTTAACAAATGTAAAGTTATGATAGTTAAGCATAAAGTTCCACCTTTTCTGTTGATAACAGATCCACTAATGTCACTCAGTCCAACGGATCACCACAAGATCCTGTGCCCTTGGCTAGTCAGAGGCGCCGAATACCGTTTGTGCCGTTCCTCATCCATAATCAGACTGGCTGTCCTCTCTGGTTCCACACTGTCACAACAAACCCCTCCAAGTAAGTCAGCCTGGTCGTTTTTTGCCCTAAAACAATGAGCTACCAGTACATAAATGAAATGAATATAATTGGTCCCCCAGTTTATTCAGTTCAGATGTGATTTCAACAAAAACAACCAAATGATGTCATATTTCAGATTACCTGGTGCATTGAAAATTGGAATTTAAACTTAAACTCTGACACTTAAACTATCATGGTAATTTCCATTCTTTAAGAAAATGCATGAAAGTAAAAAAACTGCGTGAAATCATTTATACATGTACTAATAAAAGAGATAAATTCCAGCACCAGAGAATATGAAACAATCGTAGACTTAAATTTTTGCTTAGCCAATCACGTATGACGTCACTTTTCACGTATGACGTCATTTGTGATTGGCTAAGTCCAAACTTAAGACAAATTTAGACTTAAGATCTTTTCATGATCCTTGGGCCAGTGCTACAAGTATGAAGAAGATCAAAACCTCCAGTATCTTACTCATATTTGTTATTGCTGCCTTCAGAGTGTATCCATATGGGGAAAAAATACATTGCCTATTACTAATACTGTATCTACAAGAGTGTACGAACATTTTGTTCAAAGCACTAAATAAGAATATTCTTACCCATCAGGACGACCCGCCTCACTGGTCCTAATGAGGGACAGGTGACCGGCAGTGCCTACATCAATGCCTCTAAGTGGACGAAGGTTAAACCGGGCCAACAGATGTCCTTTGTGTTCCACAGGAAGGAGAAAATCAGACACAAGGTTAGATCTCACTTAACCTAATAGTACAAGGTTAGATCATGGTCACCTAATCTGTTATTAAAAAGGAAATCTTGTATATGCACATTCAATTTTCTCCATGAAGTGATATCTTAACATTGATAAGGATAGAATTTATTGGTGATCAAACAAAATTTTGAAAAAGCATAACAAAGTCCTCCAATACAAAATACCTAGAAATTAAAAAGGTACCAATATTTATTGACAGGATCAGGTTTATATATGAACGTGGATCATAGCTATGCAAATTGATGTCTAATCATAATACATGTATTTAGGAAAAAAATGTTGTATTTAAAAATCAGTTATTAAGAATTTAATACCGGTATTGTTTTTCAGAAAAGTCATGAGTTACAGATCAATCAACTCGGAGTTAAAGTTGAGGGCTGGCACCGAGTGACCCCAGTCACGGTGGACAAGGTTGGCGTATACTTCAGACACGCCGAGCCTGACACAAAGTCTGCCACAGGGCTGTCAGGGGTAAGTTCTCCCGACATAATATAGCACTCTTCCTAGAAGGAATCGGGGTATTGTTATGTATCTAGTGTAGAGGCACACTACGGTAAATTTATATTAGGCATGAAATGTGACAGTCGAAAACAGTCTGGGTTAGCTGAAAATCTGTGTGAGATTGGATAACAGTTAAAAGAGACAATTATTGGGAGGTCATCGTCACTGCACTAGTCTCGGTGTTTGTTTGTTAAAGAGGCGATTAACAGTGGGTCATTTATACTCTTCTAGATTTAAGGTTAGCTGGTTATGTAGGCTTATACTGTGTAAGCTTCAATTTGATCAAGAAAATGTTAAACGTTCTCTGTCAAACTTTCTGAGCTACTGTTAAAATGGTCATGGATCAAAAATTACTCAATCAAACATTGAGCTTCTACTGAAATGAGCCTGAAATGAGCATAACTCAAGAACAAATTATGCATACTTAGCCAACTCTCTCAGCTACCACGTTTACATACAATGACCTCTGTTAATCACTATCATGTTTGTGTTTTATAGGTTGTATTTTGTTAATTGTATATTATGTCCATTCATTCTTGAAACAATTTAAAATTGAATTTCTTTAGAATTTTCACCTAGGTCATTTGAGTAAATAGTGTATAACTCTTTCACCCCTAAGTAACTTTAGTAGACTCTACCACACATTTATCTTGGTGAGTCCATTTTGGTCTACAGTGGTGAAAGGGTTAAAATACTGTCGAGAAAACTGTTGTTTTCATGGGGATCCTAATTTCACTATTTTTCTTGTTCAAATTTTACTGGAAAAAAATTTTGAAATGAATTATGACCAAATTATCTTTATAGTTGACTTTTGAGTCGAACCATGACCCCGCCAAGCAGCAGATTGCCCGGATCGTGTTTGATGTGCATCAGGAGGGCAGTGCCAGGAAAGTCATCACAGTCCGCTCAGCACTCATGGTCGTCAACAAGCTTGACTGTACAATCGACCTCAAGATGGTGCTTGGAACACAGTTTGAGGGTATGTATCTTCACTAACACATCCCAGGTCTGGTTTTCACATTTGTAGCAGAACTGCACCAGGGCTGTTTACGTTTATGGTGGTCCAAACGGTTGAACCAGTTGGACCATAGTTGTTCGTTTATGAAATAAGGTCGAACCCAGTAATCTGATGGTGCTTTCAGGCTAGCCTTGACCAATTCTTACAAGGCCTGCATAAACTTTTGTAGGTCTGCCAGGATTTATACCCGAAATTGTTTTATTTAAAAATGGACGTACCAGTTGCTCCACATAACTGAACAGGCCAGTGGTCAATCAGTGGTGACCAGGTAGCTCAATTGTTTCGAATATTTGTCTAAACTTCTGAGGTCCAAGGTTCAAATCGCAGTCTGGCCATGTAATTTTGTTATATCCAGTTACAAATAAAATTGGATTATTTTTTTATTCGCTTGCTGCATATATCTCAAGTAAAATTAAAATAAATTTTGTGTTAGCTGCAGAAAAAAGTTTGTTTGCTTGACTTAATATCATATGTTGGTGTCTGTGTATGATAGAAATATTTCTATTTTATTATTTCCAGGAAATGTTGAGATCCTGCCAATACCATCAGGAGGCAGTGTCCCCATTCCCCTACCCTTTATCATGGCACAGTTGTACATGAAGCCCTGTGATTGGCCAGTCAAGTTTTGTAAGCAGACAATCCAGTGGCAGCATGTTGGCCTGGCAGGACAAATCAAAGATAAGATTATGAAGTGCGAGACATATGATGTCGCAGGGATATACAGGTGAGCTATGCTAGGTATTGTTGGTAATTTTCTTTTTTTACTTGTTTTTACTGACCACACATTCTGTAGAAAATACAAATTAGGCTGAAATATTGATATTACTGGAATTATATAATAGCAGGTTTAGGAATGAAATTGATATATAAAAAAAATCTGTATCTTCATAATTTTTATTAAATATATCAATAAATTATTTTCAAAAAATAAACAATTTTGTTGGGATTTGGAAGAAAATCCATTAATTACACATTCTTTCTCATTTTAATCAAAACCTTAGTTTCACAAAAAATAAATATAAAACCTAAAGAGGATTCTGTTTATGACATAATTGTAGCCACATTTCTGGTTTGTCAATTAGGTTCTGTGCCGCAGTGAAGAGGGAACACTACCCTGAGCAGAACTTCACACATGAAGTGCCCATACTACCTGGTCATGTGATCACACTCAAACCACCTGTCATCATACACAGCCTGCTGCCAATCGACCTCAACTATTACCTTAAAGACACAGATATATCGGGGACAGTCAAACCTGGCAAGAGTGCTGCGTTACATGCGGTAAGTGTGAGGTTATATCCTGATCAAATCAGTAGGGTTTTGTGTAAAAGAAAGAAAGAAAAAAAAAGAATTTAATTGATATGAAGTAAGAAATGAGTGTCAAGATTGGACAAAAAATTTAACTCTTGGTATTTCAAATTGAAGTGTCACATGCCTGATAGATATCGCTTTGTCTGTACAGGCTGATCCAAGTCAGGCCATGGAGCTTGGGATCTTCTTAGAAAACTTCTCTAACTGCTCAGAGCTGATCGTACCCCCTGACACAACGTACTACAAAGTCAAACTGAGGCTGTTCGACTGCCAGAAACGAAAACTAGAGCTGTTCGTACGGATTGTGTCCCGGAAAGGAGGCTGTGTTAATGTGAGTTGGCATGGAACCACAGCCTGTCAAAACAATTTCAAACTACATGTATAACAATTATTAAAATAGTACAATGATAAGGAGTTAATTGTGGACCCGACCCTGACATTCTCAAGAAGATATGTTGGGGGGAAATATAATTAAAACCTTCCAAAAAGACTATAGCTGTTTCCTGGAGTTCCTTAAGAAGGAGTTTAATGTACACCAGTCTTAAAAAATTCTATATGGTAGTGTAGGTCATATGTATAGAAAAACTTACTTGACTTCACTTTACCCTTTCACCCCTATGTAACTTTAGTAGACTCTACCATGCATTGGTTTGCATGAATCAGTCCATTTTGGTCTACAGTGGTGAAAGGGTTAACCCAAGTTAATGCCCTTTACCTCAAAGCAATACTGTAGAACATGAAACGTTCATGTGTACTTTCTTAAATTGTTTTATGTTCATACTCAATTCCCAGGAAGGCTGGTTGTATTGTAAACATAAAAACCTTATTCTAGATTCCTTGATATTGAGAAGTACTGTTGGATTAGAGGTACATCCGAGTCCATGTAATATAGCTAATATGATTATTCTGTGTCCCACAGTTGTACATCATGGCCGCCTAGAGGTACATCTGAGTCCATCTAATGTAGCTAACATGATTATTCTGTGTCCCACAGTTGTACATCATGGCCGCCTAGAGGTACATCTGAGTCCATGTAATGTAGCTAACATGATTATTCTGTGTCCCACAGTTGTACATCATGGCCGCCTACTGGTTGGTGAACAAGTCTGGGTTGCCACTGATCTTCCGTCAGGAGAGCTGTAAGGTTGACTCCGCGGGACAGTTTGAGGAACATGAGCTGGCTCGCAGTGTCACCCCATTACTGTTTAGCTACCATGAGAAGGAGTTGTCCAACCTGTAAGTACATTCGCATATCCGGTTGAGAAGGAGTTGTCCAACCTGTAAGTACATTCGCATATCCGGTTGAAAAGAAAACGACAGGCACAGATCTGGACCTAGGCTGACCTCAGGAAAATTTGGCACATGTAGATTGAGGGGTCCAGACGTACCTGACCGACACTAAAATGCTGACGATTGCTAGTTTGCGTTTTTTCTTTCTAAAATAATGTCAAGCCATATGTAGTTTGTATGAGACGTTATGTAATTCAGTGGACGCATGAAAGAAGGGCATAATATTTTTGATACATTGTTTTTCTATTCTTCGAAACTGCAGATTTAGCTCTGCTTATAGAACGGTCAAGTGCGTTCATTTATCGTGAAATATTTTTGCACCACCATTTCAACCGGGATACGCGAATGTAGCCCTGATGACTGGGGTAGATCTCATCACCCACAAATATTTTTCCACACTATATATTCTAACATTTTAGACCCAACCACCCCTATAGTAAAAGTGCAAGTCTCCATGCACTCTTGCATATATCCATATCTAGAATAGCTCTTATGATTGATATAATCAAAGGAGTTTTTTCCTAATAAATATATTTTAACTTTTTTTGTCTTTAAAATGAAAGGTGTTTTACTGAGAATTAAGTTGTTATACAGATGTACATGTGATCTGTGACATCAAAATATTAAACCATATTGGAGTGTTGAATTTCAAATTTCATATTACAGCTGAGGAAGATAAAAAAAAATACTTAAAGAATAATGTTTACATTATATATAACTTTCAAAATGAAACTCTTGCATTTGATCAAAGCATTTCTGTGTCACATCTATTTCAGGTGTACAATGAGAGTCGGAAAGTCAGTCCACGGACCAGTCGCCATACCTAACTGGTAAAATATTGGGATGAGAAATATAAGGATTATCGTAATGTTACTTATATATTATAGGAAAAGATAACCAATTATGTAATGCTATAGCCAAAATTTTACCTGGATCCATTTGGACTAGCTCTAGCTACTAGGCGACAGACTGGGTGATCTGAGAAACCTGTTTGGAGGGCGTTAACCATAAATTTTATTACCATTCATGATACATGTACACAAACTATTTTGTAGTAACTAAAAACAGGTCAATAACGTTGTATCCTATCATATTAGGTTCATTCTTTATGTCAGCAATCTTTCAAAACAGTAAGAATTTGGGGCCTGTTGGTTTATGCAGAACAACTGGTTTGAACGTTCATAAATGTAAGAATTTCGTGTATAAATCCCAGCGGACCTAGGTCCGACCTTGTTAAATAAACAACAACTGTGGTCCGACCGGTTTAACAGTTTAAACAAAAACGGCCCAGGATTCAGTTTTGAAGGTTTTTATGCAAAATTAATGGATAATAAGCGCTGGTACTCTAATGCAGATGAAAATATGGCATTCCTGCAAATAAAGTAGGAAACACAAATTTGCTATCTTTCACGCATCTGTCATGCATTGCTTTTTATTTTGCCCAGGTGTCACCGTTTTTCGCTGGAGAGTGGTACAGGAATGCGGAAGCTACACGTGGTGCCTAAAGAGCAGAACCGACCTGATTGGTTAGTAGAGCTACAACATCAGACCAAACGCAGGTTTTCCATTGCTATCTCTAATGCACTCCAGTAAGTCCACAGTTATCTCCCTTCCCTCTGGTGTTGGACTGCCAGGTGCCGGTGCTTTACTGCACATAGTTGTATCTCATCTGTAACCTGTTTGGAGTAGACAGTCCTCGTATGTGACACACAGGAAATGGTTGTACACCTGGAGGACTGCTTGACAGGACACACCTTTCAATTCCTATGATCTGGTCTGCATGTTGACTTTAATATTAATGTTCAGGAGTTTCTTTCTTTCTACATGTACATTTTGTACCCTATACTTTGACAATCTTGGTACATTTACATTTTACTTTTTAACATGCATGTACTTTTCAAATTATTTTTTATTTTTTATTTTTTGCTCATCTCAAACACATGTTAACAGGAGCTACAAAAACATATACCAGGGTTAAAGGATCTGTCTTATGGAGAATGCCTAAAAAAAACTTGATCTCTAAATGGTATACAGTGATATATATACTTACATACCACAAATGAAAGGAGATATAATTTGCGTTTATAAAATCATAAACAATTTCATAATATAAAAGGAACCAGTGGTATATTTGATTGTGACACATCGTTAAGAACCAGACATCATATCCAAAAATGAAGAAAAATAACATTGAAGATCATACCCTTTAAAATATTTCATCAGCTTTGGAGTTAGTGAAATGTTGAATTGTCATCCTCAAATGGTCATTAAACCCCTCGCATACTGGAATTAATCTGTCTGTCTGTCTGTCGTCCACAGTAAGTTGTCCAGAAAACTCCATCTTAACTAACAGGCAGATTTTAGTGAAACTTTGCTTGAAGGATAAGTGTTTTTTGTAGTTGTGCACCTGCATTTTAATGTTTGATTTCAACATACATACAACACACATAGACAACTATTGGGAGGATGTAGATCTTCATCATTGATCTGGTTGTAAATCATTTATATAAACTGAATGAACTTGTAAATTGTGAATTATTTCTAGCATAATGATAAGGATATGGTATCAGTCTTGTGCCAATTATTTTGTTGTTTCTTGTTAAAAACAATAAGTTTTCATCATGATTTTTTACCTGTTTTCCAGATTGTTTTAACAGGTAGTTTGTTAAATAATGAAGCCTGCGTAAGAAATCTGATTCAATCTTGTCTTTAATTTGTCTGGAACATTACTTAAGAAAAGCACTCTATTGATATAACTCTAAAGACCGACTTTTTTTTGTTTGTTACATACATTTGCTTATATGGTAAACAGTGTGTACTATAGCTATATGCTGCATATATTTCACCCGCTGCTTCATTCAGTATTCAAAGCAAGAACATATACATGTGTACTCAAATATTGTTATTTCTATGACATCAATGATTTGTCATTTATTTCCAATTTTTCTATCATTATAGCATGATACAGTCAAATATTTTTTGTTTATATTTGCCACCTTTAAGAAATTATATCAATTATCAATGTATTTTTAACTGCTTTGCTTATACAAAAAAAAATCTAACATTGTAATAAAGTGATATCTTTGAAATGTTTGTAAAGTATTTAATATTACAAAATGTAGAAAGTCCTTTTTTCAATCAAGTTCTGGACATATGACAGTCTGATACTGTCACCTGATTTTATGTAGATTAATAACTTTCCTTTCTTGATATATCTCTCTATAAATGTACTTATCTGGTGAGGTACATTCCTGTACAATACATCTTTGTATCTGTGTTATTTTGGTATATGTAGAAATGTTAGTATAAACAGGGTTATTTGTAACTCCAAATTCAATTACAAATGAATCAAACATCAAAGAACCAATACAAACTTCAAGATAAATGGATAGTGAAAATATTCCCGACAAATTCAGGAGGTTTGTTAATGTTTTATGCTAAAAAAAAACTATAAAATTCTGATACATGTTTGTGTTTACGTTTGAATCGTAGGGTTTACAACATAGGTATCGAGGTGAGACAGGGAAAAGGCAAATACCGAGACACAAACATCGTGACGTTCGCACCAAGATTTGAAATTGACAATCAGTCCAGCCATAAGTTGGCCATAGTACAGAGGCATATTAGCAAAAGGGAGGTAAGTCAAAGACAAATGGGGCCTGTTCGTTCATCGGAACAACCGGTACGTCTGTTTTTTAAATGTAACATTTTGGGTATAAATCCTGACGTATCTGCAAAAGTTTAGGCAGGCCTTCCAAGACTTTGTCAAGGCTCGCCTGAAAGTGGCATCAGATTACTGAAAGAAATTTATATCTTACGCCACATTAATGGTGCGTGACCTCACAATGGGACAACAATAATGTGACATCACAAAATCGGAAACATTCCGATCCCATGATACGGAAATCTGTTACATGTTTCTGTTGTTCCTGAGCTAATTCTGGTGATTGTAGTAAGCGAAAAATACTCTTTCATGCCCAGGGTTGAAAGATGAGGAAATTCCACGGTAAGGATTTTAATTATTTTTCAAAACCCTTGGCACTTGGGTTTCAACCAATTTGAAAACCTTCCGGGTGGAGTTTCCGCATCCTATATTATGAGTATGAAAAAAAAAATTTCTTAAGCAAAAATGAGAATGTATCTGTAAAGTGTGGGAGAAATCATAATCCTTATTTAGAGTTATAAATTTACCTGTATGACAAAGGTAACATAATAGACACTTTGCCTATCCAGGCATCTTTAACATGAAGTGCTCATTGGGTCTCCACTTTATTTTGTAAATAATGATAATTTCATTTCTTATATTGGACATATACAGTGCCTGTAGTCAATGAAAAAATAAATTTGATATTCATGAGGTCACCTTGGTGTTTCAGACTGTGACAAGAAGTATTGACAGTCACCTTTCTGCCTTACCTGGATGTAAGCTGCCTTTTCATTGGCCGAGACTGGACCTGGACCAGCTGCTGTGTGTGCGGCTGATGGATGTGCCCCAGTGTAGGTGGTCTGGAGGCTTTAGGATAGACCGCATCGACTCCTTTCACATCAACATGAGGTCAGTGACAATAAAGTCACAGCAACGAATGTACACCTTATAATTATGTAACAGGAGGGGGGAGCCCCCATCACACACCAACTCCCTAATGGTGGTATAACAGGAGGGGCCTCAATCAGAGACCCACTCCCTGGCAATGGTTTTAACAGGAGGGGCCTCAATCAGAGACCTACTCCCTGGCAATGGTGGTATAACAGGAGGGGACTCAATCAGAGACCCACTCCCTGGCAATGGTGGTATAACAGGAGGGGCCTCAATCAGAGACCCACTCCCTGGCAATGGTGGTTTTAACAGGAGGGGTCTCAAATACAGGACCAAATCCCTAACAGTGGTTTGACAAAAATCAATTACGGACCTACTCATCATATTCATTCTTCAAATTCAGACCAACTCCCTGGCAGTGGTTTTAACAGGAGGGGCCTCAAATACAGTAACGAATCCCTAACAGTGGTTTGACAAAAATCAATTACGGACCCACTCATAGGAGGGGCTTCAAATACAGACTCACTCCCTCACAATGGTAGACTGGCCACCAGCCCCTAAGCTTTTATGAAGAATTTCTCGGCTGTATTTTACTACTAGCTTATCTCCCCCTAGTTTAGAACATAGGATCGATCAGACATCCAAGTGATCAAAATTATTAGAGTTAAAAAAAAAAATCTTAATAATTCAATATTCAAAATACGGGGCCAGTCTATCACAATGGTTGCAACCCTGATTCATAGTGGTTCGACACTATGGCAAAAAATAACTTCACTTCAGATATATGTTACAGAGACTTACTATATTACTTATAATCATATGTTTTACGGCACAGATTTTACAAACAAGCCACAACAGCTGCAGTGAAATGTAAATCTTAGTGATACGAGACTTCCATAGAGTTACCCAACAGTAGAATATCTTGCATCAGTTTCTAATGATCAGGGCTCAAATTAAACAGGTTTCATAGTATTCCTTTATACCTGATATTTTCAGAACGACAGATGACGTAGCTCACTTGCTGAAGGTGGAGGTTGTGATGCAGGGGCCAACCTTTTTCATTGTGTTTGGTGATGCAGAGGAAATGCCGCCGCCTTTTAGGATAGACAACAAGGCAGAAGTACCCATCAAATACTACCAGACAGGCATAGAAGATGTCACTCTGATGTCCAACATCAAACCACACACCTCATGTAAGTCTGCTGCATTCTGTTTTACGGTAATTTTGTAAATGAAAAGAAAAAATTGCTTCAAGATTTCACTCGGAGGAAACTAGAGAAATAAGTCTTTTGGACTAAATCTGTTCAATAGTACACATCTTTTTGTGTTATTTTTTGTTTAAGTGAATAAATACAGGTCTGTGGAGTGAATTATTTGTGTTTACAAAGTTCAGAGGTCAGGACAGTTACTTGACTATAAAATTCATGCTAACTGTCCTGTTGATCCCCTCAAACATAAAAAAAAATGTAAAAAAAAAAATACTCATGAAAATGTCTACCTGAATTTAATCCATTATACCTTTTTATACCTTGTTAATTGTGGTAGATGTATTGTCTCTCGTCCCGATGATGATGAGGATGATGTAAGATAATAGTGATGATGAAGATGATGATGATAATGTTAAGAATAATGTCAGGATGATGGTGATTGTGATGATGATGAATGATGATGATGAGGAATGTAAAAAAAAGTTTACAAAACTATTAAAAACTTTATAGACACCTTTGTTTAATGAGTATGAACAATCATGTACTAAGCAATTATGTACTTATGAACAATGTCATATATGTTTTGTCTTGTCTTGTAAAAAGAAATGAAAATAAACAACAAAAATAAAAATTGTCTCTCATCAACACCCTTATACTAATATGATGCTTATAAAAATGATGTGATATGAACCTAACATAATTATATTGACCTTGACATATTGACAGTGGCATATGCTTGGGATGAGCCGACCTTTGCCCCTTCTATCTCGCTGTGTGTACAGGGAGGAACAAGCGCTACATACAATATGAACAAGCTGGAGGAGGGGGACAAACTCTACTACCAAAACTTTATCTACCTCGCATCTACAGCTTCTTTTAACCAGTGGGTATTGCACAACAAAAAATGTAACAGACACGGAAGATTTAACTTTTGTCTTATAATGACAGCTTGTCCAAGAATAATTGTGTACGGTACAAAGTGGCAATAAAGATTAATTTTCTTGCCTACTAGATGGAGAAGGAATTGTTTTTGGTACACGTATATCTAAATCAGCAGATATCAACACCTGTCAGTGTAAAGAACTTTAAAGTTGTTAATTAGAAATTCACTGATTGGCTTAGAGACTATAAAACAATATTTTTTTAATTTTATTTTTTTCATTTCATGAATACAATTTTATTTACCACTTTTGTGCTTCTCTATTAAAAGATGTCCATTTCTGTGCAGGACTGGTCTAGATGAAAACAAACAGGACCTGGTGCTAGATTGTATTCACGAAAACCACATTGTGTTCAGGAAAAAGGTAAAGTCAAAGGCCAAAATAAACTGCATGAATAAATCAAGTTATCATCTGTGAAAGAAGACGTATACAAATGTATAGAGAACATATCATGATGTTCAGCTATTGCTGAAATAAGTATATTGTTTAGCATGAAATGGTTGTTGTGTATAAACATTTGCGGTTGCCATTAATCCATGACTAATTTAGTTTATATACATATCTGCTGTTTGTTTTAAATCCACAAAAAGTTTGTGTCATGAAACGATATAAATAGCTTCGAACCACGAATGTTTCACGTTATACTATGTGCTAGAAAGTTACAATGCTTCAGTACATTTCAAAAAGAGCTACAAATTGTTAACTGTGTCATATTTTATGTGGGAATTTCAACTTCCATTCACTAAAAATCTTTTGGATTTAAAGATGTTCTCATAAACATGATTCTGCAGATAAATTGTTTCTTCTTTTATTTCTTATTGCATCACTTCATGTTAAATATCATTTAGCGAATTCAAGAAGTGTGCAAACAACCTTTCATTAATCATTTAATGCACTAAATGTGAGTTAATGACCTCACTTAAGCATAGAAAGATCTGTTTGTTAAATAAAACAATAGGATACAATAGGATAAATAATGGATGCAGGCAGACACTCTACATCCATTATTTATCCTATTGTATTATTTAACAAAACATCTGTACATGAAAACAAACAAGTAATGTACCCTGTACATGAAGTTTAAGTAATTTATTATTAAGACATATACATTTTTAGAGATGAATGGAAATACAAGATGTCAGATTTGGTAATAACAAAATTCATCTGTATGCAATAATTTGACTAACCCTTTCACCCCTATGTAACTTTAGTAAACTCTACCATTCATTGATCTGGATGAGTCCATTATGATCCACAGTGGTGAAAGGGTTAAAAGTCAGCTGAATTCTTCCCTATTAATATCTCTATTTAATTGATCACAGGAGAATGGGAAGAGGTCCCAGTTATGGCGTATGACAACAAAAGGAATGTTGGAGCATGAGGGCTCTATGCCCCCGCGGGATCCTCGTAAACAGGGAAGCTCTTCCAATCGTCTGGTCTTGGATATAGCAGCCATTGCTCCACAGCCTGGAAAAAAGGTGCCGCTGACGTTGAGAAAGATAGACGAGCGCAGGTTGTCCACACAGAAATGGTGCTTCAAAGATGTACGTTCCTCTCAGGATTTTTCTTTCTTTAACAATATTTTTTTTCACATTTAAATTTGAAATTTTGAACTGATGTACAATTTAATTAATGTCTATTTGGAAAAAGAATCTGATGAGATAGATTTGTCAATTGTTTTAAGAGAGTAGCTGCTACAGCTGTTTAAGAGATATCATTGTTCTGTGTAATTGTGTTTAGGGGAAGCTGTGCTGTGGAAGTGGTGTGCTATGTGTCCAGGCCCTTGGAGATTATCTACAAGACGGTAAGACATTCATAAAGGAATACGTCTGTTCTCTATCTGTATTAGGAATGTAATGGAAAAATATACGAAGGAGCATCAGACTGATGCAGAATTACTATATTTGTTTACTGTCATTTGTACTGCTTGGTAATGTTCTGATTGATATAAATAAAAATAAAATGTTACCTTAGAAAAAAACAATTATCAAAATAAAATAGATATTCTCCCTATAATGTAAATTCTAGTATAAAACAATCATGTTATAGGATAAATGAACCTAGAAATAAACATTGAAGTCCACATATAGCCAAAAATATAAGGCTCGGTGCTTTTTCTTCTTCCCTTGACATTAAAATCTAAATCTTAGTGTAGTAGTACCGTTATTCTCCATCTTAATCCATGATAAAGTTCTCTGCATCACATTTCCCTGTTTCTTTCCCAGGTGCTGTAGGAATGCTAGGCCCGTGTCCATCTTCCACGTCCAGTTCAGTCCCCATACTGGCCCAAATGTCCAGCCAGCGCCTCCACCCTGGCTCAGGTCACCTGTCAGTTAGGGTCATGATGGATGGACCAATCAGAGTGCTAGAAGTAACAGACACTCAGAAAAAGGTAGAGTAGACCTAAAGTTGAGTTATCATTAGATGCCAGTGATGTAGCCGGTACTTTTCTGTACACCCTCGATATCATAGTCATCAATAGTCATCTAGTCTACCGGTCACCATCCATGATACCAGGGGTTATGCTCACGTTCGCTCTCTACACACCTGGAATATGTCATAGCAAAATTGAAGGCTCGGTGTGTGCCACCTTGTTGATGAGACAAGAAGACTGGTTTGATCCTTTGAATTACATCAAAAGAATCTTGCGGTCACGAAATTGTAAAAATTGACAGGCTTTGAAGCCGGATGTCTCTCCTTTGTAACCTTCAAAGGACAGGTATCAGCCTACGGATTGGTCAGTTTTTTTTTATCTGAGACCAATCAAACCGCTATATTGGTGCCTTCAATTTTGCTATGATATATTCCAGGGGTGTAGAGACTGAAAGTGATCACAACCCCTGGATATCGAGGATGTTTTCTGTAATACTTAATCATATCTTTATTTCCATTACCTTAAAAAGACTTTTTAAGATTAAATGAAAAGAATGTGATCACATCTTAACCTTGACATCACTATCAGTAGAACCGATTCAGTTAATGGAGTACATATAAGTTATGTCAAGTTATGGGAATGTTTTCTTTACAGACATATTGCAGGTTATCATTTATCTATAAGTCTCCCAACAGTACTACAGGAGGGCACTGTAGGGTATCATTTATCTATAAGTCTCCCAACAGTTCTACAGGAGGACACTGTAGGTTATCATTTATTTGTAAGTCTCCCAACAGTTCTACAGGAGGACACTGTAGGTTATCATGTAGCTATAAGTCTCCCAACAGTACTACAGGTGGACACTGTAGGGTATCATGTATCTATAAGTCTCCCAACAGTACTACAAGAGGACATTGTAGGTTATCATTTATCTATAAGGCTCCCAACAGTACTACAGGAGGACATTGTAGTTTATCATTTATCTATAAGTCTCCCAACAGTTCTACAGGAGGACACTGTAGGTTATCATGTAGCTATAAGTCTCCCAACAGTACTACAGGAGGGCACTGTAGGGTATCATTTATCTATAAGTCTCCCAACAGTACTAAAGGAGGACACTGTAGGTTATCATTTATTTATAAGTCTCCCAACAGTACTAAATGAGGACACTGTAGGTTATCATTTATTTATAAGTCTCCCAACAGTACTAAATGAGGACACTGTAGGTTATCATTTATTTATAAGTCTCCCAACAGTACTACAGGTGGACACTGTAGGTTATCATGTATCTATAAGTCTCCCAACAGTACTACAAGAGGACATTGTAGGTTATCATTTATCTATAAGTCCCCCAACAGTACTACAGGAGGACACTGTAGGTTATCATGTAGCTATAAGTCTCCCAACAGTACTACAGGTGGACACTGTAGGGTATCATGTATCTATAAGTCTCCCAACAGTACTACAGGTGGACACTGTAGGTTATCATTTATCTATAAGTCCCCCAACAGTACTACAGGAGGACACTGTAGGCTATCATTTATCTTTAAGTCTTCCAACAGTACTACAGGAGGACACTGTAGGTTATCATTTATTTATAAGTCTCCCAACAGTACTAAATGAGGACACTGTAGGTTATCATTTATTTATAAGTCTCCCAACAGTACTAAATGAGGACACTGTAGGTTATCATTTATTTATAAGTCTCCCAACAGTACTAAATGAGGACACTGTAGGTTATCATTTATTTATAAGTCTCCCAACAGTACTAAATGAGGACACTGTAGGTTATCATTTATTTGTAAGTCTCCCAACAGTTCTACAGGAGGACACTGTAGGTTATCATGTAGCTATAAGTCTCCCAACAGTACTACAGGAGGACACTGTAGATTATCATTTATCTATAAGTCTCCCAACAGTACTACAGGAGGACATTGTAGGTTATCATTTATCTATAAGTCTCCCAACAGTACTACAGGAGGACACTGTAGGTTATCATTTATTTATAAGTGTCCCAACAGTACTACAGGAGGACACTGTAGGTTATCATGTATCTATAAGTCCCCCAACAGTACTACAGGAGGACACTGTAGGTTATCATTCATCTATAAGTCTCCCAACAGTACTACAGGTGTACACTGTAGGTTATCATTTATTTATAAGTGTCCCAACAGTACTACAGGAGGACACTGTAGGTTCTCATTTATTTATAAGTCTCCCAACAGTACTACAGGTGTACACTGTAGGTTATCATTTATTTATAAGTGTCCCAACAGTACTACAGGTGGACACTGTAGGGGGTCATTTATTTATAAGTCTCCCAACAGTACTTCAGGAGGACACTGTAGGTTATCATTTATCTATAAGTCGCCCAACAGTACTACAGGAGGACACTGTAGTTTATCATTTATTTATAAGTCTCCCAACAGAACTACAGGCGGACACTGTAGGTTATCATTTATTTATAAGTCTCCCAACAGTACTGCAGGAGGACACTGTAGGTTATCATATCTATAAGTCTCCCAACAGTACTACAGGAGGACATTGTAGGTTATCATTTATCTATAAGTCTCCCAACAGTTCTACAGGTGGACACTGTAGGTTTGTACTTTGTCAGTGAATCACTTTTTCTGGGACGTATCTCCTATCATTGTCACCAACAGTTGCCAGATTTTGTAAATGAGTACCTCTTAGGATGGTGGAATGTTGCATAATAAAGTGTCATGCTCCACTCTATACAAAGCCATGGGTTTTGATACCAAAGTCTGAAATCAGGCATCATGCTCTACTGTTTAGAGTTATGGCCCTTTGTGTTTGTTTTCAATACAAAAGTTTGGAGGTGGGGGAGTATGGAATACTTAGCCTTGTTTTGTCAAATTGAATGTTGCCAACAAATGTCAGTTTTATATAACATGCTTGCCTACAGGTGCATTGTTTCTGTTTGTTGAGCAGCAAGTTGTCCAGCAGAAGAGTTCTGATGATGATGGATGGGAGGTGTACGATATCAAAGATACTGAGGGCAAACGGGGAAATATTAAAGATCAGCTGCCGGAACCAAAAACCAGTCTGGAGGTAAGTCAAGATTTTTTTCCAATTCAGGCTGGAAATGTGAGAAACAAAGATGAACAAATACAGTTTGATAAAATGATAAGAGGTCTGGTGTGGACTTTCAAGGTGATTGGAAGTGTTTGCAATCTACTTCAGAAAAACCTCTATTTATAGGGGACTGCATTGTAACGTCTACAATGAAAACTACCTTAGAAACTATAGATTGTAGAGAATTTCTCATGAAAGACTGATTTTTGTGTTTCCGTCATAGAAGTAAACGTGATGTTTCAGTGAAAGTGCACCAAAGAATAGCCATACAACTTTTTCTTTTAATTAATGCTTCATTCCAGTTTTTATCGAAATTAAACAATATCTAAAGTAAAGCCTTTAAGATGATGTTGTTATGTTATCAAGTTTTATTTCATGTTATAAATTTCATGTCATAAAAAATATTCATTTTTCATTTTTTGTCTCGCCATCACAAAGTGAAAGCGAGACTAAGGTGTTGCTTTCCGGCAACGGCATCAACATTAAGTTTTTTGCGTTTAAGTTAGTTCCTGAAAGTCTATGTGCTAGACCAACCAAACTTGGACCATAGATGCATCCTAGGTAATACATCTCAACCAATGCATCAAATGCTGGATGCGGCCTACTTTTCATGGTCCATTGACTTTGTCAGCATCTCCATCAACATTAAGGTTTTGCGTTTAAGTTAGTTTCTCTGATATGTGCATTGATGGTCAAAGCGGGACACAGGCGAGACATATCAATCTGAATGGCTTGTGTCCTTATCTGGCAATTTCAAGGACCTTAAAAAATCACTTTGTCTTTCTTGTTTGTTGTTTCCTTATTTGATTACACTTTGCATTCATCTCCATTTCCCTGACAATGCATGTTCCTTAGTCTTCAAACTTTATAGCAGATACTTCCTCTGGAGTACTTCATCATTATGTCATATGTAGGTCACTGTGACCTTTATTTCCACGTTCACTGACCTGTGTTAGACTCCATTTGTGTGGTAACATTTTATGTGTAGCTCCATTTCTATGATATTGCAAGTTCTATAGTGACTGTCATAACACTATATCTATGGGTAATTCCTGAGGACTAATACACCATCGTATGACATACAATCTCTGTGACCTGTATTTACCACTTCACTGACTTTTGTTCAACTTTCTTTTTTTCTCCATTTTCATCAAAGTAGAAGTGGGGCCACAAACATTTTCAAGTTTATTTATTACTGAAAAGTAATTAAGTTCAATACAAAATGTAGGCAAAATGCTAAAGGCCTTTAGATGTCTCTGACACAATATCTTTACTGATCAACCAGTACAAATAAGGACTTCCAATGATGATATCTTAAAAACCCATCATCGGAAAAATATGAAAATATTATCAAATGAAAATTCAGAAAATTCTCCCTCATAACATATAATTTCTTACTGTAACAGTAATTCCTTTCTATTTACATAGTCAAAGGATCTTTATTCTTTAAACCTGCATTACTTTTTACATTAAGTACAATACTTTTCATTTATAGAAATTTTTATCTGTTTCTGAATTTGTAGCTCTCAATGAACCTGAAGGGTGGCTTGGGGATTTCTCTGGTGAACAAGAACGCTGAAGAACTATTGTATATCTCAATGAGGAACATCATCATGGACTACTCTTCCACACCCTCCAGTATCAAGATGGACATCAGTGTAGCTAGTGTTCAGGTAGAATGTTATACATTCAACAATGCTTTATAAATATAAAGTGAAAGTAAAGTAATTGTGTGGTACATTACATTTTATGGAGTACGTTCCTGGCTTTATTGTATAAATTTGACTTACTGCATGTAACAATATAAAACAATTGAAGCAATATTCAATGTATATATATCATATTTAACTCTATTTTTCTGAACAATGTACCTGTAATGTACCTGTAATGTACCTGTATATGTTCATTTCATTTTTGTTTGTGATTATGCTCGTAGATGGATAACCAGCTGTTTGGTACCCAGCGCCCAGTGATGCTGTATGTGACACCCACCTCCAAACAAGAGGGGCCTGACAAGACCTATGCCCTCCACATGGCTGTGCACAAGATACCCAACACCAAGTGGAATGCAGACATTTATAAAGTAAGACATTGTTACAAGACGGGAAACGTGCAGGAGCTTCAGACTGAAAAGTCTCCAAACTTGCCTCTCTCTCATTGGTCAAGATTTCTGAATCCTATAGTCTGTTGTATACTATTTGGGGGGAAAGCTCTACTGTAAAAAACATAAAATAAGTATTATTTCTAACTCATTGACAATATCTAGATTTCTAGTCTGAAGAGCCTGTTACTCCATAATCAAGATAAATAACATATTATTGCTAAACTTGACTTTTAATTGGATGTTTCTACTGCTGACCTCAAAATGTTTGCTCAATTTTAATGTGTCTTTATAAGAAGGATGAATCATCAAGATTGTAAAAATCAGTCCACATTTTTTTATACCATGAAAGTAACATGAGATGAGTATGGATCATATTGGTGAAGGGTGAATATTTCACAGGCAATTTTTTTTCCAAAACTTCTGTGAACCAAATATTTACTTTAAAGAAAAGAAAACAGATCTAAGTGTTTAGATATACTGCAACAATATTCGTCAAGATACAAATCATTGCTCGGCTTTCACACGTCACCATTTAACCAATACGCCTTCTTTTGTCTGTGCAGCATCTGTTTATTACTATGAAGAAGATGAGTGTCCAGCTGGAGGAACGACTGCTGTGGAAAATAATCCAGTTCATCGGGTCTGATAACTCGGATTCAGTGGAGGAAAAGTTAGATCAGAAAGCAGACCAGAGGGAATTTGACACCAGAAAGTATGTGCTAATTTATCTACAACTGAATACTTTTATTTACACTGTAATTCCTGAATTTAATTTCTTATCACAAGTGCCGTGTTATACTGTTAACTATAAACCAATATTGCTGTTAAAGTTTTTCTCTGTACTACCCAGGGCATTGGTAGCTGCTACGTCAGTGCAGTCGAAGCGTTACTATTTTGGGACCTTAAAGATCAACTCGAGTCGCTTGAGCCTCAGTATGCTGACTGCCAGTAAACTGTCTTTGGACCTCCAACATATCAAAAACGACAGCTCTATCCCACTCGTCAAATTTGAGGATGCCAAAGTTGATCTGGGTAAATATGAAATATCTACATAATCATTAATGCACCCTATCTTAGTCTTGTCATATTACCTCGACATTGAAAACAGCCGAACAATCCAACAAAATAGCTCCAAAGTATAAATTCAAGATTTTTGAATACTTTGTTTTTCAGATCCCTTCATCAGACACCATCCCTTTGAGACAATAGATTTCCTGACCCGGGAGCTAATGATCCACTACACCAATGTAAGTTTTTGTATTGACTGTTAAACATAAGGGCCCATATTGGCCACTTGTATAAAACATCTCAACTTTTGAGATTTCCTCAAGTCTAATATTTCCCATAGACAATACATTGCTTGAGATTTTCCTCAACTTTGAGGTGTTTAATACAAGTGGGCCAATTTGCCTTTATCAATATATGTTTTATCAAAGTGTTTCCTGCAAAACAAAAGAATTGCTATTTGTCAATTCAGCTAAAAAGTATTACATGTATAATTCTAAAGTTGGGTACTACTATTTTAGAGAATTTCACTTGAAGTGTAAATTTATTAATCCTGATTTCACAGGAGTTAAAGAGTCAGGCTGCCAAGATTCTTGGTTCTGTTGACTTCCTTGGTAATCCACTTGGACTGTTTAACGACGTCACTGAGGGGATATCTGGACTCATCAAAGATGGAAACGTCGGCGGACTGCTGAAAAATGTCACCCATGGTGTGTCCAACTCCGCAGCAAAGGTAGGACGTGTTCTGTCGACTCTTGTTAAAGTTACAAGGGAAGTCATGGAGTCGCTTACAGTCAGAAAATCATCCTTATTAGATACTAATGTAAGACATTTATATTTCAAAATGGTTCAGCATTGCCCTGTTTATACATTAAACGCTGTAAATTTATTTTGGAAGAATTAGCCTTAATTTCTGTCAATTTCTGATTCTTCTTTATTTAAGTTATCATTCCTTTTACATTGTATCTCAATTTTCATTTATTTTTATTAGCTCACCTGGTCCGAAGGACCAAGGTGTGCTTATGCCATACCGTGGCGTCCGTCGTCCGTGCGTCGTCCGTACGTACGTCAACAATTTCTTTAAACGACTTCTTCTTCTTAACCACCGGTTGGAATTAAACTAAATTTGACTGGAAGCATCCCTAGGTGGTGGGGATTCAAAATTGTACAAATAGTGGGGCTGATCCCCCAGGGGGCTGAGGGGCGGGGCCAAAAGGGGTCAATTTGTCCATATTGCTTTAAGAGACTTCTTCTCTGGAACTTAGAAGTGGATATCAACCATATTTGACTGGAAGCATCCCTAGGTGGTGGTGATTAAAAATTGTACAAATGTTGGGGCTGACTCTTCAGGGGGCTTAGGGGCGGGGCCAAAAGGGGGCAATTTGGCTATATTGCTACAAACGACTTCTTCTGTAGAACNAGTCACGATATTAGAATCGATCCTGGGGTCTGGCCACAACTCTAGGGACCTAGTTTCTGAGTCAAAGCTTGGAAACAGTTGAGATCCCCACCCCATAACCATACATAAAATTGCTGGGCATGAAAAATCTAATATAGCTATGCTACAAGGATTGGCCTTGGGGTCTGGCATATTCCCTTGATCTCATTTGGAGAATAGTTTGCCATGATTGCTGAGGTATCCAGGTGAGCGATACAGGCCCTCTGGGCCTCTTGGTTTTTTATTACAATTATTATTATTTTTGTCAGTTTGTAACATCCCTGTCTGACGGTGTGGGGACACTAAACATGGATACCAAGCACAACGACACCCGGGACCAGATTCGTACCCACAGCGGAGGCGGGGGAAGCCATCTGGTGGCCGGTATCAAAGGCTTTGGGTACGGCCTCTATGGAGGATTGACCAGTATCGTCACACAGACCTATGAGGGGGTCAAAGAGGAAGGAGTCGAGGTCAGTGGAGTTGGAAAATGGACATTTGTCTTCCAACCTGAAGATTTGATACATTACTATCATGCACAATATGATTTAATCTTGCTTGTAACAAGCATTTTCATTGGCTTAAAAAATTATGTTATCAGCCAATAACGTAAGAAAATGACGTCACCGTTTGTAACGTCGCTTTTGATTAAGCGCAATAATTTCTAAGAGAAAAGAGTCCATCAATAAAAGTGGATTTCCACAGGGATTGTGTAAAATAGATTAAATTATAAGGATTAAACAGTAGATTAAATTAACTTGAATATNGAATATATTTTTCATGTTATGGAGCTATAACACAAAAAACCGGGGTGTACTCTCATCATAAACCGCTTTNAAACCGGAGTGTACTCTCATCATAAACCGCTTCGCAGTTTATTTAGAGTACACTCTGGTTTTTTGTGTTATAGCTCCATAAGGAAAACGAAGTGTGGATTTTGATCTGAGCATACTCCTTCTTGAATTGATATTTATTAGGACTCAGTTGTGTCATTATAAGAAATCACATATTTAAGTTAAACCATATGTTGTTACTGTCAGAATCAAAATGACTGAACACAAGTTAAAATGTGTTATTGGATCTTTTGCCCACAATGTTTACATTGCAGAGAACAATATACCTCTGTTACATCACAAATAGTGCAAATTTAATCTTGTTTTAATTTGATATTTCGGAAAATTATTTTATAGTGTAATGCAGCATCACTACCCCTGTATATATGCCTCTTTGGCTTCAAGATGATTAATAAAGAAAACTCAAAGTATATAAATCTTATTCTTGATTTATTCGCAGGGTCTGTTCACAGGATTTGGTAAGGGGATGATTGGCACGGTTACCAAGCCAGTAGCAGGTGTACTTGATCTTGCGTCCGGTGCCGCCAATGCAGTGAAAGACACAAGTAGTAGTAGTTCACACAAGTGTCCTGAGCGTGTGCGATGGCCACGCTGTTGCCATGGTCCTGGCGGCCTGCTGCCGTCTTATTCCGACCTTCAAGCTAGGTCACAGGAACTCATGTACAAGTTCAACAGGAACAAGCAAGACGAATTGTAAGTTAGGATAAAGAAAAAATTAAAGATCTAGAAAAATCAGCCTTAAGTTAAAACTTTATCGGGAAAAGGTATCCTGAAATTCTGATGATAGGGTTGTTTAGTAAGAAACTTTCACGAGTGAAATATTCACACTTCACTGGTAAAATAGCAATATTTAACCAAAACCAGTGTTTATAATTAGCTGTCAGTGCATTCAAACTCAATGTAATAAAGCTGTGTACATTTCCTGGTATACATTATTTGAATTACAATTTGTTTTAAGTTTGAATATGGAAATAGCCTCAGAAATTATTGGGTGTTTTTTTGTTTTTTAATTCTCCACTTTATTGATTGCCCTAGATGTTGAAAAAAGTATTTGATAAATAATAATTTTATTATAGATTTTCATTTTAGTAAGTACTATTACTGGAGGTACATGATATATACTGTAGGAGATTATACTGATGGTACAAACCTATGTTGTAAACTTTAGCTTTAGGGCGGCATAAAATCAGGTGTTACATTTGATGTTGTGCATTCTTCTTCCTTCAGTTTCATTGCATTAGAGAAGGTGCGTTCTGGAAAGGAGGAAGGCCTGAAAGCTCTCATCACGAGTAAGCATGTGTACTTCCTGAGGAAGGGGAGCTTGAACCCTGACAACATCATGCTGCAAGTCTCGCACCGAGAAATTGTCGAGTGTAAAATCATCGAAAACAGTGAGTTTAAATTTTACTTTCAGACAATGTGTTTATGTTGACCACAACAACATTAAACTTTCATCAGACTTTCTGCCATTCAGAAAGAAAAGTACTGAAAACATATTTATATGAATTCTAATGGTATGGAAAACTTACTCAAGGAACATGCTACCACCATTGATATGAAAAATAAGTCTGTTCTCCACATAAAAATAAGAACTTAAGTACCAAGGTGGCACCCTCGTTTTAATGGTAAACCGCAGTAAATAACCATTAATTGAAGGATACAATAGTACATTGTATTGATGTAATGTATAGTTGTTTAATTTTGCGGATGTAGAATTCAATTGCATGATTTGGTTTCCAAAACTTGTTTACGTAGGTTTATTCAAAGAATCACTATCACAAGCCTGGATGTTCTTGTTTCATTCTTAAAATTTCACAAAAAAAAACAGTTCCCGAATTTTGATGCATTCGTGAAATTAGCAAAATTATAATCCTCATGAATATTTGCAACTATACAATATTTTCCTAACTCATAAAATATACAAATAGTGACAGAGAATGTAACTTATTTCTTCCTTTTACAGATGAACGATTTTACATTGAGTTATTCAAGCAGGGTGATGATGGTGGTGAGAAATTGACTGGTGCAACACAAAAACGACCCCAAATACGCTGTGAAAAACGACACATGGCTCAAAGGGCAAGTAACGCTGTGTTATAAAACAGCATCAAATCATCTAAGGTTGATAATTTTAAAAAGTTGTATGATGCCGATGTCTGTGAAGAATATTATATTTAATATAAGGTTCATGTTTTAATTGACAAAGCAAACAGTATATTAATTGGCACACAGAGAGGTGTTGCTAGTAAAATATCTACATTAATTAACACACACTGAAAGTATCCTCTTACTGATATTCTTACCAAAAGGATCCACCATGTTAACCGGTTCACCCCTATGTAACTTCAGTAGACTCTACCATGCATTGATCTGGATGAGTCCATTATGGTCTACAGTGGTGAAAGGGTTCGTTAGAGACGTATGTGCCCTGTTGTTATCTATCCTTCTGTATGTCTGTCCTCCACACTTTTGTTTCCGGAGACTATCTCATCAAAAAAACTAATGCTTTTGAAATTGAAATGGTAATATACTGTTATGTTTATACATGCAATGGGGGTTTAAAGTTTCTAAGATCAGGATCAAGGCTACTGTTACTATAAATAGACCTTGGTGGGTATGTTCATTATCTCAGAATCAAAAAGAATATTCTTTTTGAAATTAGATATATGGTGATACATAGTGTGTGAAAAAGGTTTAAAAGTTCCTAAGGTCAAGGTCACTGTTGCTAAACATACACAAGAGGGAGGCAAGGTCAGGCACAATTGTGATAAGTATTTTGTATAAATGTGCCATTACACATATTTTAGAAGACAAAATCTGTATAACCAGTTCTGCACAGTGGTACACATTCTCTCCTTCATTTGCAACAGATGTGTACAAACAATCTCAAAAATATTTGTTAGTTTCTGCAATAACAATAAATTACATATGAATATAAGCAGAATGTTACTGTATTTTGTCATAGAAGTGAAATATTTTCATCAATGTAATGTCAATGACAAAGGCTGTATGCAGAGTGGTTGTATAGGCTTAAACTGTTACTCATTCATACTGTCTATTGATCAGGTGTTTTAAAGCGACATCACGGTAAAGCATACTTTTTTGTGTCTTTACATAAACATATCAAGTGAGTGACTCCTTATGGAAAATGATGGACAGATTTCGCTGAAATATATTCATAAACCTGTATAATTTTATCATAGTCGGAATTTCTACCTGTCTGACCAACGTTTTGTTTGGGGATTCCAATGATTATGATTACGTCATATAGAGTAGCGCATGTGCATATTACGCCATTTCACTGTAAACAAAAATGGCTTCCCACGGGAAGTGTCAGCGAAGGGAGACAGTAAGCGTGTCAGCAACATAGCGAAGACATGCCAAATGTGTGACAAAGGCAACTATTTATAGAGCAAGGTGACAAAAAGTTCCCCAATCCTGTCTTACTTCAAAAGCCATACAGATTAACATAAATAGCGCAATAAGAATTGATTCACTTGGAATGATTTGACTGACAAATATTTGTATTTTTCCAGGTATCTCAGCAAATTAACTATGCCAGAAACTTATTCGACGAGCAACGACACACACTGTCCGAGGGGGAAAGAGGTGAGGAGGAGGAATAACCAGTTGATATTTAACTACCAGGCAGTAAAGTAAACTTAAAACATACTGTGAACTTCTAGCAGGGAAACCGATAATGGGATTCATTAATCAGGATCCTGAACTGTGAACAATGGCATACCCTGCTAAAAAGGAAGGAAATCAGAAGGAAAAGCTACTGGTAGTGAGAATTTGTTTCAGAAACAACATTAGATTAGAACCTATTGGGGAATGATCTTTACTTTTCTAAATCTAGATTGAAGAAGAATTATATGGAGGATAAATGATTGAAAAGACTAATGTTTTAAGATATTGACATCTTTTGTAAATAATGAACAATTTCAATTTGATGTCAAAGGACAAGTGGAAACATGGATTCAGCATAATAGGGAATAAACCATTGGAATTACTTAGAGAAAAATAGACATATAACAAACATAAGTAATGTTCAAGGTGCCAAATGTGATATTTAAATGATGACGACAAGATGTATATGGCGTGTTTTCTGTGATTCTTGTCAAGTAAACCGACTTTGACGAACAACCTTATGTGTGATGTAGATTTAGATAGCCAGGACCAAAATCTGTGTTACAATTTTTATGATTTTATGATTTGTATAGTTTTGTGATAGATTTGTCATGTTCTGTTTGTGTATGGTGCCAAGTTTTGCCAGATGCTATTTTGTATGTTAACAAACGAATCAATTGATTCAAACTTTCACTATGAGAACCTTCTGTTTGAACAAATTTTGATAAATTGGGCAATTGTAAGTGCATGTACCAAACTTGTGATTTTACTGACCAATCAATCCCTCAGCTTCCAACCACTGACCACTAGAGAATTTGAAATGTGATGAAAATGAAGTTACAAAGCTTTCAGATGTTATAATCAAAATGAAAGTGTCTTTTTGCTGACAAATATATGTGTATATATTTGTACGAGTTGTATGTCTGTGCTGTTATTGCTGTACAAATATTAACTTGGGATGTGGACCTGTGTGCATGGGACATTTTATGGATAATTGGATAATGTAGATTGTGTAACTCACTGTGTTGTGTCACAGGAGGGCAAGTGTAATTGGTGGATATATCTTACAGAATATCTGTTGTAATGTTTCTGTGAGTTTTGTCAGAGTACATGACCGTATCATATAGTCACATTCCTTCACCGTGTAACACTCACAGCAATGTCAGATGCCACTACATCTATTCACTGAATCCACCATACAGCTCCTGTGGTTAGTGCCTCGTCTTACCTTCTGTATCATATTGAAAGGGGAAAAAAACATTTTGATTGTAAAAAAAATAATCTTCATGAGTATATCCCAGTCTAGTTTTGCAGTACATCTGTTTTAACAAGAACAGGATAAGTGGGTTTGTTTTATTTTTGCAAATAATGTATGCTGCCTGTTTTCATGTAGACATAAATCCTTAAATATTTCACCAAGTGCTGTCTTGTGATAAAAAAAAACTCATTAGGTTTTTAGAGACACAGTAAAGGTCTGAATTAATATTATCCATTCTTAGTAGTACCAGATCTAGACTTACCTTCCATGTCACCAACAAAGTTCAAATAATCTAGAATGTTCTGTCATCTGGCTGGTAAAGACTATGTATCAATTATCAAATGTGAACAAATATGGATGAGACCTTTTTAACAGTTTACCTGTAGGTCCATTTTTGTACGGCTGTGGTCAGTTTATGTCCTTCCATTCCGGGTTGTGACCAGCTTTCTGTTAAAATTTCTTGGAAAAAGATATATTTTACCTTCCAATGCATTTCTTAGTTGCAGATCTTTATAATTTTTCGGTAATAATTTTTATACTGAAATCATGTGTACGTAATTGAATTATCTATCGATCAATATTTTATGTGCAGAAATTGTAGAGTGTAAAATTGTATTTTACTTTAGTATTGAATAACTTTCGTCCATTTTCTCCACTTGTTTTTCTGACTATCCTGCTGAAGATACACATGTTATATGTGTATAGGCGTTTTTCTTTTGGCAGCTTTTGCATATATTTTGATTTCGCTGGTGTTCTGCTTCCTTTTCCACTCCCTATGAGCTTATTGACTGACTTTGTTTTGTTTCAGCTTCTAAGATGATTTATTTTGTTGTCATTTAACTGATGTAGTTAAATGCGTGCCCCCCCATCCCTTCCATGTGTGAGTTAAATATGGCTGTTTTTGTTTTACACTTTTCTCCTTATTGAGACGCCAGACTACGCCACACTACAGGAGTCATTGCTATTTTTCAGTCATTATTGGGTGTTTCATTGTAAATTCCATTTTATTTAAGATGGTCACATTCTCGAGATAGATATATATATATTTTGTAATACCTAGTGATCTCTGTTTTAACTGTACTGTCCGCTACTACTGAACTGTGTCTTACCAAGCAATTAGTATGATGTAAAATAATATTATGATTGTTCAATGTAATATATATAGGTCCTGTAAGTAATACTGAGTGTGATCCAATATAGGAACTAGATCCGAACAAATAGATATCTTGTATATATTAGATGTCAATACTCGATGAAATCAAGCAAATCCCATGATAGTTGATCTTCTGCCGAATGTAATCAGCCCCATACAGTGTATATATGAGAATCAATTATCAAATGAGTGTTTTATAAAAAAAAATAGATGTGTCATGAAACAATTGTTAGCTGTTATTTTTAAAAAGATTTGTTCTTTGTTCGGGTTTTTTTCACAGTTGATACTCGGACCAATGACAGAAGCTGCTCATCTGAAATTAAATTCTGAATCCACTCCAAACTTCAACCTCCTTGAAATGGCTTCTTTAAATTTTTGTTTCCATGGCAAAAGAATATAAAAGCTTCATTAAATAGTTATGTCAGAAGAGGAAACTTTCCCAAATATGTGAAACTAAAACCTCTACAGAAGGCCAGTATGCCTTACGCCAAATCAGAGCTGAAATGCTTATTATCGATAACAACATTGTGTCATGCATTAACAAAAACTTTGGGTATTATAATTTAGCATTATACATTCTGCAGTTGGTATTTTCAAATTGCATTTGCACATTTTTCAATTGGCATTTTTGCATTTGAAAATTGAAATCCTGATGTGAACAACAGATTATACATGCTCTATTAACATGAGCAGACAAAAGCATGGGGATCAAACGAGATTGACCACTGATCAATGCTACCTATCACAAATGAGAAACAAAAAATTGAATGCACAATCTTTTAAAATAGGCATTAAAATTTTAACTTTAGCAATTGGCATTTCACAATTGGCATTATGCATCCGGCATTACAAATTTGACATTTGACATTTGGCATTGCACAACCGTCTTCCAACGAACTGCATTAGACTTATGAAACCAATACCCTGGCAAGTAAAGCCAATAATTGGACATTAAATTATTTTTTCTAAAGAGGAAAAATGAATTTAGAAATATATAGGTTAGTGCATTATAACTGTATTGTACCTTTCTGTGTTTCAACCAATAGTATGAGTAGACATATTTAGAGTATTATAATCTAATTTATTGTAAGTGCTGCAACATAAATCTGTAAAAAAAAAATGAAAATGAAAATAATCATTTAATGTATATTTATATCTATATATAATGCTGATTCTAGGGAAATTGTAGACTAAACAATGAATGGGCCAATGATGGATATAAATATTAATTTGACTTTCCTTACTGTTTGAAAGAAATTGCCAGAAAAAAATGTAAATGAAAAATAATAAAATGAGTAGATAAGATAAAAAAAAATTTGAGTTACCAAATTTAGAACTTATAGATTATAAAGTGTTCAACATACAGATAAAAAGGCATCTTATTTATCTTCAGACATATGAGCATTACACCAAATGTAAGTTACTTAGAGATAAATAATTAAGCCTCGTGTTGTGATTTGTTTTATTGTCTGTTGTCTTTGATAAAGGTAGGATTCATCAGGAACTAGAGCTCCAGGGCTGGTCACTTTTTTGTTTATACTTTTTTGTTTAAGTTAACATGGGCGTGAGTGTAATCGGTGACATTATATAAAGATATGTGACAATGCTTGTATTCTATATTACTTTTCTTCTGGATGTACAGGTCATCATTGCTGTGAAATCTCTCTAGTAGTTATCCTGATTTGGTACCTGTTTACTTTTCGAAACTTATACCAAACAACATTAAAAAAACAGCAATGAGGATTAACATCATTATATGACACCAAGATCAGTGATATTTATTATATCTGTTTGTCATATTCTTAACTATGGCAAGCCAACTTAACTTTTATTCCAGAAGCAATGTCGATCCTGTATTTCATGAGATATTTACAAAATGTCAAAATGAAGTCTCCCCGTCCGGAATCTCTCCAGTGTCTATGTAGGGACAGTAGGATTATTGTAACAACACGTGGTCCTGTCGACATTATGTCTGAGCCCACCTCGTACCATCCCTCTCCGCCATTGTACCCAATCCTAGATGTACTTCTCGAGGGAGAAATTAGTTTCTGGTTTTTAATGCCACGAAATCTCATTCGATATAAGATATCTTATATAGCAACGAGATTTCAATTATATAAGATATCTCATATACATTGTATTATATGAGATATCTTATATAGAAAATTAAATGAGATATCTTATATAGTATATATGATATCTTACATACTTAAAATATCTCATTTAATTTCTATATAAGATATATCATAGTATATAAGATATCATATATAGTATATAAGATATTTCATATATATAAGATACCTCTGTTGTATATGAAATATCTAATATAATTATACAAGATATCTTGCATGATTGGATGAAATACAGGATCAACATTGCTCCTTGAATAAATGTTAAGTTGGCTTGCCATACTTAACTGGACATCAATAAATGAGTTGGAGCCAAAATTAAGTGGTTGAAATATGCAATACCAGATTCTGTATCACATATGCTGAAAAGTGCATGTGTTGGTAATTAAGATTATGTAATAGAATATATGCATGTTTTTCTTTCAAAGACAGTTGCGACATTTCAGTTCCGACTCGGGTTCCTTTAAATTTGTTGCGTTATTGTAGGACGAGCCATTAATAGTGAACAGAAGAACTAGTCGGTATTGAAATACTGCAATAACTTTAATGATTTGTGGGAAAAAATGGTAACATATCTTGTCTGTTTTACTAATGTATATACATTCCCTAGAGTTGCTTATGTATTCTAACATGTTAGACTTGCTAGCTTCCAAGGCACTGGGATTTCTGACTATGTTTTTGTGATGTATTCTTCTTTATACTGTAGAATCATTTATTTTTGTGGGGTTGAAATTTCGTGGTGTTCATATACTAGCCTGTTTCAAGGACATTATATTTCGATTATTTCTGTTTTTGCCCTATCTATATCACACCAAATATATGTTTTTGTGGGAATTTAATTGTTGGATAACAGATAAACGAAATTTAATGTCCCATGAAAATTTATGATTTTACAGTATCTGTATGTATCCGGACTCATGATAACATAAAGACATTGTGATAAACAATACAAGTTCATATTCTCGTTAATTGTCCTGTTTCTAATGGCACTGTGTATCAATATGTAAATGAAGTAGTTTTTCATATGTAGTAAATCACAAATCAAGTTATTTTAATTCATTCATTTATGTCATCAGTGCTAGTCCAACTAGCGAAGTCTTTCTTTCCAGCAATACTTGAATATTGCTTCGGTACTTGTATTCTTTTTTTTTCCATTTTTTTTTAAACTGGAAAATTTTAGTTTCTTTTATTTGTTTAAAGTCCTTGTTTTCATAACAAGGAAATATGCTCAAGAATTGTGTTCAAGATGAAGCATTTTGTTCAGTGCATTACAGAAAAAAGGTATATTGTGTATGGATTTAAGAAAACCTTTCTCACTTGTGGAAAGATTCATGAAGCACAAACCAATAAGTGTTTATATGTGACATTTCGAGGACTAGTACGGTATGTACTCTGTCACCTTCATCAGACAAAATATGAACACTTCCGTACATACAAGCTGACTAACTGTACATGCGCTTACAGCGTAGCCGAATCGACATCGATTGATGGATAACTCGTACATATTTTACACCTTTGTGTACATACGCTTCACTGGTCATTTGTCTGATGCAGGTGACAGAGTAAGTGAAGCGTATGTACACAAATGTGTAAAATGTGTACGAGTTATCCACAAATCAATGTCGATTTGGCTACGCTGTAAGCGCATGTACAGTTAGTCAGTTTATATGTACGGAAGTGTTCATATTTCATGAAACGATCCACAATCTATACTTACCAGCCTGAAGAAAATGTTTAGAAATACCTTTCTCCCTCTATCTGCAAATAGTATTAACTTTATACAGTGTTTTGTGACATGGATGAAATCATGATTTAATCCTAATCTTTAATTTTATACATATTTTATTTTAAGAAATATATCGTGACTACCCACCGGTATTTTAGACAATCCTTCTAATGATTTTGTTGTATGTGTTGCTTACTATATATACGATGGATACAGCTGCAAGAAAATTTAATTTGCTGATAATTTTAGTCTTGATCTTGTAAATACATCAGAACCTTTCTAATTACCTAAAAGGTGAGGAGGGGAACATCTCTTTTGATTGGGAACCGAAATGTTTTCTTTATTTTAAGTGTTAAATATTTTTTAATGACAAAGTAAATGTGGAATCAGAATGGCAGTTTTTTCTCTCTCAAGAAATTGGAATATAGGAAAGTAGGGAATAGGCAAGTTATAACAAATTAATATTTCCTGGAAAAACAGCAAATAGTGTTTTAGAATCCAGATTGAAGATGTCATCCAAGTGCTTACCAGGAGTACAGGTCCTTGTCATTTAGTTGTACATAGGTTACCTGTGAACGTGCTATCATGTTGTTAGGAGCATATGCATATGTGCCATCTAGTGGGCAGAATAATGTACCTAACTGTGATTCATGGATTTGTCTGTTATTAATTGTGAAAACATATTTTAATTTAAATGTGGATTGTTAATAAATGACTAGGGCTTATCAAAGACTGAATATCTTGTTTGTTATTTCTCTTAGCACTAGTTCAATTTTGTCACAGAATATGGCTTCAATTTACAAACTACATGTGATACTGTACTGTGTATAAAAACCTCATAGATACTCCATGACGGTCTACATTAGTTGTACATTTATGAGGAAATACCCTTGATAGAATTAATTTAGCATGGCTAATAAAAGTAAGCCCACGTCCCGTCATTCTTTTCAGTACTGTTTACTGGGAAATGTTTGCCTCTATTTGCTCTCCTTGATGAGGACGAATTCATCATTACAGAAAATATTGGTCAACATCAACATTATATACATAGGTAAATAAAAAGGGCGAAATTAAAACTGGACGAATATGGATTTTACCGACGAAGGGCGAACATTTTGCAGTATACAATACGTGTATCGGTCTAAAATGAATGTCCCTCTAAGTAATTATGTGTGCAAGAATGATAATGATGTTTCAACAAATATACACTGATGAAAAATGTTGATAGAGGTATTAAACACGGGTTTGCATATGCCATTTTCTAAACAAGGAATAGATAATTTCAAATAGTTTCTGACAACTAGTAGCTAGCTTTGAGGCACATGCTGTAATTTGTTGCAATGAACAATGATTAGAACATTCCATAGTGGAGTTAACACTCACCCAACTTATAGGTAATTGAATGTAATTTGGAAACGAAAACATGTCGCAACAACATAATGGGTGCAAAGTTTCCATATACTGGCAGAAAGCATATTATGAAGAGATTCACATGAAATAAGGATAATATTTCTATAATTGGACATTCAAGATAAAATTTCAAGGATTTTATTTTAAAGTGCAGACATTAATGTCCAATACAATGTGGTAACCTGATGTTATTGCGATATGGTGGGGGGCAATTTTCATTGAAGTCTAGTCGAAATTGCTTGAAAATCACTGACAATAATTCATTATTGTACTAGCTAGTAGGGGCACTTCCAAATGTTATGTCCAGCATGGATGAAATTAATGGTGAATATAAGGTTAATGGTGGTGCTAATAGAACAAAAGGCCCAATGGGCCTGCATTGCTCACCTGGTATTAATCTCACACTTGTTATCTTCAAAGTGGACTAAAATACAGCTACAGGCAGAATATCAGTGTTTGATTCATAAGAACCTATTCGATTTAAACATATGACGCCTGTGACCTTGAATGTCGAACAATGACATTAGGGTCAAGGTCATTCATTTGAACAAACTTGTGGTCCTTCATCCCAGCATGCTACAGGCCCAATTTCAGTACCCTGGGCCTTCTGGTTATTGAGAAGTGGTGAAGATTTTACGACATTTGACCCCTGTGACCTTGAAAAGAGGTCAAGGTCATTCATTTCAACAAAATTGGTAGCCCTTCATCCCAGCATGCTACAGGCCCAATATCAGTACCCTGGGCCTTTTGGTTATTGAGAAGTTGTTGGAAGATTTTAACATATTTGACCCCTGTCACCTTGAAAGTAGGTCAAGGTCATTCATTTGAACAAACTTGTGGTCCTTAATCCCAGCATGCTACAGGCCGTATATAAGTACCCTGGGCCTTCTGGTTATTGAGAAGTTGTTTGAAGATTTAACATATTTGACCCCTGTCACCTTGAACGTAGGTCAAGGTGATTCATTTGAACAAACTTGGTAGTCCTTCATCCCAGCATACTACAGGCTCAATTTCAGTACCCTGGGCCTTTTGGTTATTGAGAAGTTGTTGGAAGATTTTAACATATTTGACCCCTGTCACCTTGAAAGTAGGTCAAGGTCATTCATTTGAACAAACTTGGTAGCCCTTCATCCCAGCATGCTACAGGCCCAATATCAGTACCCTGGGCCTTTTGGTTATTGAGAAGAAGTTGTTTAAAGTAAAATATAGACGCCTGACGACGGATGCCACACCGAAGAGCCAAGTGAGCTAAAAATTCAAGTTGCAAAGTGTCATTACCCTCCAAATATTAACCGAGTATTCTCATTTTTACGATATGCATGTCTTCAAATGATTCCATATCACACACTAAATCTCAAAAAAATTTGGTTGAAACTTGAATGTGATGTGTTGCAAGGGTTTTCACTTATGGGTGAGAAAATCAAATGGCCTTAACTCTCATAAAAATTAATTTAATATCACTATTTAACAATTTGTTCATCTTAATATTTTTTTCTTGGACTAGTATCGGTCACCAGGGCCGTTTTCGTTTATCGTGGTTCAAACGGCTAAGCCATGAAAATAAGGTCGGGCCTAGAAATCTGAAGACAAAGCTTAATAAGGCCTGCATAAACATTTGCAGGTCCGCAAGTATTTGTACCCGAAATGTTGCATTTAAAAACAGACAAATCGTTTGTTCCACTAAACGAACGGGCCCCAGGTCCACAATGCTGGTTGAAAAATGTAAGACCAAGACTCTCATAAAAGGTAATGCAGCAACCCCATTTCAGGATATGAATATCTTAATCCGTTTCTTCAAAGGTTTGGTCAGAAATGATTGGACTAGATACAGGCAGAAAGTTCAGAAGAAGATGCAATCAATGTTCACATCACAAAATATTGCTTGAAAATTTTGGTATTTTTTATGGTCACAAGAAAATGTAAATGGATGGACCGAACGACATACAGCATTAAGACATAATGTGCCCTGCTTTTTGAAGGAATGTAAAAAACAACTATACTCCATATCTCTTTCACATTTTAATCACTTCAACAATGTGTTAATGTAAAAGTAACAAGGTTGTTCAAAAAAATGTTATTCTCTGGAAAAATTGCGCGAAAGAAAAGTATACAAAGGCAACAAATGTTTTCAACGCAGGACTATAGGAAAGATAACTATTAAAGACATATTTGTTCAAATTCGAACAAAGCCCTTGTCTTTTTATAGGAAAAAATATTCATGAGAATCCAGTCATATCAGATGAAGTTATTGAGCAAAAACTGTTAACCAATACAGTTCTCAGCCTCCGTCTTTGTTGACCGTTCAGACCGCACTTATGCTACCAATTGATTATGCTTACCATTATTTCATCTTTGGAATTGGAATTATATTTCAGAAATTCTTAGACTATCTTGCAGAAATTAAGGTCATAATAAGTCTCTTCAAATAGTTTTGATGGGCATGTAAAATTTCCCTTAATCTGAAACAGTTTTTTGCTAAATTCACTGATAACAATGTATTTAAAAACAAGAGTATTTTACTTATTCACCTACAATCATAACTTAACCGTCTTAACTCTCTATAATTTAACATAATTTAATTAGCAGGTATGATTATACTCACACATGTACATGTACTCTGATTGTTAGCTATTTTTTTATTACAAATACTGTACATGCAAGCAATATCTTTTTATTCCCTTTAAACACCAATTATCAGAATGACAATACAATGTGTAACAAAAATAAAGGATTAATTCATTGACCCCCCTGAAGTTTCATAATGAACTATTCCAACCTTTGAATTGGAAGGGTTCAAATGTGTCTTCAGGGGGTGAATGAGTTAACACAGAGGTAATTGTACCGAACCCAGTACACATTTCCATAAATTCCTGAAGTAAGATTATAATTGAAAAGTATATACAAGGTCCTGTACATATTAGCATGCATCCAGAAAAGAGATATTTTCCAAATCATCAGATGCATAATATTATACAATATATATCTATGTGATATTCAGATTGTACAAATTCAATCGTCTTTTCAACGTCATGTGACTAGAAAAATAGGGTCATCGGACATCAATATAGCAATGCAATGGTAATGAATTAAATCTTTAAAGTTGTTTTTCACACTATTTGCATTATTTTTAGGCTTCTTTTTGTACCGATAGCAAATGTCTTAAAATTTTAATTGCACCATCCTGAATAGTATACAAATACCTTATGTACTGGTCATTGTATACATCTACAAATATATAATATCCTATCTTTTTCCAATAGAACCTCATCTGGACATCAGATCACAATCAGCAAAACGCATGTTAAAATGCACTGCTTATATTTGGGATTGAACAACTTTTAGAGACCAATCTTATTTTTTAATAATTCTGAAAATGTGCTATCCTGTATTTTGTAAACTGAAATATTCAAACAAATAAGGTTCCATTAAATGATGATCTGAAGAATCATATGATAGATTTCCATAGCCAGTTTATTGACCGTCCACTACACTAACTGAACCTTCGTCCGCACTTGTAGCTGCGTTCACCACAGTCATCACATTGGAGGGTTCAGTATGGTCCGTAACCCCAGTACCTTGTATCGTTATGAACTCTGTTTCAACCTCCGAAGCTGCATTTGTTATTTCTGCGAGAACTGTCAAACTGTCGACGTCCTGATCAGAGTTAATTATGTGAGAGCCACCCGCATGATCACTAGCAGTACTGGAATCTGTTGGAATTATCTGTATAGCTGTGCCCCCAGCTTGACTGTCTGTCAACACCTCACTACTACTGCTGGCAGTATGACTGGCAATAGGGGTTGTACTAGTGTCCTCTGTACACTCGGTCATCATCTGCACAAACTCCTGGAATGCATTTTCATCTGACACTGTAACCTGCTGCTCTTCTGATGCCTCGACAAGTTCCGAGGTGAATTCCTCCTCCTCCTCCTCCTCCTCCTCCTCCTCCGTTTCCCTGTTCTCCAGCTCCCCGGCATTTCCATCCTCTGCAGAAATCTCCACCTTGTACATCTCACCATTAATCTCAACGTAATCTCCAGAGGACAAGTTCATAATCTGATCCTCCGATAACTGGATGTCAGATTCTTTTTCTTTTTTAATGTCGGACCCACTCTCTTGCTGAAACGACTTTAATATCTCAGTTTCCATGGTAACAATTTCTGTTTCCATGTTTTCTGCAAGGCCTTTAGAGGTCTGGACCTCTTCTACTGTCACTGTCTGAGCGTCTGGGTCTGCAATGATTTCCTGGCTCTCTAGGATGCCGGGCTGTTCCGCAAGGGCTTGCAGTCCCTCAATGGCTTCTGCTGCCTCATGCTGAACAAAGGTGTTAGACTGTCCTTGCTCTAGAATGATAATGTTGTTGCTGTTGGAGTGGGGGTTAGACACACAGTTAGCAATGTCCTCTAAATTGATCACATTCTGCACCTGAACAGCACTCTTTTCACATGCATCCATCACAATCTGTAGCTGCGAGTCATCCGTTGTCGTCGTGACAATATCACCAACAGTCAGGATGTTTTGGAGACTATCATCTTTACCTGCCACATTGGAACTGCTGTCTGTGAGGAAACAGCTTGTAGAACCATCGTCCCGCATCACAATCTCTATATTGTGCTTCTTTTTCATGTGTTGGAAAAGATTTCTGCGTTTTGGGTTCATGTACCTGCACAACACACAGGAGTAGACATGTGACGGAGGTGTCTGATCCTGAACATTATGTTTCCGCATATGAACTAACAAGTTCTTTTTACTGCCTGTCCTGAAGTCACAAACCACACAGAGATACTCATCTTCCCCCTGGTCAGGCAGTATGGTTTTGTGCTGAGCATGTAAATGTTTATACAAATTTAAAAGTTTTGCAAATTTCATTGAACAATGGTTACAAGCAAAAATCTTTTCCTGGCTGCTGTAGTCAGTCTTGTACGGTTTCTTGTCCAAAAGGAGATCTCTGGAGTCGGTTGAACCATCAACTGATGCCTCGTCAGAGCTGCGCCCCTTTTTCTGAATGTCAATATTATGCTGCGACTTCATGTGACGGAGAACATGCTCTTTCTGTGTACCCCGGTACTCACATAGGCCACACTGGAATGGTTTTTCATTGGTGTGTATAAACATGTGTCGCCTCAGACGACTTTCACAGTCTGTCACAAAACTACAGTGTTCACAGTACAGCTTCAGCTCAGGCCCCTTCCTGTGGAACTTCATGTGCTGTTTCAGGTCCTTTCTGTTGATGGCCACCGCGCCACACTCATCACATGCAAAAGCGCGGACCGAGCCATCGTTGGAGTCCTGAGGAAGATGTCGCCGTTTGATATGAACCTTCAGGTCAGGGTTTTCATTGGCACACACATAGTCACACAGAGGGCACTTCACCTTCTTCACCTGCAATACAAAAATGATAGGAGCATGAATGTAATATATTCAAATTATTTCAAATTTGAAGTACATCAAAAGTTCCACATCTCATTCTTAATGTATCTACTGCTAAGAGATCTTTATTTCATAGGGGCTAATTTAAAGAACAAATTCACAGGGTTTAATTTCACAACACTTAATGTCTTAACAAGCAACAGTCCTATGTTACTCTATATCAAAAGGACAATGAATATTGCATTGTGGTACTTATTTCAATGTAAAAATTGCAAATGCTGAAATATTTCATGACCCCCACACAATAATTTGGCTATTATTTATAATTTTAATACTTTTTTGTACGGATTTGAATGAAGTGTAGTTTCAGAAATAATGGTAAAAACATTCTGAACTATTGTGGTCCACATAAAAAGGGTTCTACTATATATGCTTGAATGAATACATTTTTAACCAACCTCGTGTCTGTATTTGACATGCCTCTCCAGGTGAATCTTCTGTCTAAACGTCATGAAACAGAATTCACACTGAAAGTCACGAATGTCATCATGAATGGCCAGATGTCTCTTCAGGTTGCTACTGGTGGCTGCTTGATAGCCACACTTCATACAGCAGTGGGGTTTCTGAGCTACAACACATACAAAACGATTAATTCACCTGAATTTTGGAATTCCGAAGATTTTGAAGTTTGACTTCATGAGACTTCTTAGTAGCTTATTACAATTGTAATGTTAGAATTCTGACTTACTCATATGCTTTTTCTTGTGTTTGTACCAGTTGGCCTTTTTCGGTGTGGTATAGTCGCAGACGCCGCAGATAAACGTGCCGTCACCTGTCTGGTCAAATGGCACAGTCTCCTTGTCAAAATAAAAATCAGATTCTATAGACAAGGCAAAAAAGTTAATATACTTCATTTAGACTCATAAATACAGTACATAATTTTACATTTTTCAAAAATATATTCAAACAATAGCTGAAATTTAATACAATTTACCACAACTGTAACAACATAGGTGTGAATTGTTTGATTTCTCTTCAAGGTAATTAATTAACGACCTTCTCTAGCCAGTTCAGCAACAAACATCAAACATACCCCAGTCCTGATAACCGGAAGCAACATTATCATACACCCTATGTGGGACGAGTCCTGGGCCCGTATTCATGAAACTGTTCTCATGCTCCAGCATGGATTCTGTGCTCAAACCAACTATTTTGTAGATCACTTATAGATCATGTCAAACGATCAAAAAGTCAAATGGAAACATTGAAAACAGTATTTGACTTGAAGTCTCTTGAAAACTTTTCCAAATTATTGACAAAATAAGATTTATTTATTGAATTATAACAAGAACAAGAAATCAGGCTTGAGCACAAAATCCATGCCTAAGCATCTGCTATCAAAGGAAAAAGGTGATCATTTTATGGTACCTCATTCTTGTCATCCTTGACCTGTGGCCTTGTGACCTTGGTGCCTTCAGGGAGGTGGACGATCACAAACTCCTGTGGTTTTCCTTCCTCACTGTCCACCTCTTTTGTCTCCTCTCTTCCATCAGGGCGCTGTATATTGACCCGTATTGTCTTGATTCGGGGCGGCTGTACTGGTGACGTCTTTTTCCCTTTTCCCGGGAGGTTGGCTATTCGACTTGAAATAATCGGTGTCTGTGTTGAGGTAGTTGACATGTTACTCTTAGTTATATTTTTCATAGCAACAATCTTCTCCGACAATATGTTTGCCTCATTAATTTCACCTGAAGAATCATCACCCCCTATGAACTGAATTTCTATTTCGTCAGTATCTTTGAAAGTTTTGTTGGATAACAAAATCTTACGAATAATTTCTTCGTCAACATCCTTCTCGATGTTGGTAACCGCCCTTGCTGTAAGTTCTGATGCTTTAGTGTTTCCACCTAAATCCTGGACCATGTCTTCTAAACGTATCACTTTGTAACCTTCAAGATTCTTAACCGTCTCAGCACAATGGACAATTTCCGTTTCTGTATCACCAGAAGTTGTATTTTTGTCCTTTTCTTGATTTTGCTCTGTTTCAACTGATGTTTCTTTATTAGTTTCATCCTCAGCATCAGTCTCTTTACTACTACTTTCTACTGTTTCCTTGTTTTCAGTCTCCATTGTAACCTCTAAAACATTTGAATCCTTAACCTGATCTACTTCTCCACTTATTTCACTAGCTGTAGTTAACTTGGATTTGTTGATCTCTTCAGATGAAACAGTTACCACAAAATTTTCTCCAGATCTACCTAAACCATTTTCTCTCATAAGCAGATGCATCGTTTGCTGGGCAATATCCTCCAAGTTTTCTTCACTGACAAACTCTTCGGAACTTTCCAGGGCAGCTGTGTTTTGTTCCTCGGAGACAGCATTCTCTGTGGTATCTGGTTCATTCCTTGCTGATTCAACTATTACAGTTGCTGTGGTTGTATCTTCCTCCATAGGCTCTACAACAGAATCATACTCAGTTCACAGGGTGTACAATTAAAGTACTAACCAGCAGGCAGATCAGGAAAAAATTCTAATATTGGACCTATATTTTCATTGAGAAATATTTCAATTTTCAATAGTCCAAAAATAAAACCTACAAGCCCTAGGTTTTCAGTTTCTCTAGAAATCTTTAGGGTAGGCATTAGAAGATGGATAAGTAAGGAACTGGAAACGCACCTGTTTTTCAGTTGGCCTCATTTTGGGACTGTTCAGTAGGAAAGTTTACGATATGATGAAAATTATGAAATGAAACTTATATATATATGATATAATTACAATAATTAACATGAGAATAGGTATTTTTTCACATTCTTTAAATTTATTTATTTTGATTTACCTCCTTATTTCTCTTCCATTGCTCTATGTGAAAGACATCATCAATGCCTGGTATTCACTTTTTTCATTTTCAATACATTCTTTTATTTTAGTGTCAGCAAGACAGCAGACCGCAGATGTGGGATTGCCTTATTAATATTAAATCTTAAATCATTTGATTGAATGATGAAACAAGAGGCCCAATGAGCCTGCATCGGTATTAATCTCACAATTGTTACCTTAAAAGTGAACTAAAATAATGCTACAGGCAAAATATCAGTGTCTTTTCTAAAAGTCATTCAAAAGAACCTGTTTAACAATTTATACTTATTTGACCCCTGTGACATTGAAAGTCAAACATGGACATTAAGTTGAACAAACTGTATAGCCCTTCATCCTTGAATGCAAATTGCCAAATATTATCACCCTGAACTATTTGTTTATTGAGAAGATGACTTTTAAATATTTATGCATAAATGACCAGATGTTACCTTGAAAGTGTGTCAAGGTCATTCATATGAACAAACTATCACCCTGGAAGTTTTTTGTTAATAATCAGAAGTGAATTAAAATGGGCGAAGGTCATTCATTTAAATTAACTTGGTAGCCTTTCCTCCCAGCATGCTTCTAGCCAAATATCATCACCCTAGACCTTTTGGTTATTCAGAAGTCGTTTAAATGTTTTTTAAAGACAATTGACCCCTGTGACCTTGAATAAGGGCAAAGGTCATTCATTTGAACAAACTTGGAAGCCCTTAGTCCCCAAATTCTACTGGTCAAATATCATCATCTTGGGCCTTCTGGTTATTCAGAAGAAGTTGTTAGTAAGTTTTTTAAGATAATTGACCCCAGTGACCTTGAATATAAGTCAAGATCATTCATTTGAACAAACTTAGTAGCCCTTTATGCCAGTATGTGATTGGCCAAATATTATCATCCTGGGCCTTCTGGTTATTCAGAAGAAGTTGTTTAAAGATTTTAACATACCAGGTATTTGACCCCTGTGACCTTGAAAATGGGCAAAGGACGTTCATTTGAACAAACTTGGTAGTCCTTCCTCCCAGCATGCTACTGACCATGTGACCTTCGGGCCAGGTGAGCTAATAATAAATTCCAACACTACATTACATATATGGATGTAGGTTATGGTACAAGGTAGTGTTGTTTGGATTAATCGATTTAGTCGACGTCTTGTTGTTTGAGTCTGAAAATCGATTAATCGATCCTTGTTTTCCATGATCGATAATAGTTTAACTAATTTAAGTATTAACAAAAAATAAACTTGGATAGTTACTGTTATTACCACAGACAGCGAGTTGTTCGTTCTTGGGCAGAACAACTTGACCTAACGTACTACACAACCACAACGCTGATTGGCTAGCTGGTCCACCCATAACCAATCAGAACTTGCGTTTCAATAGAAATGCTGCATGGCCCAGTCATTTCAAAATACATATTTTTCAATATTTATCAACAAACGTATTGTTTTTGCATGAATGTCGTGCGTTATTAGCGAAATTCTCTAACGTCAGGTTTTCCCCGGAAACGAAAGTGAAAGTAGATTTCGGAAAGGGAATATAACCTTAAATTACTAATTGAAGTTCAATAATTTGATCGATCATTAGTCGATCATCAGTCACTTGATTGGAAGTGATGATCGAGTATGAATTTACAAGTGATTCCCAACACTAGTACAAGTATCACCTTAACAAGTTATTTAAATGACCTTCCACATTGCAAGCCCAGTATATGAAATCTATTATAGTATGCCCAACTATTGAAGTGCTGAATTCTAGCACATTTGTTTCCCAAAACACCAAAAGGATGTCAAAACTGTATCTAGCACATTATAAGAGAATTAAAAAGTCAGACTAGGACAAATACCTATGACTAGTTCTCTGCTTGCAGCGACTACTTCCTCGCCAATCCAATTAGTGTGTTCCTCCACCGTCTCCATCACAACGTCCTGGTGGTCAGTCTTTTCCTCTAGGACACACGGGTTTATATCATCTTTCATTTTGGGCTGGTCAATGTGATCATCATCTTCGTACTTGGGTAATGCCACAGGTTCTGATTTGATGCTGTGAAACAGTAAAACATATTCTAATTATAACTATAAACCAATATAGTGTTACATATGCACCATAATTCATCTTCACACCTTCAAAACATTTAATCTGTCTGTTGAAAATTAATTATAATGCAAGTTTATATCTAAAACAAAAGTTAAACTCAGAATTGTATTCATAGAGGAAGAAACTAAATAAACTAAATATTCTTTCAGTAATGACACAAATGTTATATAAATCAAAGTAGTGCAGATTTACTGATCATGATTGTAAGACAGATCAAACCATACCTCAAAAATGCTTCAATGCAGCATATTGATGTATTTTGCACACACATTTTTCGCCTCATATATAATTTTTCCCATCAATAATATTCCATCATGTATTATCAACTACCTAAAATATCTATACAGCTGTACAAATCATAGTATAACATTAACCCTTTCACCCCTGTGTAACATTTGTAGACTCTACTGTGCATTGAACAGGAGGTGTCCATACTGGTCTACAGGGGTGAAAGGGTTAAAACAGCTATGTACTGAAGATTCCAGTTAAAATGTTGATATTTTTTTTTATTGCATTCACCTTTGTATTATAAAATGGGTCAAATATTTTCAATATTCAAATGTTACCAAATTAAAACGTCAATATCAGAGTCTGATTGGATTCCCTTCGAATTAGGGACAACACTCGCTTTTTCAAAAGTGAGTCACAAGCAAGTGATTAATTTTATTAGACACAAAAACATGTGAGAAACCATTTTTTTTTATATTTGGGTCCCTTACTTTTTTTTTTATAAAAACCTTTCGTTAAATTGACAACCCCTGTCTTAAATATATATATATACAATTGTCATGATCAGCCTGTTTACACATAGAAGTCCGATATTGTGTTGTATGTAATGACCATTACTCCAGAAGTTATTGATACGAACTACATACCAGTAAGTTTACTGACCCCCAGTACCTTTATTCTAATGTGTACCACTTACTCATTTTCCTTGGCTTTAGACTTATCAGTCTTTTTCTTTACTGAGGAAGTTGTTTTTGATTTCTCACCATCATCTGAAAAGATATATATTTTTATTACGATTTTTGTTTTGTTTTGATTTTACTTACCATGTTTCACATTTTAATCAATAACAGTAAATGTAAGTACACTTAAGTTTGTCAAGATAACATCAGTTGGGTATAGCCCATCCACAATGATGATATACTATATGGAAATGCCATCAAATGCTATAATGTTTTCATTAATTAGCCCATTCATATACTCAGTCACAAATTATGCCCCCCAACCGGCTTATTGCAGGATAAATGTGGAAATATGTAACTTGTATTTTTCAATTTTTCTTGAAAATTCATATTTTGTTCCCTCAATAATATAATGTCAATATGTGTTAATTCTTACACATATGTACATCAAGTACGATTCAAGATCATACAAAAACAATACATGTTTCCACTTATTCTAAACACCAGAGTTGTCATTTTCAATAGAAATCTTTTTTTAAATAATGCTATATTTTCCCAATCATGTACATTTGTAGGAACAGGCTGTCATAAAACTTAGGTAGAAAAAAACACCAATCCCACTAATCTTACCAGCACTTTGACGTCGTTTGCTTGTAAGACTGAAGTTCATCTCCATGTCTTTGAAACGCCGATTGGGAACCACACCTCTGCCACTCCTCCTAGGTGAAAATGTATCATCACTAGAGACTGCTGATGTGGCTGTACTTTTTCCCAATCCTGGGCCTTTCTTTCCTTCAGACTCTGTATCTTTATCATCTACCTTTTTCCTCTTTGTCTCCTCCTTGTTTGCACTGTCATCATCATTACTTCTCTTCTTTCCTCTTCTCTTGGCAACATTCTCTTCTCCACTTTCATCTGATCCAGGCATCTGTGACTTTTCTGAAGCTTTCGTTACTTCGCTCAAGCTTGCATTTTTTCCCTCTGAAGCCTTATCCCGAGTCAATGTATTTTTCTTTTGAGCATCTTTAGTCCCGCTGGGTGTGTTGCTTTTTGTGTTGTAGTCAGAGTCATTATTCCTCTGTTGACTTTCAGACTCACCATCTTCTCTGGTTGCTTTCCCATCTATTCCCTCAGAGACTAGTTCCTTACTGGCTGAACTGCTAAGTACTTCCTTCACAGACTGAACTTCAGGTTGGCTATCTGCCTCTTTTTCTCCTCTAAATGACCTTCTGTTTGCTGTGCGCTCAACAAATTTTGACTTTGCACCTGATACAGGCAATTCTGGAGTATCTATACACTTCCTTGTTAATCGTCTTGCAGTCCTGCCCTCTAATTGTGTTTCCTCTTTTTCTTGGTCTTTATTCTTGATTGGTTCCTGTGAAGCTTGAATTCTTGATAATCTGCTAGGATTTTGAACTGTGTCATTCTCCAAACTTTTTTTGTTTTGTTTGATTTGACTAGTCAGTGGTACTTTACTTGCCTCATCGGGATTCGTTGCAGATTTTTCATTTGACAATTTTACATTTCTCTCCTCTCCAGAGTTTCCTACTTTTCTTGGCAATAATCTTGATTGGGTCCCAGAGGACTTTTCCTTCCCTTGGCTTCGTGGAGATAGTATCTTGATTTCTGTTTTCCCAGCCCCCCGTGGTGAAGCCTGTCTAGTCCTAGCATCTGGGCGACTTGGGTCTGATTGTCGTGGAGACGTATTTCGAGTCAATCTCCCTGTAACTTGTGGAGACTGGTTTCTTGTTGCAGGCATCTTGTATTACAAACCCTATGCAAGAGAAAAAACATTTACAGCAATGTTGAAATATTTATATTATTTCAATTTTAAAACAATTGATATTCTCTATTGTATACCTAGTATGTTTAAACAGTGAAATAAGTTTCGCACTAAAAACAAAACAAAATATTGACACTTGAATTGGTCAACTAAAATATATTAATACTGTTCATAACTGATGTCTTAACGTGATAGTATTGGTAATATCAAAATTTCACATTTCCACTTAATGAAAAATTAACTCAGATTATACCATGGTCATGCAACAGGTATTTGTTTAAATACACATGTCAACAATATCATGGTATCCCTTTATTTATGATATCAATGAATTGCAAAGGTGTCCACCTCGAGCTCTGAAACGTCCAATGAAGGAGATCTCCCTCGGGCTCATTTCACATTTCCAATGAGGGAGAAAGAGTAAAACGTGACTGAAACTGCTTTGCTCAATTTATCTTTCCCTTTTATGCATCAAAATAACTCCATAAAAGCATTCAATTGATTCAGACACACCTGTTACAATCATTATACATACACCCTACTGTAACTAGATCATTTTACCACAGGATAGATATTGAGTTTTTGTGAATTTAGACTAAATTGTGATCGATGGGGGATTATGAGAGAATCTCTCTTCTAATGAGCGAGGGTTGACAACTTAGAAATTGTACAGATATGTAAGCTTATAATTATAATTAGGCCAGTAGAAGTGCAAATGCAAATTTTTCCCTTTAGCTTTTACAGATGTCTGGCGTTTGATTCCTAATATAACTTTCACGTCTAAATTGCTATGTGCACTTGATGTATAATTAACTATAATTTGAATCCATGCCCTAAGAGACCCATTCTTGGATAAGTCATTAAAGCAAGAGGCCCTTATATTACTAATCATAAGTTTTGAGGGAAATGAAGTGAACTCATATTAGAATAAATGTTCCAGTAGTGAGCGAGTGACAACCAACAATGACAATAAATTATAAGCTAACTCCATTTGCAATGATTTGGTCGATTACCAGTTCCACGTCGGAATACAGCGGCCAGCTCTGGTAAATTCACTTATCTTAAATATAAAATGGACACCACTTTTCATTCAGATCATATCAACAGACAACAGCGAATCATCAACGGAAGGAGTGAAAAAAATTGATCTGTTGATGTCAACAAATATCGACAGGACAGAAATAAATATTCTATTCGTGACCAAAATGATAACTGAAACTCTCTCGTTCGCTTTAATATGCATCCAAACATCGTTTTAATTAATAACGGACATTGCTAGAAGGAAACGATCACTTGTTCGCGTCCAATTTGCAAGTGTGGTTAGTCGGTGAGGAAATCTTCAGTGGGGAGGAAGAAAATTCAATATGGACGACCGATTGTGCTTTCCATGTAAGGAGATTGACACTACGAAGCAGACGCTTTGGTACATACCTATATATTTTTCACTGCCAGCCTACCGTCCGTCAGTAAATATGTGTTTTAATAATTATTCATTCAACTACATCACGGTATTTCAACCGTTGAACTTGTTATCGCCTTTAGTGACGCGGGAATCGTCGTGCTTTGCAGTGAGATGTGAAATGAAGTTGAAGGGTAATTGTGATTGGTTGAAAATGTTTAGCTAAAATAAACGGTTTCTGTAATCTAAATTATAAGTACGCATCGTTTGTGTTTCTAATGTAGAAAAAAATAATCCTGCTCAATTAATAATATTAAACGAAGTTTCATTTCAATGTTTGATAAATATTTACATCTGGTCGGCGTAAAAGAAATTTCATACACCCATTATTAAGTTCCGCCCGGAAAGCCTCGGTGACAGTCTCTTTGGGCGGGAAACTCAAATTATTTGCGTCGAAGATGAAACAAATTAATGGCAGTAAAAGTCAAAACTGTGTACTTGGAATTGATTTGTCCTTGTCTGCCGTCGTCCTGTCGTACGTTTACAATTTCCATTTTTCTACTTATTTTTTTCGTGCCGATCCGGAGTCCAATATGGCCTAAGATTGGCTAGGAGGTTTCTGTAATCTAAATGGTAAGTACGTATCGTTTGTGTGTCTATCGTGGAAAAAAAAATCATACCACAACGGGTGATATATAATATATATAGAAGTCACATACCACAACGGGTGATATATAATATATATAGAAGTCACATTCCACAACGGGTGGTTTATAATATATATATAGAAGTCACATTCCACAACGGGTGATATATAATATATATAGAAGTCACACTTCACAACTTTGATTTTTATGAAACTGATTTAACCATACATCTCCAAAACCAAGGCTATAAAGCGTATTTTAACATAGTCAACCCAATTAAAAACATCATTTCGTTTGGGCAGTTTCATCAAAACTTAATATGCAGTTTTCAGTTATTTGAGTTAACAATTTTTAACCAATATTTTATCATACGATGTTTTCTTATATGTATAATAGGAAATCTTCCTATAGTTTAAAATAGACCATTACATTGCATGTTGACTTTTTAACATGAAGTACCTTTTACAGAATTCGAGATGTACTTTTTCAATGTCTAATCCTTTACTGGCACCCCAGACTTCCGCTGCATAGCATACAATACCGTTGACATATATGTATGTGTAAAATACATTTTTAAAAAGTGGTACAATTCAACTGCATAGACCTGCATTTAGAATACAGAGCTAACACTGCCTTTCGGCCTTGTTCGGATAACTGCTTTTGTAGTGCATTAAACTTATTGCTATATCTAAAAATAGTCCGAATTATTCTGACGTTTTATCGACTTTTTTTTATATCGGTCTGTCGTCGATTTACGACGTATAATCGACGACAGACCGGTTTAAAAAAAAAGTCGATAAAACGTCAGAATAATTCGGACTAATCTAAAAACTACTCCCAAATATGTGAATTGGTCTAGTACTTCCAATTTCTAACCATTATAAAACCATACGCCATCTTTATGTATTCTTCCGTTTTACCGAAAAAAACAACCCAATTATTTTCGTTTTTTCCACATTTACAGTAAGGCTCCATGACTGAGCATAAGTATATAAGTTATCCAACATGTTGTGTAAGTCGCGTACAGACTCTGCTTATAAATCATCAGCAAACATCATCAGGAATAAACTCAATTTCCATAATTCAAAGTCCTTCACTCCATTCAAAATAAAATAGTTTTCAAAGTCGTTAACATGAAAGAAATTTGACATGGTCTGTGAGGAAAAAAACAACTAAAACCAGATTTGCCCTAGTTTGTGTTAAACCTCTGCAAAATATCCCGGATATAGTAAAAAAAAAAAAAAAATTTTTTATTTATTAAAATTAAAATGACAAAATGATGTGTAAATACACGTGCCTGCTCGAGCCTAAGGCTGCTACGCTACTGAATGAGATCTTCATTTGTGTCGGATATAGGTTTCAAAATGTTGACTTATTGTGTCGATCTATAAAACCCATCACATTGCGTCCAATCCATGTGTTATGCTGTGCCATTATTGTGAGATTGCGTTTGCACAATACACTTACATATCTACCAACAAATGAAAACGTCACCGGTGTGTCGCTTCACCATCCAAACCAAACTGCGATAAATCAGGCTTATATGAACCTCTATAAAATCTTGTAATGCGCTTTCATGGTAACCTACCTTATTGCATCACGACAGACACGGAACTTTTAACACAGGTTCATTTTATCGACGCACCGCTTGGGGAAAACTTTATGAACTTTCATTCCGACGAGGGCAAGCTGTGATAGGAGACGTGCAGTGACTCAATGTCAATTATTTTACGGCAAACACGACCAAGAATTACAACGAACCTAATTAACATCGAGCTACTGTCATATGCTGTGTACACATGCCTAAAAGAACTGTAGATACTTTTTTCACCTGGGAAGTATGTTCCATTCATAAAATCGTAAGTGTGTACAGGTGAGCTTTGTTGTGTGCCGATTGACGGCATAGATTGACCACCGGACCGTGACGATGAATTCCGCACTCCGACACATCTGCCTTATCTTGGTCATCTGTGTCAGTCGTGGATCGACAATTAAAGTAGCATGTCCCGAATATGTTGAGTGTGAGTGTAATGAAACTACCATTCGCTGTCACAGTAGTGAACCACGCGACACTACTAAACTAAACCAGAATTTCTTCGATGAGTTAAAGGACTTTATCCAGCCCACCACAACCCACTTGACGGTGTCTGGAGGTAATATAACGGAACTAATGAAAAATTCGTTTGGGAGTTGTTCAGGAGACTCCTCCAAAAGTCATCCTTCTTTGACAGACGTTGTTTTGAGAAATAATAACATCCAGAAAATCCATGGTCAAGCGTTCCATTGTGTTCCAAATGTATTGCGCTTGGATCTTTCTCTAAATAACTGGACAGTGAGTAACGTGAATCATGCTGCCATCTTCTCGGGTATCCCGAGCCTCGAGAAACTTGTGTTGACGGATTCAATGAAAGACAATTACTCCGGTAAGCGACATCTTAGGCGCCTTTCTGCTGTTTTTAATAATTCACATTTATCAGCTTTGAAAGATATCTACCTCGGAAAAAACGATTTGTGGACCTTTACTTCTGATGCGTCATCAACATTATGCCGGGTTACCAAAAACCTTCGAATCTTGGACTTGCATTCGAACAATTTGGCAAAAGTGGTGTTCGACCCTTGTTTTGGAAACTTGACGAACATACAGCTTATCAATCTGAGAGACAACAGTTTCATTGGAGTTACTTTAAACACGGTTCGAATGTTCGACCAGCTTTACAAAAACAATCCGATATTTACAGTCGACTTCCGTGGGAATCAATGGGATTGTGATTGTAATCTTGTTGATTTCGTGAAATGGGTCAAAACTACCAAAGTCAACATCAGAGGCAAACAGAACATGACTTGCCACGATGGGCAGAATATGGGCAAGTACCTATGGGATATACCAGCGAGTGAACTGGTGTGTGTGGCCAGAGCGCCTGCACAGACAGCCAACGCTGGGGTCGTCGTGGTCAGCATTCTACTGGTCATCATCTGCTGTGTTGTCGTTGTTGTTATCATTCTAAAAAGAAATTCCATCAAAGAAGCATATACAGGATTTAAGAAATCTTATTTCGCCAAAGATGTGCAATTCAGCTATGCTTCAGTCAACAACAGCAATGTTGACGTTTAAGAAAACGACGGTAACGCCGCATGCCGGAGAAATTCGTAGTTTTGCTAACCATTTGTCGCCATTCCAGTCAGTGCCTTGGTGAGAGAAAACACTCATTCTGAACGATGTTTCGTTGTTACTTATATTTCGAATTCTTAAAACATTGTGTACACATACGAGGTTTCCGTTTGGAATGGATGGGAAAATATCGCCAATAGCGAAGTGTATAGAAATGAGTAAAGAAGTCGCACATCGTCAAAGATGCTTATTTCGCAAATGATTGCTTGCGAGCCTAGTATTACTTTTGTATTTGTATTCGACAAACGACGTTTTCATGGTTGAAAATGACGGCTTATGTCGTTGGGATTGTGAGTTATGATGCAGCGAAGGACGTGGCGTTTCCATTGTGTTGCTGTTGTAAAGACCGTTTATATCCATCGGATAATTTTACTTGACAAGCGTGTTAAGTGGTGCTATAGTGTGTACATGCTATTACCGGTATGTTATTATGCAAATGTGGACATTATTATTGTGTTTAAAGTTATCTAAAGTTACTGGTAGACATGTATGTATTTCGTGATTTTCACACACACCACAAGTCGGAGAACGATCATATCCATAATCTTCATGCATGAATCATGTCGTTCAGAAGTCGCACTAAAGAATTTTGTGATAAGATTGATAGGGAGGCTAATAGATCGCTTTATATTGGGAGGGCGTACGTAAAGATTAAATCAGCGCCGTTACGTGTCACAAGTTTCATACAATATGTAATTATAATCTACTTATATCTGGATTATGTAGCTGGGACGTGATTGACTAGGTCGTAGCTAGATTAATACCAGGTATTTATACCAGGTACAACTACAGGCTTTGGTGCTGTAATTAAATAAATCATCGACTATTTACAACATTGCGCTATTATTAAATCAAACAAACAATTGGAAAACATGTAAATTATACTTGTACGAAACTAAATATAGCTCCATTCAATACTAGTAACTGGAAACACTCGAGTGAAAATGAATTATAGTGTCAGACCCTTTTCGTTATATATATTTTGCAGTTTATCGCCAAATGTGGAGAAGTTCCATTATTGTAGCTGTGTATTCACTTTATATAACATACGTAACATTTGCTTTTTTTTAAATAATCAAATATACCAAGTTGTTACGTACACGTCTCCGTGTATGTAGTAGTACGTATAGAATGATTCATTCGTGCTGTAGCAGGTGTGGGTGGTCTGTGTGTAATTTAACACAGTCGTACACACACAAAAATATAATAGCGCGTTATCAGCGTATGGAAGGTTTAAATCTAGTACGAGAAACCGCTATCGTACAAATCAATACATTGTTCCTATTTAAATATAAACATTCGCATTTGATAGAATGCGAGTTGAGACCTAAATGCGCCTTTTAGTCTGACTCGGACGATTAGTTAAGGCAGAAAGTCCCAGTTATTTACCTGTTATGTTGAAGCTGACCACTTTGAAATTTGAAATGTCCTTGGATCGAATCCCCTCGGCGGAGGTGTTTCTTTGAAGAAAACCCCCTAAAAATAAATCCATTTATATCGTACATATCTACTGGCATAGTTAATGACTAAGCATGTTATTCCAGGTATAAAAAATAACGAACAGGTTGAAACTCTTAGCTTCTTCGTTAAAGACAGATCTAGAATATACACGCTGGGACTACACGTTAAGAAAGTGATGTAGCTTTTGAAGAATTCATTATAATATATAGAGGTGTTCTATACCAGGGTAGCACAGGGACCAGGCACATTAACATGACCATTTTTACACTCAACTAACCTTTCAGTACTCGTAGCTTTACGTTTACAGAGTTTTCGAGTCGTTGGTTGGTTGGTTGACGGGTTTTGCGCCCTACATGAATCTGCCCTTACGGGGTTTCATCTCACTGACTGTTTTCGAGTCACGACCAGTCATCAACTATAGTACGGAAATATTTTTTGAATTAAACACACTTCTCCATATAGTATGATTAAAAAAAAATCTTGTTTACTATTTAGAAAAAAAAATGTATGAATACAATATATATAGCTACATTTGTATGTGGTAGCCCCTTTGGTACACAAACGCCATATATCAGGCAACATTTCAAAGCCTGGTTAGCTTTACCTAAATTTACATCAATCTTCCATCTGGTATATGTTTTGAAAAGTTAGATATCAAGCTAGACCTGCACCTGGGGTAAAATAGTGAAAACGTTACATACAGACAGGTAATATAGAAATATTTTTTAAGTTTTCCGTTAGGGTCCAAAACGCGTTTGACATTATTTGTTAATGCAATTTTAAGCTTATCAAACTTTCAACGTGAGTCGATTGTATCTGGTCTAGTGCACCGTCTAATCTATGAATGTATTTAATATTCTCTCATACTACAGCATGTTTACAGAGTTGTTACGTGACTATGCTGAAATTAAAGCTATTCAGCTTTGTGTGATGCAGATGATAGGAATGTGGAAATTGTCCTAAATTATTTATTAAAATCCCATGTTAGAAATTCACTGAAATTTGTCTGCAGGCGTTTTGCTTTTGACAAATTAAAATCGTGTTTAGAGCAAATACATTTCTATGCGAAATTTAACCTAACAATGTCATATTTAACAAACAAACAAAAAAGAAATAATTTTGGCAGTTTTGGACTATGGAAAGTTACGACAGCATCAGTCCGGTGTGCTGATAATGATGACTTGACTGCGCATGATCACGTAGTCTATATTTACGGTCTCGACACTTGTACTGCCTGTGTATGGTATTTTTGAGGGGCGTATTATTATACTTGTAATCTAGCAGCAGTCATTCATTATATTAATGTCACAATAAGAGATAGCTGTAAGGGTCATGAACAATCGTCGCTACGTCGGGTTCAATGTAAATGTCGGGTCACGTTGGGAAGCCGGTAACATTTGTATATATACCACACAGTATTACCTTTGTGTCTGAACACAGGCGGTGATCATGGCTTTGGGAAAATAAAGTAAGTTTTGCAATAATTTAAAGTGGTTATATCTAGGGGACGGGGCCAATATAAGCGCCGAATTCATCTACAAATCGCAATCGTCTGCTGGATAACCGAACTACTCGGGTGTGAAGCGGACGTAAAACCTGTCAATCAATCAATCAATCTACAAATCGCAGCAGGAGATCGAAGTTCTATCGATATGGCCGGAATAATCGGCCTATATATTTCGATCATATTCTTTGAACTTCGATTTGTTCTATATTATACTCTGATTTTGATAAATCTAGTTAAATTCAAACTTCATTTGTTTCCTATATTGCGAAGGAATCAAATTTGAGTTAGATCTCCTTCTTTTCACAGCGAAACTGTTATTTTTCTAAAAGTTACACGACCGTCCTAACCTGTCGGCGACGAGCTATACATGCACGACTTGCTTTTTCATTTAAAAGGGAATTTAAGAACATGTAGACCTGACCACGCACAGTGACAATGAAATATTAAACTAAAGTATAACATTTCACAGAATAATAGGCAAACTGCCAGCTCTGAAAATAGTGTGTGTCGCATTTTATAAATGTGACATTTCAAAGTGAGTTACAGCAACATACCGCTGGCAAATTCATAATAATTTGTGAAGGACGCGGACTGAAGACACTTTAATAGATCTCTATTGCTCTAAGGATAACTAAACATACGATGACCCTTTACTCTCGATACCAGTGTCATAAAAATGACCCTAAAGCTATATCACAGGTGAAACAGACACCTCAGACACCGTATGTCTGGTCTGACAATAGGACGATACTTGATAGGTATATTTACGCAAGCTTAAGTCTGATACTTATATTTAAGCAAGCATGTTTGCATACAGCATTATTGCCTTGTATTCAATTTTTTTTTGGTCATGACTTGAGGTTTAAACATCATACCACTTAAACCCGACTGTTATCTGTCCTGCCCACCACCACTAGTAACCGGACATCACGTTGGGGATTGCCTGGTCAATTGTCCGGGAACTCTCAAGGATGTCCGACTGCATATATATATATACAGGCCAGACACCAGATTGAGGGGAAAGCAGATTTCGTTTAAAAGTTATCACACGATTTGTTATCATCACTGTAAATGTATTTTAACCGAATTATTCTGAATACCAAACACACCAAAGATGGACTAATATAATCTATTGACCCCTGGTACATGTGTAGTAGAGAAATCTAAAAACTTCAAAAGTCTTGTTCAGCTGGTGGAGATTTCTGTGTCTGCATCACACGGGAATCAATCTAGCTTGTTTTTCATAATGAAATTATGTTGCATAATGTTGATTTAGATAATGCTGGCACTAGGTGTATGTATCCATACACCCGGTATACATATAGTGGGCAGGGTGTAGATTACCAACCCACGGTCCGTATGTAGGAACAGGATATGGTTAGGATCTGTGCGTGTCTGGTCCCTTTCATATTCAAATTCAAAATTTTATTTACAGATTTGTAACTACAAACTAGTTTGAAGGCAAAATAGAAAAACACAGTGAAATACATGTACATGTCGAAAAGTCGCAAAGTGATTGCTTATATTTCTAATATACAATAACACGAACAAAATTAACATGGCTTCAAATAGAAAATTTGATTATTTTTTTTTAGCTGTAAAGTCCATACCTTATACTGTCAGCAAGCCCACTGATGAGTTCTAGATACTGTTTAATGAACTTAAGCAAGAGTCCAGTATAAACTGTGACTTGTTAGTAGATAATATTGAGGTCAAATCATTGGTATCTAAGGTAACATCATTGTCATTTGGAATGCATTTTTGGAAATATTCTTATCTGGCAGATTCATTAAGGGCACAGTGAAAAAAGAAGTGTACTTCATTTTCTAACACACCACATTTTCATACAACAATAGGTTGTCATGTTTCCATTATTGCATGCCCCCTTTTTTCAATACAAGATCTGACCATAACAATACACAAAGAAATCGCACAAAAGTCCCTTGTTATTATAGTTTCAATATAAATCTGTATAGATTTGATGTTTTATGTTTTTGAAACACAGACGATGTATATGATGTTTATGTATATGCTTCTGTTGCACTTGTTGTATATAGATTATTTTCACGCTGTTTTGTGACCCATTTTTTTCTTATTTGGCTGAATACAACATTTACCAAAAATATTCCTTCTTTTTTATGTAAACACTAAGGTTGTGTGCGATTATATATATATACATACAGTATCATACTAGGTAATATGTAAATATTTACCGGACTAAGACACTTCATTCCATGGTTGTGTTCCTTATACGTCTTTATCGGTTTTTATTTTTACGTTTATATTCACGGATCGTTAACGTTACATTTGCATGCCTCCTATATATATTTTCCGCTTTAGTTGTGCTATTTCATGTTGATTTCTTCTCGAGTTTTCCTGTGTTGTGAAGTTATTTTGTAAGTATACAGTAAACCTTCGTTATACTGCCATTATCTGTCTGACAAAATGATGGCACTGTAAACGGAGTTTGGCGATTTGTCAAGGGTGGAATTCTTAAAGAAAGAATCGGACCGTGAAGTACGTTGGCGGTAAGGCGGGTGGCAGATGGAACGAGAGGCATTGTATCGAAGTTTTAATGTATAACCACAATCTACGGCTGACCATTGTCCAGTCCATGTATTAAACTTCGCCATGCAAAATCAAAATGTCTTGCTTTTTTGTTTGATATTCAAGATCACGCCAATTTTGACAGTAAGATATTGACATTGTTATTCCAGGTTATTTCATTTTCTTTTATTCAAACATGTTTTATTGCTGAATTTATGGGAAAAGATTGACATCGGTTCAAAAATCGTCTAGTCAGTGTCATGCCGGGACCTCTCCTATAGTATGTTCGGGGTATTATCACTGGAATGACGGGTAAAATACGATGACCATGTGTCGGTCTTACCCAAATGATAGCAAAGTACATAATGCGTATATATCTATGTATTAGGCCCTTGTAGTCGTGACCACAGGGACATGATAATTCGTTACAGTTTAGCTATGTTTGAACCTAAACGGATGTGTAATTGTTTTAGATTTAAACCCCCTTAAACTATTATTACCCCGAACGCATCATTCAGTTTAGGTCCAAACTTAGCTAAACTGTAAATAACGAATTCTCAGGTCCCTGTGGTCACGATCAGAGAACACACGGACTTGGTTACAGGTATGAACGCGAAAGATTTCATCTGTTAAACACTGCCTAACTACCTGACGACAGTATGATTTTTTTTATCTTTTTCTCCTGAAATGACGGCAACACAAAAGGTAGTCGGGCTACATGTTTCGGCATTTTACATGAAGCCGCTCCGTGTAAATAGTCGACATGGATGGTAACTGGATACCTGGTTTAACTGAACTATAGACGTGACGGTGAACCCCTATTATGGCTGGCTTTTATCAAAACGTCATGGAAGAAATAAAAATGTAGGTAACAATTACACCTGGGCACATGTATACGATCTAGGACCATCAGTCTGAGCAAGATCTGGAAATGACCTGATCTCGTCTGTACACACTGAACACAACGGTAACAGTTTTAACACCGTGTCAATAGTACGTTTTTTATTGACAATCTGTTAAAAAGAACGAACTGTCTGGGCCCTGCACTTTATCATAAAATTGATAGCTTGGGAAATACGAGCATGTCAGGATAAAACGGAGCACTTTTTAGGTATGCGGGTTCCTTCTTAAAAACGGATACCGCGCATGACGGTGAACAAAACAAAATAGGTCCCCATGTCAGAGTAAGCTAAAAACTATTAGACTTTTAAAAGTCTGCATCACCGGGATATCCCGAATGTAGATTGCCATTTGAAACTGGGTTGATACACAGGTACTAGCCTCGTCTGTCAGTACACCTACAATATAATTATAGGTGTATTCAATGACAGACGAGGCTAGTACCTGTGGTTGATTTGGCGGAAACAACCCTGTAAATGTCACGGGGACCTGAGAATTTACTACAGCTATATTTGGACATGTACATGTTTTAGCGGTTTAGATCGACTTTCGGTGAAAAGGCCACCCCATTGCTTATATGGTAAATGTGACCACAGCCAAATAAAGCGTAAATACTCGTGGAAGATGTTACAAAACACGTAGGTCCTCCATTAATGCAATACAATACTATAACTAGAAAGATAAAAAGTTCGAACACCATCGTGATGTGACGGCATAGTGTGACCACAGAGTCATCACAACAAAATACAGTGCAAACATACAGAAGACTGACATGGGGTCACTCAACGGATGGACTCTATTGACAGAGTAAGGCCGGTGAGACAGAAAACTCGATGCCTTTGGAAAAAAAGTTGCAAAGAAAACAATTGCGCTAGCGTCAACATTCCAGGAAGACATTCGGTGAAAGGTGGACTGCTTAATACTTGTGTTCCCTATTAAACTTGAAAATTGTTATTTACATTAAAATTAGATACTTTAATATAGGAAAAGAAAACAGCGACTTTTGTTGAAGTTTCTAAATAGTAAAGCTGTCACAATATATCGGAAAACAGGTATATCGCAATACACGGGTATATCGTATCATACCACAATACAGAGATGAAATATTGCCGTATCGTAATATTTTTCAAAAACATATCTTTATGTAACTTCTTGGTGTTTTAACTCTGCAAATTACTACAAATTCTAACAGATATGCCAATAAGCATAAATCAGGCTTTTAGTATAGTTCATCTTTTCTAATCGATTGTTGGTTTGACAAAAATCTTAAATCTATGTAATCCATATTATATTTGATAAGGTTTGATAACATTCTGACAACAACCTATTATAAAATTGAGCACATCCTTCCTATGACAATATATCGGGATACGTATCTCAATATATTCATTCTGTATTGCAATATACTGTGATACACTCTTGGCGTATTGTGACAGTCCTAATAAATAGTTCAGGTACGTTTTCAAACTTATTTCATATTTCGTCAGGACATCAGTTGCTCTTTCACGATACCAAAATAATTTGAAAGTAAGACACCTGGAACTAATTCTTAACCCTATATTTACGTCGTTTTGAAAATATCGGTTCTCTTACCATTTTCGTTATGCATTCATGTCCGCGTTCCAGTTATTTTACAATACTTTCTTCCTGAAAAATTAGTTGTCATTAAGCAATATGACCGAGTTTAAAATTTTTGGCAAATGTAATATGTTCTGCAAATTAAGGTTTTATTTTCCGAATTCAAAATGCATCTAAGTATCGAAATGATTTCCATATCTTTATTCCAATTTTACCTTATATTCTGAACCATCCTATTACAAAATAAGTTACTGTTTCACAATACAAAAAGATCTGAGTGTTTGACACATAGAAGTGGGTTTGAACACCTATATATTTCGCAAAACAAATTTAACATTTACCGATTTACTCCGCGCTTCGGGTCACATCAATATTCGGGTTCATATATTCTTTTAATAGCTCTTTTTACCAGAAAATATGTTACCATTCAAAAGTACCATCTAAATTATACATGTAATTTATATTGTAAGGCAGTAAAGTCTTACGAACAGGCAATTTGATTGTTTTCAAAATGAAAACAATTATTTTAATTTCTAATAATTTCAAGTAGCTTTTTACCAGGAATTAAGTTGTTATTTCATTACCAAAATAATAGGATTGTTAGTCACATGGAAATGAGTATAAACACCAAAATCGAAAATGTATGTACTTGGCGTTTCGAAACATCTTTATCACGGTCCGTATTCAAGCATCAACTTATATCATTGCATATTTTACAATTACATTTACTACGAAAAATATTGAAATACAGACATTTCCATGTGTCTAATTTTCGCTTCATTTTGGTATTGTGAAATAGCGACTCGTTACATGATGAAAATAAATCGACCGGCTGAAATACGCACCCGAACTTATCTAAAATCTCCAGCAAACGGCAAATCTTTTTCTTTTGTAAGCAAAATGAGTAAATAACATGTTAAAAACTTGATCAAGCTTAACATAGAATACCAATAAATGAAATCAAGTTCTTAGTGTCACCTTGATCTGCACTGCCTGTTGTAAACGGCGACTGATGTATGGTGTTTCTTGTGTGCCCTCTCGTGGGGGACACGAAAGAGCCAAAACAAATCTGCTGCACAGAGACAACATTTGGATTTTATTTCTCACATTTCATCTTACTTTCCTTTTTGCAATGCCAGGTACTTGGCAATACCTCGATTTGTCCTTGACATTGAACGTTCGCCCAACCGAGGAGGATTACTGTTTCTTAAGACAAATCAAAGTCCAAGCTACTCTCTGCGTGACAGCTTTAAATTGATGGCGATAGGGACCGGAAAGTCCATTGTCAGTAAACTGTGACCGGTTGGTGTGCCATGCTAACATGCCCAGGTTGTGACACTTCGGGGAGATGGCGGTCCTTGAATGGCCACATCACCCGAAGACACCATCCTCATATGATATCCGCTGTAACCGAACCATGCTGTCTTTCTGATCCTTGTCGGTTGATAGATAGATTGTTGATTGATCGCTTCACTACCGAGTAGTTCGGTTATCCAGCAAACGAATTCTTGTTGGTGTCGACGAGGCCATGTCGTGTTTTGTAAAGTGTACCCAGTTTGCTAATGCGTCGCCTATGCCTTTTCAAACTTTCTCATTTGAGTCTCTCCTTCGTTTTGGTTACACAGCCTAGGATCTTAGAGCTACTCGACGCTTATTCCGATAGGGATCCCAGACAGATGAGGAGTACTCCTGTGTTAGGCGTACACTTTGGGTGTAAGTGATTGCTTTGGCCTGTTTCGGAAAATCGAGTTCCATCTACACGAGGAAACTTTCGAAGACATCTGTTTCCTTTGTTAAGCAAAGAATGAAAATGATCGCTGTCTCGACTCTTAATCGCTAAAAACAACTCACTCAGCCACAAAGCATACCAAACCAACCACCTAGGAACCTAAAATGAAGTTTCTGAGAACGTTGGTAATCAATTTTTAAAGTATAAAGAACAAAAGAACTGAGTTGGATATACTTAATGAAACCTCACAACCTGATATAATAACTGGCACAGAAACATGGTTATCAGACAACATTGGAAACCGAGAAATCGTTCCACTTGAACTCGGCTTTGATGTAATAAGACGAGACCGTAAAGATGATGCTGGCTGAGGAGTTCTCACAGCTGCGATATCCAGTTTAGGCTTAAACCAAGCCTACATCGGTAAACAGGCTGAAACGATTTCTGGGAACATCACACTTGGTAATATGCAATTAATTATCACCAGCCTCTATAGTACACTAAACAAACAAGATACAAACTATGTTGAGGACATCATATCAAAAATAAGAAGTGTGAGGAATAAATTCAAGAGAAACATCTTCATACTTGGAGGAGATTTTACCTTACCCTATATTTATTGAAGAGGTAACAACCTCACTGGACAACAAATCCCACAATCGAACAATAGAGAATTCCTCACGATGGCAGCTGATCTATCATTCTAACAAGTCAACAACCATTCTACTCGTGGTAACAACATGTTGTACTTACTAGTCAATAGCCATCCTGAACAAATAGAGCGATGCAAAACATTACCACATATAGGAAATAGCGACCATGATAGGATCCTGATTGACGTTACAGCAAATACTCGCCAGCCGAAAGCAACCAGAATGAAAATATTCCTTTGGAAGAGCAAATACTCGCAAGCCGTAAGCAACCAGAATGAAAATTTTCCCTTGGAAGATATCAAACCTTGATGGAATAAGGACATTCATTGATTCACAATTTCAAACCTTCAACAACACAGACTACAGCGAAGTTAACAGTATGTGGACAACAATCAAGCAGGGACTCATTGAAGAACATGTTCCTACTTATCGTACCCGAGCATGAAAAAGTCACCCATGGATTAGCACCAAACTGCGCTGTCTGAGTAATCAGAAACAAAGGGCGTATTCCAAGGCAAATCACACAAACTCTACCAAGGACTCTCAAAGGTATAAGAATAGGAAAGCTAAGCTTAAGCGTGAATGAAGAAGAACCCATGACAGAGATAGTCAGTGAAGACAAACGTAACAACCTGAAGCAATTCTGGTCATATATAAAGAGTAGGAATCAAAGAGTCATCAGGGATAACAGCACTGAAGGATAGAGACGGTTACCTGCACAGCTAAGGTTGCAATCTACCAAAGAAGACCACACTTGTATCCCAGACAAAGATGTCATGAGACCAATGAGTAGTGCCCGATGACTGGAGAAATGCCAACATAGTCCCGATACACAAGAAGGGTGAGAAACATGTACCATCAAATTATCGACCAGTTTCCTTGACTTCCATCTCAGGTTAATTGCTTGAGCGTACGGTCCACAGTAACATCATTTTGACCAACACCAGATACTCTGTTACGAACAACATGAATTCAGGGCCAAAGGGTCGTGTGAATCACAGCGTCTTAAGTACTTTGCAGTACACAACGCCAAAAAGAACAATGAAGATGGTTACCAAACAAACATCGTATTGCTAGAATTCGCCAAGACTTTTGACAAGGTCACCCATGCCAGATTACTACACAAGATGGACTACTATGGAATACGGGACAACACGCTTAGTTTGATAATGAATTTTCTTTCAAACATATCCCAATCCGTTATACTAGACAACCACAAATCTGAGCCACTGGACATAGCTTCTGGTCGGGGTCCCACAGGGCACAGTGGCTGGGCCGTTATTATTCCTGGCATATATTAACGATCTTCCTGAGGCAACAACACCAAATACTAGTCTATTTGCAGATGGCTGTGTGTTATACAGAAACATCAAGAAGACTGAAGATGCAGTAGCACTCCAAATGGACTTAACATCGCTTGAGAAGTGGGAAAAGGAGTGACAAATGTGTTTCCGTCCAGAGAAGTGTCGTTTACCCGTGTCCCTGGAGGATGTTCACTACACCGGACGTCCTATACCCTGCATGGACACACACGTTAGTCGTTTATTACAGTGCTAAATATGTAGGAGTGGCAATCATCAAAAATCTGACCTGGACAAAACATGTCAACCAGACAACAGGTAAGACACTTGGCTTTATACGAAGAAATCTGGGGAGATGTAAAAGAGCGTATACCACCTTAGATCGACCAACCTTAGAGTATACGTCTCCAGTGTGGGATCCACATCAAATAACAAACATCAGGGAGGTTCAACAAGTACAGAGGAGAGCGGCACGATTTGTACAGAATTGTTACCATGACATCAACCCAGGCTGTGTAACTAACTTGCTTAACCAACTTCAGTGCGGATCGTTACAACATCGTCGATGGAAACAGACATTGACATCATTCTATTAAATCCAACATCATCTTATAGCAGTTAATCCAGCGGCATAGTACACAGCAGGCGACAGTAGAACTCGAGGCTATCACAAACTAAGATAGGACAGAGCAAAGAAGAACATATTGTACCACTCATTCTTCCCAAGATCCACCAGGGAATGGAACAACCTACCAAAATAGGTAGTGGAGGCAACAACATACGAAGACTTCAAGGCCAGGCTGACCATCCTCTGGCCCCAAACACGCCAACCACAGTAAACAGCATTAAGCCAGTGTAAAAAGCTATAACTTTTAAATTTAAAGCTGATTTCCCTTTTACCCTATTTTAATTTGAGGCGTCATATCGTCTTGAGCCACGCCGAGTATATCCACCCGACCTTAGTACGAATCGTATCAGGACAAAGAATAGAGTGAGTCCGTAAAGTCAGCTGTCAGAAAACATCGAGACATGTAGTTAGAGGCACGAATAATATGTTTACCTATTTCTCCCCTTAGTTTTCTGACAGCTGAGTGGACTGACTCGGCGCACTGTGGCTTATTAAGTTGTTTTTAGCGGTTTAGAGTCAAGACAATGGGTCATTTGCACTCTTTGCTTTGACAAAGGAAACAGACGTTTTCGAAAGCTCGCAAAATGAGTTTCTCATTACTGTTTGTGTCCCAAACAAGTTTAGCATCTAAGATAGTAGTTTTTTGTGATCTAGCGTTATTACAGTCTATGTGATTTCCAAGATGCATATAATTCCCTTGATAGTTGAATACATTTTGTTTATTCTTAAAAATTGAGCAAAAATCAGAGCGACCTTGTCGTTATCAGCAGGACATTCAACGATGACTTTTACGCTACAAAAGGGCACCAGATATTGGGCCCTAATTACATCGGCAATCTGTCATATCTATATTTAATGAGCTGACATTTCATTTTCGTCATTTAAATTCTTCTTTATAGAGATAGATAATTCAATCTAGGGGAACCTAGTATACTACGGAACCCGCGAAAGGACATAGAAACATGTATACATTCATAGTTTCTTGGTGAACTTTATTTCACTGATCGATATGAGTTCTAAATATACACAAGACAAAAAACGGTCATGTCGCCTTATCATGCAATAGATTACACAGCACTTTTTCGATAATACGCAAAATTAAATTTCGTTACTGCGCATGAAAATATAGTTCTGTTGCGTTTCTTTCACACGAAATAAATATATAGACGCAATACATTTAGTACTACTGCAAACAGAATATAACGTGTTTTTATTAACATTATTTTCAGAACCTGTGGCTGCGAAACATCTTAAAATCTGAGAAACTAGAACGAGCTCAGAGTTAGTTAACATTAACGAAAATTTCGAATTGGTATAATTTGATATGTTCAAGTATTTCGATAAAACTTTCATAACAGGATAACAAATTTTGAAATATTTATACACAGATGGTCTAGTATAGATACAACTTTCATCGAATCACTTGCCAAAAGCACCCTGTCAGCAGATGAAACTTGACACGTGTTAAAGATGAATTCCACTGATTTTTGGAAATCTTTTACTTGACGGCCGGACGTCGTATGTGTTCGTGTCTGAATTTTCAATAATAGCTTCGTAAAATAAAAAAAAATTAGACCGACAAGTGCAAGAAAAACTTGATAAACCCACTTATATTTTCACTTAGTGTTAGCCCGCTGTAAGTAGCGGTTACAAGCATTTCAGTGAAAGTAACTTTCATCCTTCACACTGTATAAGTAGTTATTACTGAAATGCAAAATAGTTTTGTTCAGATGTATTCTGAGATATGTATTCTGTCTGTACACGAGTTTCAGGTAAAACCTGGGTCGCCTTTTTAAAGTGCACTCGTCCCGTATTCATGCTTACCTTTTTTTTAAATGAACAACATTTTATTCATAACGACATGAATGATAATAAAGAAAATAATCGATGTTCCATCTTTAACTATTTCCCAGATATGCCTTAATGACACTGACCGTGCCCTATACCAAGAATGTTACACATCAAATTTGATACGACCTTTAGGGCACGTATACAGCTAAACGGAAAGGTCAACTGTGACACTTGTATTGTCCGGTTCGTGTATATAATTGTCGTACAGAAAATTCAATTCGACCATGTGTCCGGTTGACCAAGCCAGAAGTAATGACGCTATGCCTAGCTCTAAAAATTACTAGAAATTTGTGAAAACGAGTAAATTGTTATAAATACATAATAGAGACCATACGACATATTTAATAAAAACACTTAATTAAAAATAACCATCACAAAGATTCCAAATGATCTTTTGACATATTACTCCTTGTAAAAATAAAATATATGTGACCGAAACTGTGTAAAAATAGGAAAAGATGTGAATTAGCTAGGCTACATGATAATAATATAAATAGTCAACATTTTTTTACGGGAAATGGAAAAGGTCGTTTTCTTGATTGACGAAACAATACCACAGATACAGGTTATTGCACCCTTAAAATTTCGTAGTAGATGACAAACATGAGCTACAGCTGTTTCGTCCTCCTAAGACTCGTCGGTGATGCTTTAGGGCTGAAATGATGGTCTAAACTGCTGATGAAACAGAAGGGGAGGCGTATTNCAATCCTTTTGTAATTATATTGCAATAAAATATGTTTAAACTAAAAGGGGAGGGGGTGCAAACATAATAATACCCCCCCCCCCCAAAAAAAAAGAAACCCAACACAACTTAAATTAAATTAAGATCACTGGTTAATTTCAAATTAATGAGTAAAGTGTGTATAATATTGCGATTGTTGTAATGTTGTTTTTATTTGCCCGCTTTATGTAGATAAACGTAAGAAATACATGAAAAATAATATCATAATTATATATAAGTGCGCGTGTAACATCTTCATCATTTTAAACTGTGCAGTTGCAAACAATACAATAGGATAATAGAAAAAATGTAACATTGGTTCACACTTGCATGTAAGTTTAATTAGTACGGACAAGCTACCAAACTCAGTATTTTATACAGAATTATTAACTTGTAATATAAGGTTCTACTTTTATTCACAGAGTTACCTGCTCCTGTTGGAGTTCTTTGGTAAAAAGTGTCAACATGGCAGACTTGTGGCAAGAAGTAAAACGTCTTCAAGCAGATTTCCAGCGAGCACAGCTTACAAGCGCAAAACAGAAGTAAGAAATAATTACATGTGCGAAGGATAATCTTGACTTAAGCTGTTTGTGTAATGTCAATACATATAAAGATGTTAACTGTTAACAGTAACCAAAATTGTGTTGGCCACATACATGACATAAGGGTCTTTACCGTCTTGCTGTCTTATGGACGAACATTACAAGTTCATGTTATCAGACTTGAATACTTTAAGAAATGTATCAGAAACAAAACTATGAAATACGTCGTTTGAAAATTTAAAAAACTAGCAGCTAATAAATAGACATGTATGCAAATGGTGAAAATTGTGTTGCACAACATTGTGCAAGAACACAGAGAATATTCCGAGGAACATCATCAGCCCATCTGCCTGATCATGAGCAGTCATTACTGTTTACTAAACCACATCCTTCTGAAAACAATTTTCCCATTCCAGTGTCTGTTCGGCCCAGTTATCTGATGTTCAGGAGTTAATGTTACTTCCTATCATATTGTGATAATGAAAGTAAGAAAATATTGTGAAACAATAAATTGTGAACCGAAGTGCCATATCTTCTTCTTCTTGAGGTTATCAGTAGTCCTTCAATGATCTGAAGATTATTTACTGTTTTGCGCAGCGTGGCCAATATATATATTTACAATAATATGAAAATGAATGAATTTGGAGTGCATACATTTTAAATTGTGATTAAAACTATGTACATAGGCTTATGATAAATTAAATGAATTTGTGGAGAACAGCTGGGGTGAGCTGTTCTCTGAAAGTGTCGACTGTTGTGACAGTGACTGTATGGATTGGTAATAAATTCCATTGAGTTATGGTATAAGGAAAAAATGAAAATTTATATGAATCTGTTTTGGTTGAAATGACGTGTCTGAAAGTGAAATTATGATTTTTGCGGGTTCTACAGTCTGATGGTATGAGAATAGCAGATGGGATTGCTACGGTTTGATACCATATATACTGTGAAAGGATTTATTAACGACATCCAACTCATAAACCATACTTTATCAGGACTAACACAGCTACTGTATCTAAGGACAAATATTTAAAAAAAAAATACAGTGATCATATACCAAGAATGAATAAAACAGGTACAAACAGGAACTAACACCAATTCTCAGACTGAAAAACCCAGGACAGTCAAAACCTACAAAATTTACCCAACTTTCACAGATGTTACTATTGATGACATAACAATAATTCTAGTAGCCCTTCATTATAGTTGTAATGGCATTTAGTTAGTTAGTTTAGCTATCGGATATGATTTTGCCAACTGCGACCTGTCAAAAGTTTTTTCGCCGTGTAAAACCTCTAACATTGTTGGAGTAGATCATGACCATGACCACTATTTTCAATATTTGTACATTGAATCCTGAATGTTCCCACAATATATCATAATCTTTTAATCTTTGGATTCTTTTTAATTTTTCCCCATTATTTTTTTTCAGACTTTCTGAAAGAAATGTTGTGGAGATTGTGAATAAATTGGTGGAGTTGAAGTTGATTGAAGTGATATATACCATTGATGGCAAAGAATACCTCACCCCTGATGAGCTGGCCAAAGAAATCAAGGATGAAGTTATGGTTCATGGTGGTAGAATTAACTTGGTGGAGCTACAGCAAATCCTGAATGTTGACTTCAGACATGTGGAAAACAAAGTCAGTGATATGATCAAACATGACCAGAGTTTGTTGGTGGTCCTTGGCCAACTTATTACAAGGTACAGCAAAAGTTAACTCTTCTTAAAGCATGTACCTTTTGTCACAGAAAAAAAACAATACAAAGGGAAATAATAATAATACTAATAATTTGAGGTTCTTATATACCGCTTTATCACAACCTAGTTCGTAGGTCGTCTCAAAGCGGTTCACAAATTATTATCTGTGGTTATAGGGCCTTTGCAACCAGCCAATACCTTTCTCAACTCCCTGGGGAGCATACAATAAATGTAAAAGCAGTGAGTACAAATACAGGAAATCCAAAATATACAGTACATTGTACAATCTATGCAGGTTTGTGTTGAAGATCATTTGCAAGTTGGTCTGCACAAATGCAGGTGACTTGGCAGTTATGCTATAGTTGTAGGGCCTTTCATGACATAAGCTCACTTGAGATATTTTAGGTAAAAAGACATTGTTATACTTTCAAAGAAATTCAGATTCATTTACCTAATGTACTATCCTTATGCACATTTGGAATAAATAGATTCAAATTTAGACTACAAAAAAGCAATCCAGTGAATTTCTGAATGTCTTCTATCCACTTCGGTATCATGCACTGGTAATGGGAATGAAGAAAAATGAACATGCAGATGTGTTTTCTTCCTGCTTAACTTAAAGCTGTTTGTCACACTTATTTTTATTTGTAAATGAAGTGATATACATGTAGTTTAAAGTTTTAACATGTAGGGCTAATGAAAGTCGCATTAAATATTACACTTATCATCAAAACTGTGCAGTCATTACATTTTGATGGTTAGAATACCTACTTTAAAACAATAGCATTAAGTCTCAAGAAAAAGTTGCTGTGATTATTGTAGAAGTTACCTTGACAACCTAGCTGAGGAAGTGAATGACAGACTGCAGGATCAGGGTCATGTGACCATAGCCGAACTTACGACCGTGTATGATCTTCCTGCTGATTTCCTATCTGAGGTAGGTATCCCTGTCACTTGAATTTGAATGAGGTTCTCTTAGGAGATTTTTTAATTCTTCTAGATTATGTAACTTGCCAGAACACAGGGCAATGCACATTTATGTGATAACATGTACAGTGGTTATGAAAAAATATGAACATTTGATAAGATTCATCTGTTCGAGTGGTATGTGTCACATGTAAATTCTTTCATAACCATTCTCACTGTTATGCCATCAGTACATGATGAAAGATTGTACATCTTTGTACCAGACAGTTTCCTCCTTTGTGTATTAAGGGTTATCATGAAAAAGGTGTTATCATGAAAAAGATGATATCTGAAAAAGGTGTTGTCATGAAAAAGGTGTTACCATGAAAATGGTGTTATCTGAAAAAGGACCAAATCTCCTTAGAGAATGTTCAAAGAAGGACAACCAAACTAGTTCCATCCCTAAAAGATCTTTCGTACCCTGAGCGTATTCGTCGGTTAGGTCTACCATCACTTGAATATAGAAGACTAAGATATGACAATGGTAGAAATCTATAAGCTGATAAACCACATAGATATAACCAACCAACAAATCATCCTTGCCTTCGACAACCTCAATACAAGGGGAAACTCAAAAAAACTGAAAACAATTTGGTATAAGACCAACATTAGGGGACATGCTTTTAAAAATAGAATTGTAAATATTTGGAATCAACTCCCTACAATTGTGGTAGATTCCCCAACCTTAAATGATTTTAAATCTAGACTCAATAAACATTGGGTCAATCATACAATCAAGTTTTTACCATCGTGCTAATAATATGTAATATAAGTTGTATACGTGTCCTCTGCGCAACCTGTAAATATGTGAACAACTATGAAGACGCGTCAACAGAAGCAGTGTATTATGCTTACGAAGACGTCGACCAGCATGAACCATGAAGTGTATTTGTTCTTGGCTTGACAAAGATGTCAGTTAATATTGAAATCTAGCATTAGTTGATTGAATTGTCAGTACATGTATATATATAACTGTTTGTAAAAACTAACATGTCATATATTGTACATGTATAGAAATAGTCAAATGACAGAAGATGGGTGTCTGTATATCACATACAAAAAAAAGTATTATTTTTTGTTTTAGAATTAAAGTAAAGCTAACAACATTGTGAATCACATAAGATAAATATCTGTTTTACCAACAACGTCATTAAAAATATGTAGTACCATGCAGATTTTGTTTACAATCTTTTCTGTAAGATACCTTCTGAAATTAAGAACCACAGGTTTTGTTCTGATTTATGGTTTACCCTACAGTAGCTTTGTCAATTGTTTTTTTTTTAGCATATACATGAACGCATGGGAAAAATCATTCAAGGGAAAGTGGATACGCATGACCCAGACGTATTATTCACAGATGCCTTCATCACAAGAATGAAATCTCACATCAGAGGAGCATTTAGTGCCATCACAAGGTGGTTTCTAATTAATTATTTTCATCGGTTTGGACAAATTTTGATTTTTTTCTGCTTTTATTTTAACCAATTGATGAAATTTATGTAAACAATAACCAGACTGTAACAATTGAATTAAACAAGTGGTCAGCATAGGAAATATCTTTTGTTGTGTTCACAAGATAGATAAATCAACCATATTAATGTCTAGGTGATTTTACTGTGTTAAAAACTCCAGTGGTAGGGTTGTATTTATCTCCAAACTTAACCCTTTCACCACTGTAGACCATAATGGACTCATCCCAGTAAATGCAAGGTAGAGTCCATTAAAGTTACCTAGGGTTGAAAGGGTTAAGGGATAATTTGTATTGGATCTTAAAGAAAGCTGGAATAGAAATCATCATGTGGAAATGTTATTATCTCCCTTGACAATAATATCTGTTGTTCAAGAGCTGTTGGAAAGATATCTACAGCAAAACAAGCACGATTAATAACAAAATATAATAAAGATGTAATAGAACATGTACTGGTAGCTTATAGATAACACATAGTAACACATTGACCCTTTTTGACGATGACATACATGATCTTCTTGTAGGCCTACCACAGTCGGCACCATAATCAGTAGATATGGATTTCAGGACAGACTCTTCTTTTGTAAGTATGTAAATCTGAGCAATGGATTTGACGTAGAAAGTGTGGAGTTTTTGGTGTGAAACATACATGCATCTTGTTGATTGGAAGTGTGATTGGTGCTGTACATGCTGCCAAATAACATACAGTACCATCATGTAATAAACTTGATATATTAACTAGAAAAATTTCAAACGCAAATCTTTAACAATGTATTTTTTGTGTAAAACAAATACTTAACATTTAATTTGCTCCCCCATTGTTTAAAAAAACACTATTATGTAGGGGATATGTGTAGTATAATATCGGGTGGTAGGGTGGTGCAGTGGATAGCGTACTTTTACCTTTAACCAAGTCGGCCAGGGTTCGATTTCCCGATCGGATGTGAAAAGGTATGGGGTCACCTGCCCAACCACCTGGGTTTTCTTCGGGTACTCCAGTTTCCTCCCACACTAAGACCCCAGTGTGCTAACACCCGGGCCAACATGAGTAGTTTATATAAGTTGAAATTACTTGTTTCATAATTGTTGTAAAATGAATAAAGTTTCTATTATAGTATAATTATGTTATATATGTCACTCTTCATAGAGATATGTAATGTTACTTTTGCCCACTCCTGTTGCTGTATTTAAGTGCAATAAAATATGTTTAAACTAATATGAGATATGTAATAAAAGTAATCCCATTTTGTTGTAGCTATCCTGGAGGAGCTGGTTAGTACCGGACGACTGGCTGGGGCTGTGAGCGGGGCCAGACAGGAAAATGCTGCCTACATCCCTGAGGTCTATACCAAGACACAGAACCAATGGGTTGATGCCTTCTACAAACAGAATGGTTATCTAGGTATGGAGTGTGTATTGGGAAACATTTAGTATATAATTGAAAATATTTTAGACGTTATATATATTATACAAAATTAGTCTCGGTGAATTATGATGTAAAATTCTTTGTGAAAGTTTATTTTTCCTCAGTCCTGGTAAGTCTAGTTTGTTGCTGAGAGAATCAAGTATTTCAAAAAGTATTTTATGTTGTCAATTTCTTTGCTTTTGTGAAAATAGTTTGAGGTGTCTTATACATGCAATATTCATTAAGTCGCTTTGTACTCATTTGTTGGTTGTTGAGAGTTCATGATTGCTATGTCATTAATATTTTGAAATAAAATAAAACATGTCTGGAGTATATGATAGCGTGACTTTCCTATGTTCTGGTAGGTGCGAGTTAAATTCCCCAAAGGACTCAATGTATCTATCGTCTTTACCTTACTGATGATGAACTTATATTCATTTTTATTTGAAAAATACCAGTGTTTACTTTGTGTATAATTTCGGGGTGATAATAGCGAAGTTAACTTTGTGTATAATTTCGGGGTGATCATAGCGAATTGCTGGACATGTATGGTTTGATTGAATTATCGATAAATATGAAAACATCACAAAATTGACTTGTTATTAAACTAGTTGATGTAAAGTACTGCTTTTGTTTAATGTAATCAAATCTTAAAAAGAACTCTATTTTTGTAAAATATTTCTAATTATTTAGCTCTGTATGTTCTTAATATTGCCCTCTAGGATTTTCATATAATGAATTTATCTTTCCTGTAGAATACGATTCCTTGTCTCGACTTGGAATCTCCGACTCTAAAGGATTCATCAAGAAAAGGTTCAAATCGGAGCCCCTGACATATCTAAGTACCTGCTGTGCTGGTGTGGGGATCAAGGAACAGATCGAGGCCAGCGTAGAGGAGGCTCTGCAGGACAATTCATGGGTCAACATCATGGTATGTTTTACACAAATCTTGTGCCTGTAGTTATCCTAGATTAATGTATTGTATAGCACATCATATAAGTAAGAAATCCTCTACTACATAAAGTAGTAACACAATTTTTAACTCAATTTAGAAAAATAAAATGAACATTTACTTGTGTTCCTGACATCTAAGGCTGTGGTTCTGAGCTCCACACGTATAAATTTAACATGGTAAACTGTATAAGGCTTGATAAAGTATCTCCCGGACAAACTTTCATGTCAGTAAGTAATTTGCAGTTTTTAGTAGGAAATCGTTCACTGGTGTATTCAGAATATCTGATTAATGTCCTGATTTACAAAATGTATTTAATACTGATCCATCATATCAATCTTTGCGGACTGAAAAATAATGGAGTAATTTCGTTGTTTCAGCCCCTACTTCCTTCCATATTCAGTGAGAAGGATGCTAACCAGCTGCTGACAGAATGTACCAAGCAGTATCCATCGGCAGTGGTCAGTTGTGACACCATAGTGTCCAGCCAGCAGTTCATCACAGGCTTTGCTGAACCCTTCAAGGACATTGTCACTAACAGGGCTGAAAAGGTAAGGATGTTGTATCACTTCCCAAAAAGGTTGTGTCACTTTCACAACTAAAACATTGTCGAGTTGTCTGTCACTTCCAAAACCCAAAAGGAACCGACGATAAGACAAACAAACAGAATTAAATATCTTGTCCCACTACACCTTAATTTATCAAATCCTGTTACATTTGAAGCAGACTTGGTAGTAACGTAAAGTGTTTGATGTTGCTTTATTATTACGAAGTGTCTTGGGCGGCATCAATCTGTTTCTCAAGCATTTTCTACTTCTACATTGGCTTCACTGAAGGGACAACTTATTTACATGTTGATCCTTCAGGGCCTGTATTCATGAAACCATTCTCACGCTCAAGCATGAATTCTGTTCTCAAACCACCTTTTTTACCTGCTGAAATCATGAGATACACTAAAAAAGCATAGTATATATATTGAAATTTTATTCAGCTTCAAATTTTACAAAAAATTCTATAAAAAAATATCAGTAAAATGAGTTATTGAGTTTGAGCAAAGTATCTGAGTTTGAGCGTGAAAATGGTTTCATGAATACAGGCCTAGCTTTTGGTGAGATAGTCTCCAGTAAACGTTTACTTCATTTTTCTAATGAACAAATTGTATTGAAAATTTTCGAAATGCACTACTTTGGTTTGTAGGAATCCAGAAATAATCCTAATGTCTTCAAAGGGACAATTGATTCTCAGCCTGGTAAAAAGTCTTCCACTAGGCTGTCTGGAATGGACGATGGAACTGGTCGTGAGGAAAAGAAAGATCAAAGGAAAAAGAAAGCTCAGGGTAAGAACACTCTCACACTTGTGGAGAGCTCATATCATAATGGACTACCATGATTGTTTTCGGCTAGATATTTAAAATGATGAGTTAACTTGATATTTGTTTAATCATGAATCCCAGGAATTATTAAAACACCTAATTCATTGATGTCATATATCACTGTGGGGAGCAAAGAGCATATGACTGCGTATGACAATAGCAGTACTGGAACTAATGACTGCCAGGGATGTACATGTACAATACTATAAGCCTGAAGCCCATGTAGGCAAAGAAAAAAGATCTTATCATGTTGCTGCCTTTTTTCTACAAATTTTTAGCACTACAGTATAAAGGTTTTGGCAATATGTCTGGGGAGATGTGTAAAGAAATAGTTATGAACAAAGGGAAAGGAGACTTGGAATGTGTGGGCGGTAAGGGAGGGGCAGATGACATGAGACAATAAATGGAGGTATTAGTGCACAGCAAATGCACAATACAATTTAACTCATTCACCCCTGAAGACACATTTGAACTCCTCCATTTCAAAGGTTGGAATAGTTCATTATGAAATTTCAGGGGTGAATTAGTTAACAAACAAAAGTGTGTAAAAATTAAACTCTATTAGAAATTACCCATGAATGTTTCTGTTCCCTAATGAACAATATAAAATTTATCGGCAATTATGTTCAAAATTCAGTTTGATGCAGACTTAAAGTGTCAATGGTTTTGGAGACTACTTGTTATTACAGTTCTGTTGATGTTGTTATAATCAAAGAAAATTGAAAATAGATATAACTCTGAAGATCCTCCAGTTAAACCTTACACAGTATGACGTGAAATAAGTATGCCGGAAACAATTGTTGGAGAAAGTATATAATACCATTGTAGGTAGCACCAAGAGTGGAGGAGGAACCCAAGGTCGGGAAGTAAAAACCAAGTCCCTCAAAAAGAAAGGGGCCAGAGGACGAGGAGACGCACATGGTGATTCTGACGATGACGATACAGGAGGAAAGGGGAAACAACTCGAATCCTCCTTCATGTCTATTGAGGAGATGGAGGATGTTCTACGGAAACAGACAGAGTTACGGGACTGTCCTGTTGACTTCCTCACACAGATTGCACGACATCTACACAGGTAGGCGTTCAGGATGTATCACAAACAGATATTTGTTTGATTTCTAAAAATTACAGGTCAATTTTGATATGACAGCAAACTGGAATGACATGGTACATGTTATGCCATCTGAACATCTGTTGATGATTTTTTGACACCAAGACAAGGGCTACATTCGCGTATCCCGGTTGAAACGGTATGTGTGGCGCAGAAATTTTCCGCGATAAACGCACACACTTTGACCGTTCTATAAGCAGAGCTAAAAACCCACAGTTTCGGAGAATTAAAAACAATGTATCAAGAATAGTATGCGTCCACTAAATTACATAACGTATCTTAAAAATTACATGTGACTTGATATTGTTTAAGAAAGAAATAACGCAAATTGGCAATAGTCAGCATTTTAGTTTCAGTCAGGTACGTCTGTACCCCTCAATCTACATGTACCAAATTTTCCTGAGGTCAGCCTCGGTCCAAATCTGTACCTGTCGTTTTCTTTACATGTTCAACCGGTTCAACCGTTACAACCGGATACGCGAATGTAGCCCAGTGTCACTAATATCAAATGATATTGTTTGCTTTTGTTAAAATGACATTGCTTGTCAGGACAATAATTTTTGAACCGCTGAAGGTTTTGACAAATATGAACTGTATGACAAACAACCAGCATTGTCTTTGTATACTAGATTCAGTGACAAAATTCACGAAATTCATTTCATTTTTCAGGCCTTTAACAAAACAGTTTCATGAGCAAGCAAAGTCCATATTTCTTTCCCAGTCTGGATCAGGATCGGGGGCCATTCGTAAAAAGACACACGGAGAATTACAGGAGAAGTTGTCGGGTCTTTGGACTAATTGTAAATTGTTCGAAAAAGGAATAATTCTTCTTCCAGGTGATTTAATTGCATAAAATAGAAAAAAAAGCGTATCATGAAACCGTTCTCATACTTCGGCATGCCATGGATTCTGTGCTCACTGCTCCGACCAACTTTCTTGTTTCTTGCTTTAATCATGTTATACGACCAAACAGTCAAATGTACACATTGAAAACATATTCAGCTTTAAGTTTTCTTAATTTTCTCAAGTCATTGACAAGATGTGTCTTTTTTTGTTATACCCCCACAACGAAGTTAGGGGGGGGGGGTATACTGGAATCACCCTGTCTGGATGTCTGTCTGTTGTCTGAGTAACTTGTCCGGAAAACTACTCTTTAATTAACGGGTGGATTTCATTGAAACTTTGCATGAATGATCAGTATCTTATGTAGTTGTGCACCAGCATTTTAATTTGGGATTTCGACCCTTTTTGATGGAGTTATGCCCCTTTTTGCGAAATACTTGTCTGCGCAACTTCTCCTTAACAAACAGGTGGATTTAATTGAAACTTTGCATGAGTGATCAGTATCTTATGTAGTTGTGCACCGGCATTTTAATTTGGGATTTCAACCCTTTTTGATGGAGTTATCCCCTTTTGGAAGCTTTGTGTGAAATACTTGTTACTGGTAGGAGACTATTTGTTTTGCCTTAGTAAGCCTTTAGCTTAAAGTTCTGGTTTATATAGGAGCGGGGGTATTAGTTAGCCTTTAGCTTACAGTTCTAGTTTAATTTATCACTGAAACAAGAAATGGCGCATGAGCAAATAATTTGAGTTTGAGTGTGAAAACGGTTTCATGAACACGTGCCCAGGTTATACCTTTGTACTCAGTACTGTTCTTATAATATTCTTTGAAAATGAAGTGCAAAAAAAGAGGAAAAACCAAGAAATGAAAGAAATATTAAATTAAGCATGAGTACTACTCTACACATTCTATGAGTGATAGAGTGATCTCCCTCGATGTATAAAAGTTAGAAATAATGAATGCAGTTCTAGTCATGTGTAGTTTTCAAATACATCATCAGTTTATTAAACATATTTTACAAACTTGTGATGCAGAACTCTTTTGTAAGGAAGATTCATGTCACAGTTAGGTAGCATACATCCTTAGTAGTGTTAAATTAATTAGATTATTACTTTGTAGCTGAGGGCCAGACTCCACTCATTAAACACCTCCTGAAGACCATCTGTAGTGACATAGCCAATATGGCCATCAACTCTTTTGCCAATGATCATATGGTCTCCCTACCAGAGGAAACAGAAATTACTGCTGAAGTGAGTTTTTTTAACCCTTTCACCCCTAGGTAAATTTAGTGGACTCGACCATACATCTATCTGGATGAGTCCATTGTGGTTCACAGTGGTGAGAGGGTTAAATTGTTATTATTAACCCTTTCACCACTGTAGACCATAATGGACTCATCCAGATCAATGCATGGTAGAGTCTACTAAAGTTACATAGGGTTGAAAGGGTTAAGGAATTTATTTCTTATCTTCTGTGGTGTTAATTCTTATATTAATTTTGTTTCTTACTATGAAAGTATCTAAACAATAGCACTCCTTGTCATAGCACAATGTGTGATCTGCTTGACCTTTTCGGGTAGCACCATGCTTGATCTACTGAACTTAAGCATAGTTTCTTTTGGTTACTTTGCTTTTCTAAAAGAGAGAAAAGAGAAAAACAAAGACATTCCCACCAAACTAAACAGAAAAAGAAATGAAATTTTTTTATGTCATGTGTTATGGTTGAAAATAGAACATTTTCATGATATATAACCGGAATATTGCTTGGAGTGGAGTATGATTTAGCCCAATGCCTTCCCTATTTATGAATGTTTCGTGTAAGACGTGAAGTGTTTTAGTAAATGATACAGCTTCAGGAATAATTTACCACTCCTTTTTTAGGTTCGAGCAAAGTTGATCAGCAAAATGCCAGAGGCTGTGCAGCCTCCACTTGTTAAGCTTCATGCCTCTTTAAATGGAAAGGTAAGTCTCAGTCTGTTGTCTGTTCCACTCTTGTTTTGGAACACCTGTTTTATGATTACTCCACGAATATTCAACAGAAAATTCACCTGTTTTATTTTTTGTTTTTGGCCATCTCCATCCTATAGTATGTAGAGCATTATGTGCTGACATAATATTCTCAAAAACACATTTCTTCAATCTCTGACTATGACAATATGATGTTAACATTGTCTGCTGAACGTTTTTACGAGAAAGTTCCAAACAAACATGTACATTTTGGTAAGGATCAAACCATTGGAGCGTCGCACGGACAGAGAATGAGTAATTAGTTATATATCAAATAATATAACTCTGTGTACCATTGTGTGTTTTTGATTCTGTTAAATTAACCTGAATCAAATGTGGCCTAGTAATTAGAATACGTCCAGTGTGCATTGAGTAATCGCCAAACGTAGCTCCTCCAGGAAGGTGGAACAACACTACAGTGGTCTGATGTTTCCCTATTTATAATGATCCATTCACTGCCAATGGTATCTAACCAATATTAACCCATTAACCCCTGAAATTTTATAATGAACTATTCCTCCCTTTGAATTGGAAGAGTTCAAATGTGTCTTCAGGGGTGAATGAGTTAAAACACCCACATTGTCGGGTCCTCCACAGAATCTTGGTTTTTCTTCTGCATCCTCTGCTTAAGGAACAATTTACAGATTCACATATTTATTTTGACAATACCGTATTTCCAATAACATATTCATTTATTGATTGATGAAAATTAGTTGTTGTATTGAATGTGGAACTAGTTTGTATTCCTTTTTACAACTTCTTACGGTATGCTATCATTTGCCAATTATCTGTTGTGTTTCTGTGTGTCCTTTTGTGCTGATGTTCTATTAATAAGTTATCATATAAATAAACGAAAGGAGCTGTTAGATGTATACCTTTGTATGATGACGGGATGTCTGCAATCTCTGTCTATGAACTTGTGAAAACACAAATCCACCTAATATATATTTAACACCATACAGTGTCCGCCATTCTTACATTACAGAGCCTTGAAGATTTCTTTACTCTTCTTGAGAAACTTTGTGGACCAGACAATTTAGGCATCATTCTCAGAAAACCAGACAAAAGGAAGGAAAGGTAATAACACTGTCACTGTGGTGTAATAGGTAGAGTTGACGTAGTAAGGGTTAACTTAAAGGAGGCACAGTAGTCTAGTGGTAGGACGCCAGGCTCGTGACCGAAGGGTTGCAAAGTCGACTCACGCCACGCCACAGCAATGTGTCTCATCTTTGAGCAAGATACCTTACTCCGCTTGTTCCAGTCTACTCAGCTGTAAATGAGTATGTGGTTGGGTAGTGCTAATATTGTAGAATGCTAGCTGTGAGCGCCAAAATGGCAGCAACGGCTGTATGCTCCCCAGGGAGTTGAGAAAGATATTGGCTGGTTACAAAGGCCCTATAACCACGGATAATAATAGGGGCCAGGGCGTGGTTCCAAAGGGAAAATTTACCAATATTTCAAAAAAAATCTTCTCCAGACTCAGAGGTACTACAGTCAATTTCAGTGCATGGATAGAAAGATCATCAGGAGCTTTATTGAAATTGTCAATTTCAGAACACCAGAGCCATCCATTCCCCCATGGGTAGGGGGTAAAGTTTACTATAGTTATATAGAGAAATAACAATTTTGGGTATATTTTATCCTTATTCAGCAGAAAATTATTTAAACTTGGTCAGAATCATCTTTGGTAGATGAGGGTATTACATTGTAAAATTGGAATTCCTGCCCCATCCCCAGGGGCTAGGGCGAGGCCCCAAAGGGAACATTCACCAATATTTTAAAATTCTTATCCTTTGATGACATGACAAGTATTGTATTTCACTTAGTTTACATGCTGATTTCCACATCACATCTAAACAATAAAATAAAGCTACCAGTACCTATTATATAACTCAGGTGACCGCTAAGACCCTTATGTCTCTTGTTTGTTTTGCACTAACAATATTTTCAATTTTGTAAGGATGATATTTCTGTAAGTCTACTGCTTGTCACATTTCCATATTTAATCTTTACATAGACAGTAATGCTTTCGGTGTTAAAGATGATATGTAATGTCTTCAATAGAAGTTTTTTTATTAAACTGAAGCTAATATTTTCTGTTATAAGTGGATGATATTTTTTTCCTGTAGATTATTCTAATATTGACACACTATTTTCTGTGTCATAAAACAGTGGTGATATGTTTTACGATGTTGATACAGACATTTCTGATGTTACGGACAGACGGTGGTATTTTAGGTATTTATGTTGATATTTCTGGTGTTGTAGACAGCTGGTGTTCAACCACCGCCAGGTATTACTGGAGCAGATGAATGAAGAATCTGATCCTGCCATGGCCCTCCATCTGGCTGTTGTCCTACTGTTCCAGACCTACACACAGTGTCTGATCCACGCCCCTGGCAAATCTGTTCCCCAGGTTATCGTGTTCCTAAGAGACCATGTAGACGCTGAGCAACATAAGGTGCTGGTCACACTTCAAGGTATATATAGAAAGTACTTGGTCCGTATTCATGAAACCGTTCTCATGCTCAAGTATGGATTTTGTGCTCAAGCCTAATATCTTGTTCTGGTTATAAGTTAATAAACACATTTTATTTTGTCAATGATTTTGAAAAAAATATTAAGGAAACTTAGAGCCAAATACTGTTTTCAATGTTCACATTTGACTTTTTGATCGTTTGACATGATTTAAGTGTGTTAAAAGAAATTTAGTTTGAGTACAGAATTTATGCTTGAGAGCATGAGAACGGTTTCATGAATACGGGCCCTGGTCATTCTACATAGTAGACTGTAAACGATCTTCACTAGGATTGAGAGAGATATCGGGTGCAACCCATTTTGTAGTAAGGTAATTTCTACAATCTATGTTTATGTAACAAAACATGACCTTCACTGATGTTTTTTTTTTCTTTTTTTTTCAAATCAATTACTTCCTGTTTGTCTGTCGGTATTAGACCTTTGCTATTTTTAGGCAGTCCATTGCATGTGTCAGTATTTTAGCGATGAAATGACCTTTGTTCAACAAGTCATCAGTTCAGTCTTTACATACAGTTGTTTTTTTATATCCTTGACTCTCATCAAAGAATACTGTAACCATTCATAAGTATACCTGTATGATAATTGTCCTTGTTTTTTTTCGTTTTTTTTTCATATGTTGCACTTGTTGAGAGTTTCTTTTTTCTTTAATGAAACAAATAAACACAATATTGAGAGCAGTTTCACATTTTGCCCAGAAAAATATTCAATTTGTCGACAGAAAATTATTGCCAAAATTATAAAATGAAAATACCACATGAACTGTTAAGATAAGAGGAGAGTTTTTGTCCTGCTTGGGTTGAATAACTAAAGTTTATAGATAGAATCAGACAAGACTGGAAGACCTGTATGAGTTAAGAGAGGTATTCAACATATCTAGATTTGACTTGCAGTATGCGGCAAGAACTACTGACAGGTGGTTGTTGAGGAGGTTTGAGTGTATGATACCACTGTATACTAGATGAAAATTTGTGAAAAGATTCATGTAGCACAACCAAATGTGGCGTTTCGATGACTAATACGGTATGTACTCTGTCACAATGACCAGTGTATGTACACAAAGGTGTTAAATGTGTACGAGTTGTCCACAAATCAATGTCGAAAATTCGGCTGCACTGTAAGCGTATGTACAATTAGTTGCTATATATGTACCGAAATGACACGAATCAGCTACGCTTTGTTTAATACTTGGTCATAGATGTGAGAGAGTCTATGAGCTCCCTCATGTCAATTTAGAACTGGCCCACTGTGGCGTATCCAGATGGCTTCCTTTATCTGTTGCTTGAACAAACTGCTCTCTCTCTGTCCATTACTTTGGAGATATCCCAGTCAATCACATGATTTTTAGCTCGCCTATTCGAAGAATAGGGGGGCTAATGTAGTCACCCTGGCGTCGGCGTCCTACCTTCCGAGGTTAAAGTTTAGGTGCAAGTTTTTTCCAGATAGTGTTGGATCATCACACTCAATACACAGTTGTCTATTATCAGGTTGAAGCATTTATATCGAGTGTAAGCAATGTGCTGGGCAGCATTTTCATATTTTATGGCCCAAAAGCACCTTAATTGGACCTAGTTAAATTTGAGGTTCAAGTTTTTGTGCAAGTTTTGTTGGGTAGTGTTGGACCACCACCATCAATAGGCTGGTGTCTATGATAAGGTTGAAGTATTTGTATTGAGTGTAAGCAATGTGTTGAACCATATTTTCATATTTTAGCGTCCAAAAACAGCTTTATTGGACTTTGTTAATTTCTTAACAATCACTTCACATAGATGTTTCTACACATCTAACAGTCCTTGAAATATCCTGGTGGTAAGTGAGGTGGCAACTAAATTGACAGGCACTATATCAACGTTTTACTATACATGTGTTTCTATTGATAGTTGCAGTATTATAATAACATACATAGGCGAGCTATGCTGTTCTCCGACAGCTCTTGTTCTGTGTGGTATGTTACACCGTAGTAGTCATCAAAACATCACATATAAACACTTATTGGTTATGCTACATGAATCGTTTTCACAGTCCATACTTATATTACCAACCTGAAGAAAATGTTTAGAAATATAGGAAAGTTGCTTTAAAACATGAATTTTCAATATTGTCTTTTGGATCATTTTCTTTCAGATTTGGTGGTAAAACATTTGAAACTACAAGGTGATGATAAAGAGGAAGAAAAAGCTAAATTAACAACTGAAATGCAAGACCTACTCCCACAAGTGAAGGACATTGCTTCTAAAGCAAAGAAAACAACCACACAGAGTGAAACAACCTAATAATGAAAAGTTCAGATTATACCACTTACTGAATGTATGGGCCTTTAGTAGGTACTGATGCCTAATTTAATTGACAACAGAACACGAGTCTAAATCAAGACTGCAGGAATACTGATATTTATGAAGAACTCGAGATTGTTTACAAATTCAGATGTGCAAAAATCAACATTGAACTTTGATTTCTATTTATTTATTTATTTGGAGGTTCTCTTTGAATATGAACTTTGATGATTTTCAAATTTGTGCACTAATGATAAAATCATGTACTTATGTTGCATATTGTACTACATGGCCATATTGGTACAAAAAAGAATTCTTGATTTGTAAATAAAATATATTACCGCTAAACGCAAGATTGTTCTGAAATTATTTTAGTGGTGTTTTTGTATATAAAAGGAAAATCACCTATTTTAGTAACTAATTTCACCGTTTAATGTATCTTGAAGACTGTTAGAATCAGAGGCTAGTTCATCTGTGATAAATATACATATGACTTTTGAGTTTTCCTGATACTTGACACTATTTTAAAATCTGGTATAATTTCATTATAAGTTTTGTTATATATTTTATGATGTTTATTATACAAAACAAGATATATGTGATGAACAATTATGTGTCTTGAAAGAGCAAGGCTCACAAGAGACTTGACAAATAAATATTGTGAAATGATTTCTCCTGATCTCATCATGACGGACCCTTTATGGATATTTTCACCAATATAAACATGTATATATGTGTACTAATACGTTGTACTTTCATTATGCAAAACTAGTTAGCATAAAAACATATAATTTTAAACTGATACAATGTAAAACCAGACCGAGTCTTAAGTATGAAATCTAACAACGTTTCTTTGTTTTGTATTTTCTGACATGAATGTTTATTTTCTCAAAGTTCAGTATCATTATTTTATCCAGGTAAAAGACAACGTTTCACGAATTTCATTTCAACACATAAGACTGTTTTATTTCTGATAAAATAACAGAATTCGCACAAATTATGTTCTTTAAAAGTTCTTTATAATGTATCTTATACATTCATATACATAATACCTTTCTTAAGAAACTTAAGTGTTATACAGTACTAGAAATATTTTATAATATACAAAATATATTATATAGTATTTAATATAATAGTATGAGTTACCTTATGTAGAAAAGCATATAAGATCACTTATAAGTAAGTAATCATGGTACCTTATATAATATCCAATTATATTAATTATAATACCTTTCAATATGTTATAAGATATATATGTGTGTATATATATATATGGGCAAAGAGGTAATAACGACAGTGCAGACAAAGAAAAGTCAAAGATAGAAAACGTATACATATTGCTCCTTGAATAAATGATAAGTTGGCTTGCCGTCCCTATATTTTTGGCTTCAAATATTACTCATAATAGTTATAGTGCCATGATCACACTACCTGTAGTTATACAATTTGTAACTTGAACAGTTCACAAAATGGTAAACGATCGCCTATAAGATATAACCTTTATTTTATTAGATTTCAAAGTGAATCTGATCAATAAATATTCACAATGCAGACATTTTTATGACCATCACCATTAGTATGTTGGTTTCAACATCATCGTCAGATAGTCTTTACTTGATACAGGCTCATACTTTTTTGAGTTGTCAAGGCACTCTATCATAGTTTCTTCGTCTGGAACGATGAAAAAGGCAGTGGATTGTCGAACCTTTCTCCTTCTATCCTCATGATCAGGAATCAAAACTCGATGTTTCTGAAAAAAATGAACATGTTTTATTTTGTAAATTAAATATCCGATAAGCTAATTAAATATCAAGAAATGGAAACCAGATTTTGTATTGAAATGTTGTCACTTGTGTGCATCAAAATGAACCTTGGATATTTCATCGATATTCAGCCGTCATCATGTCAGGAACAATTGAGGATAGTGGAGTCAGGCTTATCTATGTCTGCTTGTTTGTCGCTTTGTGGATACAACTTCATCAAACTATTTCTTAGAACTGCATTTTTGTTTTGGACTTTCCACACACCGACCAATGACATCTTCCTATGTGAAGGGAGGTTGCAGCATTACAAGGCACTGAATGGAACAGCTCCTCAGTACCTACAGGAGCTTGTTACCCTGTATCAGCCGTCAAGATCACTGCGGTCGGAGTCAGAATCTTTGTTGTGTGTCCCAAAATCTCGTACTGTGACCTACGGAAACAGATGCTTTGGGAGGGTTTCGGCTACGTTGTGGAATAGCTTACCATCTGCTATTAGGAAGTCAAATACCCTGGCCAAGTTCAAGAGGGACATAAAAACTCACCTCTTCACGTCTGCATTTTAGAATCTTTGCAAAGACGTCATGTAAATACCACCCTTTTATTTGTTCAATTATGTGCACATTGTTTGTTAAATGTATGAAAGTGATTGCAAGCCTTTGTTGTTTGTTTTCACAATTATAACCATTACTATTATCCATATGTTGTAAAGAGCCTTAGAGTAATTTTACAAATTATATAGGGCGCTATATAAATGTTGTATATTATTATTATTATTGTGACTGTTCAGGTTTAAGGTATGAGAATCATACGGGGTGTATGACTTAGCCTTTGAATCTTAGTTCCAGTTTTGTAAATGACAATGGTTTTCTTTCATATAGGACACCTGTAGTTATCTTTCCACTGTATATTCGAAATAATTTGAAGAAAAATACGGAAAATGGTAAACTTTTCTTTGGACTGAGTCAATCCAGGGATGAAATACTACTGTTAGCTACGGCACTGAATTTGACGACCAGAAACCTGTAAAATAATATCAACTCACCGTGGCGATGAGTTTGTCGGAAGACCATCTCTGCATCAGGTCCCCAATGTTGATCAATACAGTGTCGGGTATAGGAGCTATTGGAATGTACTCTCCTTCAAGTGTTCTTATCTTGGAAGAGCATGTTAAAAGTGTTGACGATTTTGTTACAAATAAGAAGGAATAAAAAAAGATGGATTTTACAATAGTTCTCAAGAACATGTTTTCAAATATGCATAAAATATTTTGTACCACTCTAAGAGTTTCTTTTCGTATAAAAAACAATACATTTTACAATATTGACAATGATATAATATGGAAATAGCTCCCTCTCTGTTGCGACGTTAGACCAAAACAATATACGTGTTTCAGGTAACATGCATGGATCAATACTATACATTGTATCAAATTTTACAAAGCGTTTCTACACATTACAGTAGAAAGTAAGCTGTCAAGAATTAGGTGAGGTTAATCGAACAGGAAGAAATTACAATATAATGAGTTACTCGGAGCTTTGCCTGGATAAATAATAAATTTTGGATACATGTGCTAGGATCGGTAGGAAAATTTAGGGTAGGTCGGGGTACTTGAAACACATGTTTCGTTTTGCCTTATTTTTACCAGGGATCAACATATAATTTAATCTCGCTTGTAACAAACCTTTTCAATGGCCTGAAAAATATGTTATCGGCCCATAACATAAAATAAAGACGTCGCCGCTTGTAACGTCGCTTCGCTGTTTATTTAGAGTACACTCCGTTTTTTTGTGTTATAGCTCCATTAACAGTAAAAATATATTCAAGTTAAATAATGCTGAAATCCTACCTCTAGACCGGACACGTTATCCTGATAAAGCAAAGTCAAGGTGCCATAGTCCGAGTGTTCTCCAAATCGCGCTTGTTTCGGATTGACTGCTACAAAGCAAAACAGAAGGTGTGCCGCTTGTAGATGCATCACTATTGACAATTTACACAATATAGCTTAATGTACGCTGGAAATATCAGTCTCTAATACGATAATTTCTTATAAAATATACTTTTGGTGACTTGGAGACATATCAACACATAACTAACCATGTTTTTACAGCCCTCCGGTGCAAGACAAATCTTCGTTGCCCTTTGAAATTTTAAAACAAGGATCAAAAATGTTTTTTTTTCAATATTTGTTTAACAAGAAACTAACCCCATCCGATTAAAAGTCTTTACAATATTTTATAAATTGAGAATTATAAAAGAGTCCGTGTTTGTTTAGATGCGGATCACTTAAGTTATCTAAATACCAACACTGTGAGGTTTTTGACATTAGATGTCAGTATTTTGGGAGTGAACGTTTTTAGCGGAATGGTACCCAATTTATGTTAGAGTAACCATTAATGTTGTATTTTTTCAGCTTAACGCATGCGTAGAAGGAAACTCCAATGTCACTATTATTACTGACTTGCCACCACAAACTATATACGAAGATTTGGAAAAAGTGTTTTTTAATCAGAGCATCGTTCAAAATATATTTTTTGCAGCCTTAATTGTATAAATGTAATGCTGTTTAACGTTCGAAGATTTTTGATGATTATTTTTATAAGTTCTAGTTTTGCATTCTCACCCATTTTGCAATATTTTCACGAACTCTAAGCTTACCTTTATCCTTCGGAATCGTTGGGTAATAATTGTTCCTCATGAGTGTGGTATTGCCTTTTTGACTAATCAACTTGTGACATTTTCTCAGGAACGCTCCGTCCTTTAAGTAGGAATACAGATGAGAGTCTATGGGGTTTTCGCCCTCACATAGCTAAAAAGGAATTCTACTAGGCCCTAGAAGCAACTTGTACTCTGGAAACAGCTTTTAGTCTGATAATTTAATATCAAAACTCGACTTTTTTAAATACTTTCCTTTCAATTATATATATATATAAAAAAAATTATCTAATAGAAAAAAAATATTCTTGAACATTTTAGTGTATGCTTGAGCATACAAGCATACATGTATGCTACGCCACTGGGAATACAGACTTTTCTCCAACGACCTCTATAGGTTTCCTCACTCGCCATCCATGGGATAAACATGCTAGGAGACAAAACGAACGTTGCTATAATAAAAAGCTCCGAAACTCGCGATAGCTGGTTATCATCTTTTCCTAACTCTCATTAGTTAGTTTTCAAATTGTAATATACATACGGTAAACTCGTGTTTTTATATAATTTTAAAAATTAACTAACTCAAGTTAGATAAACATGATAACCAAACATCACTCGTTATAGAACCTTTTAATACACAATTTACCTCTAATTTTAACCCGATCGACACCAAATCCAGTATCCTCAAGGCTAGCTGGTGAGATTTGTTGTAGACCTCCTTCACGCTGGATTCGAAGTTTTCAACATCAGGCCACAACTGTTTTATACAAAGAAGAGCAAATAATAATAAAAAAAAGGATCTGCTAAAAAAAAAAAATCGATTTTATTTCCAATGATTTCACTTTTGAAACAAGTTATGAAATCGCTTTAGAAATTACAAGTAGATTTCTACGCAAAATAACAACATAGATATGCATAATTATCAGAAAAATAAAAAAATTCCATGTTCAGACATTTCAAGAATAAACATGCATACAATTGGTTTATTCCCAGCTAGTCAACACTTGTTATCGAAGTGCTGTACATGTATCTAGTAGTCACGTTTTAAATTTGTGAAGACACTTATGATGTCCACTTTGATACTGTTCCTCATTTCGTATTAAATATTTTCATAACGAAGTATTAATCATTATCATGTTTTCAAAAATATTAGTAAATATCAGTAACTATCTATTTATTTAAATTGAATGCGTCGATTTCTTATAAAATGGTATAATAAACTAATTGGTAGTTCGAATGTTGCCGATCTTAATATTATACATACACTAACCCAGGCAGTAGACTCCAAAACAAGAAGATTACCAATATGAATTATGCTGGATCTATTCTACATAGAAACGAATCTTTAACGATGAGTTTGTGAGCGAGAATGATTTGTGGGTAAGAAATATCAAGAATGAGTTAGCAACCTTAGGACTTAATTACATGTTTGACACTTCCTTGTCATTTACTCTTTTTTTTTAGATAATAGAACAGAGACTGATAGAAACTCCCAATCAAAACATATTGTCAAAAGTAACAGCTTCACCTAAAGGGATTTTATATCAACACTTAATAGTCTTAATAGTTATGTCGAGTGACATAACAATTTACAAAAATACCAATCGCTCACTGAGTCATAGCTTGTCAAAGGGACCTGTCGGTCTTGAAACGTTGCGACACGTTTAATACGTACATTAACTGTTTGTGTAGAAAGTAAACCTTTGAAATATTGGTTTAAGATCTTAAAATCTTAAAATTGTATCAAATCCACTTCCTCTAGTTTTTATTATTAAAATGTTGTAGTAAAAATGATTTCAACTGGGCTAAAGCAGTAAGAGATGAATTGAATAATCTAGGTCTTAGTGCTGTTTGGTTAAATCCATGTATTTCTCAGCAAAATGTGTTATTACCATTGATAAAACAAAGAATTTTTGATCAAGGCATACAATCCCAAAGGGCCTCAATGGAAAACTCTCCAAAATGTTTATTGTATAAAAATATCATTGATTTTGGAAAATCATTACAATTTTACCTCACAAAATATATACCAATGAAATATCGCATTTGTTTAACTCGCATCCGAACATCTACACATTCTTTGGCTGTAGAAGTTGGAAGGTATAATAATATACCTAGAGAACGTAGATATTGTAAACAGTGAACTCCCCCTCTGAGGTAGAGGACGAATTTCATTTTTTATTAATCTGTTCTAAATTCCAAAATTCGAAATAAACATCTGTGTTTAAAGCCGTTCAGTTATTGAGTGCCCATAATATTAAAGAATTGTGTATACTAGGAAAATTCATATATGAGGCAAACAAATTAAGGGTATTATAATGGAATATGATTGTCTTCATTCTCTGTACATTGTTCATGATTTGTGTATAATATGTTTTGTATACTGATGGGCCAATGGCTAATTGTTCGAATAAAACTTGAATAAACTTGAACTTGATATCACATATTTCCAAACTGATGAATCTTATTGAAAACTTAATGTATGTAGATAGTCATTGTATTCAATCTTATTTAAGTAAACCTCTTGAAAGTAAATACAAACAAATGTAAACAGGATTTAGGATATCGCCTGTTAGATTAAATATAGAAATTGGATGACATCATAACGGCATTCGCAGTAACAGGATTTGTACCAAATATAATTTGAGATATAGGAGACGAGTTCAATTTTATTTTGATTTGTCCATTTTAAAGCGATTCAAGGCACAAATTAATTAAACAATACTATTACAAAAAAAACCTCCATTTTTAGATTAATACAATAACTTAGCATAAATAATGTTAGAGAATTATCCAATGTAGGAAAATATTATTAGACCAATATGACGATGCCTCAGCGATTTGCACAGTCCGATACAATATTAAACAGTTAATGAGAAGTCAAGGTGGTCAGGAGGCGACTAGCTTATAAAAGACCGATGATCGGGTAAATAAGGTTTTAACTATTTATTCTTCTTGCAGGTCACGGTCAAATCTGCCCTAGCAAAGCGAAAAAAGCCACACATTTAAAAAAATGTGCAGCAACAAAATAAAATATGTATTAGAATATTAAGGGCACGTGAAATTGTAAGGGAAAAAAGAGTTTTGTTACATATGTCAATTTCTATTTTTTTCTCAATACATTCTCACAATGGTTATATATACATTCCAATATAACACACGCGCAGATGTTGATTGTTAAGTAATACTGACCTCAATGTTATCCGCTGGCATGTAGTTAAACCCCTCTTTATAGTCAACGGTCCTCTCTGCATTTATCCTAAAGATCAAAGAGCCCAAAACTTTTAATTCAACCAAAAAGCACCAGCAACAGAGCATAGATATTTTATACAGCTTGGCAATTAATTCAGCAGTATTTTTTTTATATATTAAAAAGACATATGTAATTTCAATTTTTATTTATTTAACAAAATATGCAAATATCAACCCCAGAAGGAACAAAAGTAAATGTACTGATGAAAGTATATTTGTCCAGTATTGCCTGTCGGCGAACAGCAAGTGTGGACGATTTTATTTGATTAGTTGATTGTTGAGTTGCGTCAGTAACTTTGCAGTGTTAGGTAATTGTTCGACACTTTGATGATGTATCGACGGCTCTCATTGGCTGCATTTAAAATGGGCGGTACCTTCTAGTTGCATAGTGCGTGATGTGTGATTATGAAGGAAACGTGCTCAGAATCAACATGGACGACTCAAAATCGGCAGATGACTTTGTTGAAAGTTTGGATCCAGGTCTACTTACATACAAGGGTGAACTGTACACGAGGTCGGTTACAAGCGAACAAACATAACAATTCCTGAGACCTAAAGAGGTCCAACTTATGCAAAACCCGGACGTATATAAACGTCATCTAATTGACCGGGTAATTAACATGCAGTCTCCAGACACGAGAACGCACTTAAGAGACACAGGAGTCCGTTAAATGCTACAACCAGTAATGATCCATGTTCTTCAAAAGCCGAATCGCTTCGCCCTAAACAACTGAAATACGAGTCCGCCTCATCAAGTGTGTGTAATGAAGACGACGAAGTTGCAACCATAACCCTACATAGTAAAGGTATGTACTCGATGGATGTTTGTCTGTTTATCAAATACACTGACTACGATTATAATCTTAGGATCACGACCAGAGGACTTGATACGTAATACTGAGAGTTGACCAAAGTCGTAGGGGCTACACATGACGTTTGAAATCTCTTTTAAATAATAAAACACATGTATGTCTAGTAATTCTATGGAGTGTGGTATGTGACCCTTGAGGATTTCCTTTTGCAATATTACAGTTAATGTATGTATATTTTCAAAAGCCATGTATTGTTTATAAAAAGAAAGACAAAATTACTTGATTCACTCAAATACGTATTTTTTGCACCTGAGCTTCCAAAAATTTCCTAACTAAGGATTTTTCGATTCATCAACAGAACAAAAACCTACAAGCGGTATAAATTCATCCTTTTAAAAATTTATTTCTCATTATATTTTGTGATCATATCTAACGGAAAATTTACGCAAAAAAGATACATTACCATAATAACTGATATGGGGATTGATTATTAGATACTAGAAAAGCTGCGTTTTAAGGACAAAGTATGATACATTACGTTTCTGTCTCGAAGGGTACCCATCCATGAAGCTGTCCGTTACGAGGACGAAGGTAGGCATTCTTGTACTCAACTGGCATTTCAAAGAACGTTTTGTTCGCAGCGTGCATTTTATCAATCTAAAAACATATATAACCCGTTATTATATTTAAATGAAAACTATTTGATATTATTCTTGATATTAAATATTTTCCCCGTTATATACCGTTTACAAATATGAAATTGTTTTACATATTCGCGCTTTTTATGAAAAAAGGGCATTTTGCAATATTATCATTTTGCTATAATATTACTATCATCAAACTGCATATTTGCTCATTTTAGAGAGGAATTAAACTTCGCGAGTGCATACTAATTTGCGAAAATATGTATGTTAGTAAAAGAAAGAAAAAGAAAGAAAATCAATCTAAAAGTATGTATTTCCAGGTTTCAGACCATGTTGAACTTCGATAGTAAAGCGTTAATGTTTCCAATCTGTATGTATTGAATGGAAGATTCAGTATTACAAACTGCATCCAACGTATATCATATATATTTTATAAAATAGTTACACAAAAATAATCAAATATACTCTACTATTATGCTCTTTATTATAAAAGTCAAAGGATGTACTCATACACGTTTCTTTTGTAGAATATTTGATGTAAGTATAGTGTTATTAAATCAATATAATTGTATAATATCACCTATCGTTAAAATATATGTGCATCATCATCTCTTCTACAGCCAACCTCGTCTGACCTCATACTGGCGTGACCAATTTTCTTCTAATTGCTGAAAGTATTCGTCTTCCTATACACCGAGTTGTGCCCTAATATCTTCATTGCAATATATGCTTACATTACATGCAAATAATCACCAACAATACATTTTAACAGAGAGATCCATCTTGTAAGCAAGGAACTGATGGTTAGCCATATCAGTTATTTTGCAGCAGAATCACAACCCTACGCCATTAAGTTTATAAACAGAATTTAAGCTGACATGATACATGATACTGTATTTTGTAAATACTCAACAGGCCGTTACCGTGTGCACACACAACCACAAATCACAATCCTGTGGTTCTATAATTAGGCTTTATAGGTAAGGTTGGACTCTCCCTCCCAATTTATATTAAGCGACTTGTCCTTTAATCATCGAAATAAAATTTAAAAAATCTGGAAGACATTTGTTTCATTTTTTTTCCAAATATTTCCGTTTTAGCCTTAAAGCAGTTACGAAAAATAGTACAGTCAAAAGGAAAAATGGATAACGAAAAAAACCCCGCGTGGCAGTGTTCGGCATTCACATTTAATAACAGTTCGAATTTCACTTTGTTTTGAGATTTTTTTTGTAATGATTAGAGATTGGATTCATTTGCATATTCAAATCAATTACAAATCAGACTAGGTCGATTTCTGACAAGGACACATTGGACTTTCTCTATTTAAAGAGTAGCATGTAGTAGTTTGTAATTCTGATTTTAAGTCAGTTTTATGTTTTATCGAGCTCTAATTTTACTTCATATACTGATATCAAGAGGCGTTTATATGTTTATCGCCTATGCAGTAAAATACCGGGTTGCGTGAAAAGTACACGTGGTTTCATTTCTTCTACATTGGCTCTTTATAAACATACCATTATAAGCTGTGATTTATGAGACCATAAATCTTGTTTGGTAATCGGTTGCATTCAGAGTTATAAAAACCCTACAAATACTGCTCGTATGAATAGGACACCATTTTTCTGAACGGAATGCATTTTAATACTTCACTCATATGTAAATAACAATCTTAGCCTATTCTTGTCACGTACTATAGCATGTTGATGTATGTAGGTGTACGTGTTGAAATAAAAGACGTTTACATACCAAAGACTGGGGGATTCCGTGATTTTTGATGTAACAGAAGCCGACGTCACTCAAGGCTCCACATAAGTCTTCGGCCACAGACTGGACAGTCTCTCTTTCCACAGCGTTCTCACTGACCACATCCAGGCCGTACACCGACATGTCTACTATTGGGACATTCACCTTATTCGCCATTGCAGCCAAGGAAGTCCTCGCTTCGTATTCCTATTTATGTATTACAGAAATACTGTATATTATACTTTACCAAAGCATTAACATCCACTAGTAAATACGACGTGAGATAGACTTCAAAACAAGACGAATATCAACAAGAGACCAGATACGACAATTTCCTGCACAACATGTGACGTAAGTCATGTTGTTACACCTCAAGTGAATTTCTAGCTATTTGATTGGTTGGGAGAAAATTAAACAAAAATCTCTGTCACCCTCCGAAAATACATTGGTTTTAAGGGGCGCGGGTGATATTGCCATGAGACAGTGAAAAATATCACATGCGCAAAAAATGTGCGTGCACCGCTTCGTTTCCCCACCGTGATGGTCACAAGAACGTTTGACGGCAACAGCAAATTTCATCAAGCGCCGGTGCGATAGCGATTGTAAACAGCAGACTATCAACAAATATTATCGAGGTTTGCTGCCGTTTCTGAGCTACAAAGACTTTTGGTGTAACAAAATAAATATGACATTCATTAGCAGGTGACAGTGAATATTGTCAACCCTCAAAAACCCATTGTCACCCTCGGCTTCGCCTCGGGTGACAATGATTTTCTCGGGTTTACAATATTCACTGTCACCTGCTAATAAATGTCATATTTATATAATGTCAATCTTCACACCCAGGATATAACTCCATCTACAACGACCACAAACATATGTCTTTGATCACTATAGCTACAGAATTCCTCTTATAGAAAACCAGGTCATGACAACGTCTGTAGAATATCTACAGCGGAGGTTGAAACCCCTATGATTTATCACACTAAGTAAAGTAGATATGGAGTAGTAAGGTAGTACATCAACTGTTAAACATAACCTAATAATTATTGTCTGAAGGAGGTGATACATTCTGCCAAGCTGTAAAACACTGACAATGAAGAGAATGTTGTGTCTTATATTTCCTATTTTTAAGGTTAATTGAAATGCATGCAACTATTTAAGTCTTATTTTTCAAGTAAAAACATTATCGATTGAATGTTCGCATCCCCATCTTGGGACACATCTTCGAAATTGTTCATAGTCTTTTCTTCATCAGTTATAAAATGAAGGTTATTACTCAAAAAATGTTTTATGCGGACAATATCATCCTCGACGTACATTTATCGCTAGTGGAGAAGGGTAAACGGTCTCGTTTCTATTGACAACAATAGAGTGGTGTCATCATTTGACAGTTACAAGCAAATACTGACATACAAAATGTTTGATACTTGATGTGTATTTAATACCGTTTCTTTTAGAAAATTAGACAAATTAGGTTTGATGTTTCCCAAAAGTTCCCTTTTGTCTCTACGTATACAGATTTTTGCGCATGTCATTAAGTGGATAAGTGTATTGCTTATGACTGTACTCATTAGTTTGCCTTGCTTTTTCGTTGTCACGTCTCTGGTTCGTTCTTATTTTTAGGACGTGAAATAGCTTACATTTGATTTAGAGTCGATGGAGTTTAAAACTCTTTCTATTCTCCTTGCACTTCGCTTTTTCAGAACTCTTTAGAGTTTACGTCCATGTTGGTTGTTTGCATCGAAATAAATAAAAATAATCACAGTAATAAAAAGTTTCGGAAATAATCTATGTAGCATGCTTTAAGGCATATTGCTGGTTTGGACAGGAGACATCAAGGGGATGTTAAATGTGGTGCAGAAAGTGGTTACAAATGACAATATCAGAACTCAAACAAAAAACTAAAACAGAAACTAAGCCAAGCGATAAAAATATAAAAAAAACCCACCAAAATGCTCTCCAATAGTGTAAAATATCAGTCGTCGCTTTGTTAATCTGAAAATTTACATATTACTATATTCATGACTCTGTGTGAAAGGTATGCTATTGAGACGAATGCAAAATGATGGGTGTAAGGCAAACGAGTTTTCCCCTTATTGTCAACTGACTGACATAATCATTTTATAGAATATCCAGCAAGGGGTTGGCTTTCTTTTCGTGCTTTTTTCGTTGAAGATATTTTAATTATAAAGAGACGGGAGGATTTATATTAATTGAAACGTTTAAAGCCCCATTTCGAAGGGTTGTGATCTGTATCGGGAAAAAAATATGCTTATGCTTGGATATTGGCAGAAAAACATTTATAAATACTTGCATATAAATGGTTCACAATGTTATAAACCACATGCTACAGGGAAATAATTCTTTACAAGGACACACATTACTATTTGTATATCTTTTGATATATATGTATATAACGCAGCATATAACATGAAATCGTTTGTAAGGGAAATACGTAACGTTCAATGAGACTGTTATATCCACATGATAGGTAAAAAACCCGAAGGAAATAATACCTTTACAGAGCCAAATATAAAGAGCATCACTTACCTCCTGCTTTTATAAAAATATCGCAATATAGCGGACGTGTCCACTTATCTGTCCTGATAGAAGCTACTTGCACTTCTAGTCATGCGCTTCCCTCGTGCAATACTCATCTGTTAAGTGAGGAAGTTCACCAGTGACCCCTAGTGTTAGCTGTATTCGCCTATTCATATCTCACTTTGCACACAAATTCGGTTAAATGATTAGGTAATCTGAACAAGATAGTATCCGCCCTATCAAGTTTCCGGAGAATCGAGCAAATTGCAAGAGCTTTTCTGCTTCTATTTTTTCTTATACATCGCATTGTCACCTACAACACAAGAATAAGCACCTAGTTACCAACAGAAACGAAACGGTAAAATACGAATAATTAAAGTTCCCATGGTCATGTTTAACTTTGAGTATCAGACAATATACGATTTTTCATCAAATGCATCGCTTTTATGGCATTACTTTAATATTTTTCGGCTGCGCCAAACATTTAAATACACTTAAGCTTACAAAATGCAGTGACAAAGGGTATACAAATATGCAGAAACACAAACATGACCTGCATCTAAAAAACCAACCCTAGTAAATGCAATGAATGGTCTTACCATACCAACGACGTGATCAATTTAAATGTTTTACGATTAACAACTTATTATTAACGTAGAATGCTATTTTTAGGTACGATTACTAACCAATATATGAATCACTTCGAAATGTTACATATTGGGTGATTTTTATCGACTGTTTTGGCTGATAATAAAGGTTAAGGTCATATATCTGGCATACAAAGATTGTGGTAAGATATCATAATAAAAGCTTATAAAGAGAATACCTTTTTTTTTTAAATTTCATATTCTTGAGGATAAATGGAATACAAATAATTTTACTGCGAATTGAAAAGAAGAATGTGATATGGAAGGCTTAGAACGCATAGCGTATTCCTTTTTGAATGCATTCATATTACAGTATAACTTACTTTTTCACCCATTTTTTATGCAGACAAGTTTATCCTCGCTTTCTATTTCTTGGTAGCAGTGTAGTGTTTGACAAACTAAGTATCACTTACAGTAATTGGCAACAGCTAATATATTGGACTCTCTAATATTTAATTCAAACTAAGCATGGCAAATGATAATACACAATGCGAAGAAGTTTTTGGATTGATCTTTTGTTAATTTTGTCGAGTTGGGTTTACAAAGATCCCTATTTAATTTTAGGAATTACAAGATAAGCGCTGTTATTTTTTGTTGTTTGTCGTTTGCAGGATAGGTTCAAAGCTGCCGGCAAAATAGCTTTCCATAATCATGGAGAGGATAAAGATACACTCATAAATAAAACAATAATACAAGCTAGTGTTTCCTGATATTAGTATGTTCGTGTGCTTTTGACTGTTCACATATTAGGATAACAAGGCTTCACTAGTATTTGGCTCTTGTGATGAGACTGACATTTGCAATATGAAACAGAAATAAGCGACTTTGGTCCATTAATTTTTGCCACAATGCTGCAAATCTAAACATGACTCTCAACTTGCAAACATGAATTCGGTTAAATGATCTGATTAAGTATGTGTCATGCGTGTTCCCACGGTCATATCTGTCTTCGATTACACGGATAATATAAGGCATTTTACCTCCTGTATCTCTGTTTTTTAATTCTAGTTGAGGTGAAAAGATACAATGGAACAGGTTACACAGGTGTGTGCAGGTATGATTTACCACTATGACGTCAATAGGAGTTCACCCAAACGACAAGTTCTAGTAAATGTTACGGTCTAGCAATGATGTAAATGTATTTTAATTCCAGCTGATGTGAAAAGATGCAATGGCACAGGTAACACAGGTGTGTGCAGGTATAAATTACCACTATGACGTAAATAGGAGTTCTGTGATAGCGTAATTTGGGATAGTTGGCTTTGCCAGAATTTGCTCAAAATTGGGTTGTCAAATTTTGGAGCGCCAAAAATTGGCGTTTGATAATCATGTGTTCTTAATTTTGGTGCTTTAAGCTATATTTAGCTACTAAGTCGCTCCATCAGTCTATTGTTTAACGTTGGTTGTGCAGCTAAATAACGGAGCTCGATAGCCTCTATAGCCTTTCCTTTCCCAGGTAATTTGCTGATTACATGTCAGTAGGATACGAGGTATTGTCAGATTCCATGAGTCTTTTTTATTTCGTCACTTCTATCTGGGAACCACCGGGAGAACGTATACTTACCGCGATACTTATCTGCATACCTTGGAACACAACTAACACAATAGCCGATATGAACATTTATGACACCTCCAGATGCAGACATACCTTTATTGACATGTCATGTATGGAGTGTGTTAATGTTTTGAAAAAAATCCATGATTTGTTCAATATGAAAAATTATAGCCCACGGAAGTCAGCATTTGGTGCCTAATAAATTAGTAGGAATACGGTCTGTCGGAATCCGCATGTTGTGGAAGCTTATTTTTGGCATCGTAAAAATTTCGTTGTGTTTGTTTTGGCTCATTCACTCCAAACGCTAAATAAATCAAACTATAACCATATCCAAAATACCTAAGTATAGTAACAGTAATACAGAACGATAAAAACATAAAGTTTAACGTAGAGTTTTG